GCAGCCACACAAGTCAGCTTTGGGAGCTCTCGGCGACGCCCAATGCGTGCGCCGGTAGGGGGGAGTGTGTGCGCGCGTGTGTGAGCTGTGGATTGTGGCAGGCTGCTGCTGCTGATGGGAAGTGTGCTCTGTGTGTGGCGCTGCGCTGGCGTGTGACGCGCGCGTGCTGTGCGCGTGTGCGTGTTGGATGCGCGTGCGCGTCTGCGTGTGCTGCGCGCGCGCGCCGCCGGTGTGTGCTGTGTGCTGTACTCTGTTGTGCGCCTGTTTGTGCAGCTGGGAGGCGCAGGCTTGTCTGGCAGGGCTGCGCGGCGGGCTGCGGCGTGCTGTGGGTGGTCGCGCGCCTGCCTGTTGGTGTGCGGCGGCCGCTCAGCCCGCCCGACCGGGTCGTCGGCGGCCCAGGGCGCGGGCATGCGGTCTGCGCTGCATGTGAGGCTGTGTGCGCGGCTGGCGCGTATGTTTCCGTGCGGCGAGGGACGCGCGTATGTGTTCACGCTGCGGGCGCGGGCGGGCGCGGAGGGCGGCGCGGTCTCACCGCGGTCCGACGCCCGTTGGTCTTCTGCGTGACGAGGGTGGGCGCGCAAAGAGGCCTTGCCGCCATCGCGTGCCGCGAAGGAAAAAGAATAAATCTCAGGGCCCGCCCACCCCAGGGTATCCCTCTCAGCACTCAGGGACGACCCATTGGGTTGTAGCTCGATCGGTCACACCGCCATCGCCGTCGGGGAGAGGGGGGACGACACTGCTTCGGCAGCGTGCACCTCGATCCTGTACCGTGTTTGTTATGACCCCCCCCGATGAACACACCAGTGAGGGAGGGCGAGACGATCGAGGGGTCCCGTACCATGCGGAATCGACCCTATCCGGTGCTCAAGTGCTCAAGCTCTTTCGGGTCTCGCCGGGACTCGCTCCAAGAGACCTCGCTCGAGATTGCTGGGTTTCGGCTCCTATACCCAGATAGAGGGTCTGTTCACCACGGTGACATCCTATGCAGTAGGTAGGTAGGTCCGGTTTTGACCACCCCAGTCCCCAGAGGGCCCTACCAGGTAGGTATTCACTTTTTTCGTCTTTTTTCGCTTCGCTGCGCGGCCTGGGAATAGGTAGGTAGGTGGGGCACGGAGCCTGGCGATTGGCGCCCGCAATGGTAGGTAGATAGGTAGGGCGTTTGTCAGGGTGCGCAGACCCCCTCTCTGACTACAGTGGGTTGCGGGCATTAAGAAAACGTCGCATTAAGAAACCCTACCAAGCGATTTCCGCAAAAATCTAAGAAACCACGGCGCGCCGCAGGCGCGGCCCCGAGAAAAGGCCAGACACGAGTGTGAACGGGAGCCGCAGCTCAAATTTCTCTTCGTTCGCCTGCCTGCGGCGCGCACTTGTCACTTTCCAAGTCTGCGGTGTTCTGAGTGGAGTGGATGGAGGCGTGTGTGCGTCTTCCCGTCATCCAGAGAGCCGACTTGGCGGCAGACTCTGGCACCGCACTCGCGGACCGCAGGCAGCTTACCTCTTACCTAAAAATCCTTCGCGGACTCAGGGCCGGTGCTTTGACGCAGTATATTGTACTTCGAGGTAGTATGAACTCAGAACGGCCCCCCGAGAGCGCCTCTTCGACGCCCACGGGTCCCAGGGGGTCGGAGGGGTTGCGAGAGGGCCTGGACTATTTTTTGTTTGAATCCCGGAGGCCGTTCGAACATATAACGTGCGTTCCACGTGCCCGTCTCCCCAGCCAGCAAGGACAACATGCTAGCCCAGCAGGCCGCTCTCACCGCCGCCCGCGGCGTAGGCAAGGCGGCAAAGGGTGGCAAGGGCGGCGGCAAGGGCGGTGGCAAGGGTTGTGGCCGTGTGGCGCACCAGACCCACTTTGCGCCGCCGCCCTCAACGCCCGATACTCGGTTGAGCCGGCGGAGCGACGGCGGCAGAGTTGCGGCCGCCGGCGACCTCACACGGCGTCGAGCGCCGTAGAGACGGCCCCGAGAGCCGCCGCCAGGTGTGCCACGACCGCGGTCGCGAGGCTCGTGGCGATGGATGCGCCAGATCCGCTTGCGCCGCCGCCCTCAACGCCCGATACTCGGTCAGAGCCGGCGGAGCGATGGCGGCGGAGTTGCGGCCGCTGGCGACCTCACACGGCGTCGAGCGCCGTAGAGACGGCCCCGAGAGCCGCCGCCAGGTGTGCCACGACCGCGGTCGCGAGGCTCGTGGCGATGGATGCGCCAGATCCGCTTGCGCCGCCGCCCTCAACGCCCGATACTCGATCAGAGCCGGCGGAGCGACGGCGGCGGAGTTGCGGCCGCCGGCGACCTTCCCCTCGACCACGCCGCCGACCCGTCGACAAGCACGTGCGGACTGCCATCGAGAAGAAGGAGACGGAGGGCGGCGCATCCGGAGCCCGCGGGCGCAGCGGGCGCGGGTCCGGGCGCGGGCGGGCGCGCGCGGGAACCCCGCCAGCGGAGGCGACAATGCCTCTGGCGGCTCTGCAGGCGGCGCGCGGCGCGCCCCTCGCCGGTCTCCCGCACGCTCCTGAGGGCCGAGAGGGCCGAGAGGCGGGGTCGGTGACCCGGGGGCATGGGCGGTGCGGCCCGCGCCGCGCGCGGGCGCGTGACAGCCCGTGAGTGCCGAGATCAGGTCCGTACTTCGACGTAGTATGGGCCCCCGGCGGCCCATCTACAGCAGCGGCGAAGTGAGCGTGTTTGTGGTGTTGGTGTGGCGTCTGAGCTTGGATCTGTGACTAAAGCCGGTTACCACTGATGGATCCCCACCCGAATAACACACAGTGAGCGCCCCAGCGCTTCACTACGCCCTCCGCGCGAAATCTCGCTAGTGCTGTGAGAAAGTATATTGTACTTTTGAGTAGTACGGGTACGGTTCCCGAGACCGTTCGGGCCGGCGCTCTGGCTTGATTGAGTGCCCCGCCCGGAGCTAAGAAACCACGGCGTGGGGTGGATGAGGGCTGTGGAAAGGCTTAGAAACGGCGGCGTGCCGCAAAACACTGTTTTCTTAATGCCCGCAACCCACTGTACAGTAGGAGCCGGAACCCTGGTGTGCCAAACCGCTGTGCGCCTTGTAAATCGCTAGCACAACTGCGTGCCCGGGGCATGCTAGACGGCATCCGAGCAGCCTGCGGCGATGCGCGCCCGTGCCAGCTGAGGCCGCTCCAGCTCTTCCTCGCGTGGAACGGCGTGCTCGTCCTCGTCTATGAAGGCTTTCCAGACTCGCTGGCGGGCATCAAAGGCCGCCTCGCGCCGCGCTACGGGAGAGAGAACTTTGGAAGCCGGTGGCCCAAGACGACGCTCGCGGCCACGTCTGACACGGCGCCCGAGCTCGCTCTTCCCGAGCTTGAGCGGCTCAGAACGCTGTGCGTGGCACACAGCGCGGGCCTGCCGTCAGAGCCGGTGCCGGTGAAGGGTGTCGAGGTTGTCGAGTACAAATGGCGCAGCCTCGAGGCAGAGGGCGCGCCGCAACGAGCCGCAATCCCTCTTCCTGGAGGCGGAGGCGCAAATGGCGGCAGCTCCGGCAGTTCCGTGGGCGAGGAGGAGCGCGAGCGGGTGTGCGGCTTAGACGAGCCCGAAATGTACCCGAGACTTGCTCGAGATACGGCCGAGATGTACTGGAGCGGCCGAGGTGTACTCGAGATACCACCTAGTTGGCCGGGTGCTGACCGGACGGCGAGGCGCTTCGGTGTGAAGCCGTCTCTTCACAGCAGCAAGGTGTGACCAGGTCCGCTCTGTGCTGTCAGAGTGGGACGACACGGCCGCGTACCTTCCCCTCGCCAACAAGGTCAAAAGCCAGTCACACGAGGAGAGAGCGGTGTTTCGACAGTGTGGCGCACGTCCTAGCAGGGAAGACGGGGCACACGCACACAAGCATGTGGCGCGCCCCGCTAGCCACGAATTGAGAACTGGCGCCACTTGTGACCCTCTTCCCTAGGTGGGCTCCCGAATCAGCTCCTACCGCCACGCCTCCCCCGCCGGCGCCACCCTCGTCACCTTCCTCGCCACCTCTGGCGGCGACCAATGGGCCTCTGTCCTGCGGCAGCTGCGCGCCTTCCGGGAGAGCGTTGACGGCGCCTTCCCGGGCCGCTTCGCCTGGATGGCAGAGGAGTCGCTGCACTGCACACTGCGCGCGCTCGATACACCCGCTTCACCCGATTACGACCCCAGGGTGGGTGGGTGGGATACAAACAAGCCGACGGACAGCGAGAGACTGCAGCGCACGAGTTAGCACAAGCACAGAGGAACGCTCTGCAGCTACCACGAGGATCTCAAGTTTCGTAATCTCTCGAGTCGTTACAGACTCGGGGGGGGATCTGTCACGTGAGTGGTCAGAATTGGTTCCCCACAATATCAGCTCAATATCGAAGGTTCTCCTTCGCTCCCTCTGATCCTCCTCGCTCCCCTCAAAGCTCGAGGAAGGCTCTTCGAGATCATCTCCGTTGCTCCCCCCGCGGTGGGGAGCATGTTCCATAAAACGTCGTGGGGGGTCGGACCCCCCCTCAATTAGCATGCGTTCGGTGCACAATATTCGCTGTATGTCGGCGACTTAAAGCTCGGCGGCCGTCGCTCGCGCCGGCCGACTCCCTGTCCCCCCGCACCCGCCCCCGCCCGCCTCCCCGCCCGGACGCTGGCGTGCTTGCCCTGCCTTGAGATGGACCGCGCGCGCGCTCCGATCCAGTCCTGGGCGACGCGTGTGTCGATGTGGGGGTGCTTCTTGTGAAAGGAAGTTTTTTTGTGAGCCAGCCTTCGATGTTATGTGAAAGAAACGCCGCAAGGCGGTCATATTCATATCAACACATAAAAGACAACCATGGGCGGACACACACACACAGAAAGAAAGAAAGAAAACAGTGAACGCAAAAAAAGGGATTAAAGAAATAAAATAAAAGTTTTCAAAAGGGGCGCAAGTTACGCGGCGAGGGAAAAGGGAGCAAACAGGGGCAGCAAAAGGGACAAAAGGGACGCAGTGACGCCAGCGGCTGGCAGCGGTGGTCAGGGCGACCAAGCCGGCGATCGCGCTACACTCAGAGACAGGGTTGGTCGGCGTGCGGGTTCGCTGTCCAGAGTCCACCCAACGCGACTCAGAGGTGCATGGCCGAGCCCGAGGCGTCCGAGGCACCGAAGGCAGAAGCCTGGGACGTAAGCACAGAGAAAGGTCACTGCCGCTGGCCATCCCGAAACCGGCACTCGTCGTAGACGGGAGGCGCGGCGTTGAGCTGGTGTTGAGTGAGCGCAGGTTGGATTGTTGTCGTGTGTGCGGCAGCAGGAGGTAAGGTACGAGGAGCTCAAAGCGAGTTGAGAGTTGCGATGCTTAAAAGAGGCTTGTGTGGAGAGGTCGCCAAATACCGCAGAAAGGGGGCGATAATTGCTGTGAACATGGAATAAAGAACATGGAATAAAGAACGCGGAATAAAGAACCTTGGAAAGAACTGTGAGTGCAAACAACACTGGGCACGCGCGAAAGCAGCCTCCTTGAAGTCAAAGGGGTCTAGATTTGGAGCGCAGCCGAAGATCAAAGTCCCGCAGGCTGCCCAAAAAGGGGATGGGAGGAGGACAGGGTCCCCACCTACACACGAGCAGGACTTTGGAAGGACGATCAGGGATGACACAGGGGAACGGGAGTGGGGAGCGCAGCGCATCGCGACACGGAGAGGGGGCTGGGCAGGGTTCACCCACACGACAGGGAAAGCGAAAGGAAAGTGGAAAGAACACGTCGTTGAAAAATTCTTTTGCGCGCAGTCCCGTGCCCAGTGTTGTGCGATGGTTCTAAAAATCGTGGTGTACCTGTGAGCTGTGTTAGAGAGAGATTTTTATTAACTCTCTCTGTGTTAGTGCCAGTGCGCGCCAGTCCCGTGCCCAATAAATAAATAGAGGTCATCTCCAGGAGAGAGGGGCGACGCACGAACACAGAGGCACAGTGCGCACCCCGCCCCGCTCACAGGGCGTGCATCAGTGTCGTGCGAGGGAGTTTTGTTGCATTTTTTTCCAGCTCTCGTGAGCTGTGAAGTGCGATGTGAGCTTCTTGAATTCTTATCAACCTATCTGTGAACAGACGACTTGCCTTCGACGCCTTGCCCGCCCGCTCCCTCCGCCTCCGCCTCCGCCTCCGCCTCTGCCGCCGCCGCCGCCGCCGCCGCCGTTCGGGAAAGCATGTCGGAGCTCACTGTTGCCGAGGTGAGGCGTCACATGGACGCGTCCGGCTTCTCCGCGGCGTTCATTCGGCCGAGCAGCGACAACGGTCGGCTTGAGAGCGGCCTCATCATATCGTGGGTGCAGACGCGCGGCCGACTCGAGAAGGGCTCGGGCGACTCCGGCAAGGACCTCGTGATGATGCGCGAGGGTGGCTTTCCGGAGGTCTTGTTGAGCGGCGTGGCCGGCCTCTCCGAGGCGGTCTTCAGCCCGTCAGGCGTGTCCTTCGCAGTGCAGACCAAGGACGCCCTTCTCCTCGGCGACACTGCTGACCTGTCCACCCGCTCCTGGGTGACTCTGAGAGCCGGAGAGAGCTTCGCCGGGAGGCCGACTTGGGTGCGCGAGGAGTCCGTCCTGTTTGCCGTCAGCGGCGGCGAGCCAAAGCGGGACCGGCTCTTCATGCACAAGCGCGGCCAAATCAAGTCCGAGCGGGGAGGCCCTCTCTTCGTCGCCGCGCACGGTGGCGCGCTCCTAAATTGGGATCACTCGCAGGATGAGGATGACGCCGCGCACATTGCTGTCGTGCACCGGCTGCCCGACGCGATGCTGGCAGAGATTGTCCTCATGGACCACAGAGATCGCGGTCTAGACGACCGGTCCGGCTCCAAGGTTGTCGCCGTCGACTGCCGGCAGGAGTATTGCACTCCGCAGGTCGGCTTCCTCGCCCCCGACGCGCTGGACGGCCCCCCAGGACCCAGCCTGCTCCTTCGGCTCAACGCGCTGCCGCTCCTCAACGGTGGGCACTTGTGCGACGCGGAGCGTCTCAAGACGTTGCCCAAGGACGCGGTCAAGGAGGCAGTGCACGGCCTCTGGCTCATCGAGGATCTCAAGGCGCCGCGGCTCAGCCCCGTGCATATGGGGCCGCCGAATCGCATCGACGTCTTCAGCGGTTCGTATGGCCGCCCGGGTGCTGCGGAGGGCTTCCGGCTGGACCCGAGCCGATGCAGGGTTTTTCTCTCCGCGCGCACCACCGGAACGGAGCAGCAAGCGGACGGCGTACCGATCAGCTACTCGGACGACCTCTACGAGCTGTCGGCGGCCGCCGAGGGCGACGGTTCGCTCGAGCTTTTGCCGCTCCGCACCGCGACGCACGAGGGTGGTCCGGGCAAGGGCTGCAAGATTCCTGTGGCGTATGGGGAGACTGGCGGAGACAGGGGGCAGGGGGAGGTTCTAGTCGTCTACCACCACCGGAGCCCCACGGCGCGGGGAGACCTCTGGCTGGCGAGCCAGTCGAAGCCCAACCGCTTTTGCAGCTGGCGGGGCGGCGCCTCTGGGCGGGAGGCGCGGCTGACCAAGACGATGCCGCTGTCGCTGCAGCACAAGCTGCTCACGCCGACCGAGGTGATGGTCCGCAACGAGGCGGCCCCTCACTGCGGCGGCAAGGCGCTGCCCATCCACGCACTCCGCTTTGCGCCGGAGGGCGACGGCCCGCTGCAGCCGCTGCTCTGGCTGCACGGCGGGCCGATGTGCCAGCTCTCGTTCGACTACAACCCGCTGCTCTCCTGGCTCGCGTCCTGCGGCTACCTTGTGCTGGCGCCCAACTATTCGGGCTCGACTGGCAACGGCCTCGGCTTCATGAACCGCGTGATGGCGGACGGCTGCGGCGTCGCCGACCTCTCCGACTGCCTCGCTTGCGCGGAGTACCTCAAGACCGAGGCGCGTAAGGTCGAGCCGAGGCTGGACACGTCGCGAGGCGTGGCTGTGGCGGGGCACTCGTGGGGCGGCTACCTGGCGTCGATGTGCTTGCTGCAGCACGTCGGCGGCGAGAGCGTCTTCAGCTGCGGCGTCTCGATGGCGGGCATCGCTGACTGGTACGTGCAGCAGCGCCACACCGAGGTTCGCTACTACGATTACGCGCTGATGGGGGGCTGGGTGTACGAGAAGGAGGTCGCCGCCCGAGCGCGCGAGGCCTCGCCGATCACGAGGGCGGCCGAGCTGCGCGCTCCGATCCTGGTCCTGCACGGCGACAAGGACATCGACGTGCCCTTCCAGCAGGTTCCGCCCTTCGTGGAGGCGCTCAGGCGGTCCACTCACGGAGGCGCCGCCGTCGAGTACCACGCGTACCCCGGGGAGGGACACGGCATCGCGGGCACCGAGGCGCCTTCCAGTAGTAGTAGTGGTAAGCGACTCTCGTGAGGGGCACGGCATGGCGGGCGCCGAGGCGCCGGGCTGGCCGGACCATGCCCTCTCCACACCGCGACAATGCCCCTGCCGGCCCTTGCCCGCCACACTGCCCCTGCCGGCCCTTGCCACACTAGCCCTGCCGGCCCTTGCCCGCCACACTTACCCTTCCGGCCCAAACTCACGACCGCATACACCGCTCTTGTCCCCAGCGCCCACGGCGCATCCTCGGACGCGTCCAAGACACGGCCACAGGCGCAGGCGGACGTGCTCGACCGGCTCCGCACCTTCCTGCGGGTCAACCTCAAGCCGTGGGACTTCACCGACAACCCGCACGGAGAGGTGGCCGCTTACTAGGGCGAGGTCCCCGCCGTTCTCTTGCCAGGCTTTCTGGTGTGTCACGCTTGACGCACCCACGCGGAAAAAAGCGCGGAGAGAAAACGAAAAGCAAACGCCGGATATTCTGGGGTTTGACTTGTCACATGCACATGACAACACACACATGCACGCGTTACGTCATTGCATGTGCTACCATGTTTGTGGCAGGTGACAGCGAGAGATGACATGAAAAAATCTCCACTAAGCACTGCCCGTACCCCACTGGTCTAGGGGACCGACTAGGCACTACCCCCACACGCCCGGTGCAGCGCGACGAGGAGCATGCTCGGCACGAGCTCGTGGTACACCGCCTTGGCAAACGAGGGCAATTCGAGGTGCACCACGTTGGTTCGCCACGGATGGAGCGCGAGGGTGGGCTCAAAGACGTCGACGTACGCGGCGCCCGCCGAGGCGCGCGCGAGGGCATTGGCGGCGGCGGTACGCCACGAGGAGCGGTCCTCCCGCTGTGGCCACTGGGACAAACTCAGCAATTCCGTGGCCATGTCCATTCGTGACCATTGAGTCACGCAGGCGCCGCGCAGGCTGGACCATGCACCTTTGGGACCACCGCCAGCAGCACCAACAACCCCATCGTCCTCGGCGGTGAGATGGGCGTTCGGCCCGATGGCGAAAGCGGATCCCTTCACGCGCGCGAGTCGCCTGAGCGTCCCGCTCACGTATGCGCGGTACCGCCTCACCCAGCTGGCAGATCCATACCCCATTGCCGTTGCCGCCGCGGGTGTCAGCCTAGTTTTCCCATCGTGATCGCTCTCGTTGGGCGCCAAATGGAGGGCGAAGGCCATGGGCCGCACGTCAACCCACTGAACCGTCACGCCAGCGTGCTCCCACGATGCACTCACCTTCCCCGAGTTGGAGTCGCCAACCAAGTACAGCGTCCTCTTGCCAACTCGCGCCCACCAGGCCAGCGCCTCCCGCACCTCCACATCGAGCACATCCTGCCACTGTGTGCATCGGCGCAGGTGCCACCGCAGTTGACCACTCTGGGCCACTGCTCTGCCGTCGTGCGACTGCCACCATCCGTCGGATAGGTCGGAGATGGCCACAGGCCGCGTGCAGCGCTGGTTCGCCGTGGAGTTTGATCCACGGATGACAGCGTAGCTCGTCGCGCGCACAGCCGTGGCCCCGTGCGGCACGCTCTCGCAAAAGGTTGGCCGGCTGGAGCCTTCGGTCGCGAGAGCAAAGTCGGTCGGATGTGAGTGCCCGATGGCATCGAACCTAGCATCTGGCTTCACGCTCCGCAGCGTGCGGTTGCAGCTGTAGAAGTCGGCGGTGAAGTTCAAGTGGAAGCGGCCAGGGCCGGCAAACGAGTAGCGCCATAGCAGGTATGCGACCCCGTCGTCATAGTCAGCGAGGTTTGGGAGACTGTAGACATCAAGCGAGTGAGCAGCAATATGAGCGTGGTGCAACGAAAGAGTGCCGCTGATCGAGACGCGGATCATGTGGCGGTCGTCCGCAAGCTGGGCGCCATCTAGGGCAAGCTCGGATGCATTGGCGCCGCGCACTACCGAGAGCGACGGCGTACCTGTGGCGAGACGCAACACCACGCCGAAGGGCGCCCCCGCATTGCCCACGAGGAGGTCCGCCATGGAAGTAATACCCGTCGTGACATGAGCAACGATAACCTAGACCTCAGCAGCCTGCAGTCGATGCTGGCCCCGACAGATCCATCCAGATCCATCCAGCCGAGGCGGAGGATCCGGGCAGAAAAGAATTTTACAAACGCACGACACTGGGCACGGGACTGGCGCGCACAGAAAAGAATTTTACAATCCGCGGTCGCACAGCACGATTCACAGCACGATTCACGCAGAAAAGCATTTCAGAAACCCCAACGGGTTCTGACAACCAACCCGAGGTTACCGGAGAGCAGCTGAGTGAGTCTGCCTCCCTCGTCCCCCTTCACCTCCGTTGAGTCGCCCTGCCCCAGTCGTCCACAGAGCAAGAGAGCACGACCGGCGGTCTGGCTAGTCAGCCCGCAGCCACTCTTGATGACGCCCATGAAGTACAGGAGCGATCGCAACTCGCTGGTCTCTCCGCAAGGCCTCCCGGACCGCGTCGAATTCATCGACGCGGGCTCTCTCGGCTACGGGACCGGGCCCCAGCTTCGGCTGAGGGCTGACAAGCTGCCGAGCCCAAATCACTTCTGAGAGCCGTGATTTCTCTTGTTGGGTTTCAAAAATCTCTCTCTGAAAGAAAGCAAAACAACACTCAAGGGAGGCATCACTACTCACTTTATGCAGCGCCTCGCACGCCGTCCTCGCCTGGTCGCTTTGCGGGATTGGCGCGCGGCGGAGATTCTTTATCCTGCGTTAAGTGCCACCCAGTGGCAGTGCGCGCCAGTCCCGTGCCTGTGTCGTGTCACGTGTGTAAAAATCTCCTTGTTATTGCCAAGAAAGAAAGACAGAAAACAGACGACCCAAGGCGGGATGAGAGGACGGCACGCCGCCACCACACAGCTCACAGGTCACACAGGGATTTTAAGGAGAGAAGTGTGGTGCTAGCCGTCGCCCACCCTTGGGCGTCTGCCTCTCTCTCTTCCTACCTATCTCCCTTCGCAGTCCCTCGCCGATTCTCGCTGCAAGCAACCTTCATGCCACCTCGCGGTCGTCCCACTCTCGTCGTTCTCTCTCCTGCCTGTCGCTTCATCCTCTGTCTGTCTCGTCGCTCTGCGGCGAGAGAAAGAAAGAAAGAAAACGGAAAGCCAAGGAAAGAAAACGGACAACCCAAGGTAGGGATGGGAGGACGGCACCCCGCCTGGAAAAGAAAGAAAGAAAGAAAACACACAACCCAAGGGAGGGATGGGAGAACGGCACGCCGCCACCACACAGGGATTTTAAGGAGAGGAGGGTGTGATGCGCTAGCCGTCGCCCACCCTGGGGGGTCTGCCTCCTCGTATCTCTTTTCGCAGTCTCTCGCCGCTTCTCGCTGCAACCTTCATGCCACCTCGCGGCTGTCCCACTCTCGTCGTTCTCTCCCTCGTCACTTCCCCCTCTGTCGCGTCGTTCTCTTCTGCCTCGTCCTGCGACGCCGCCGCCTGCCGGTCCCTTGTTCTCGCGGCTTCTTTCGCCTCTCGGCGCAACTCCGTCCTCCTTGCGGCGTATCCTGGCCCCTCGAGTCTATCGAGCTCCCCTCGCGCAAGGACCACATTTCTGACTCCCACTCCGATCATTTGCCTCCAAGTCATGTTGTTGCTCAGGTCCACTCTCTCTTCGAACACTCGTGCCTCTACGGATGATGCCGGCGCTGGGGTCCCCTTCGGATGCATCGTGACATCTGACAACTGAATTTCCACTGGTTCGTCCTCCTCTGAGTCATCTTCCCCGTCCTCCTTCCGCTCGGCTCTTCGCTCGGTACGTTCGGTGTGGCCCGCCTGGAAACCCAAGGAGCGACTTCGGGCAATTTCTTTTGTTTGAGATCGTTGGCCATCAGCGCGGTGGTCCCCCAGGTTTCCAGGTTTGCCGGCTCTTGATGATCTGCCTCCTCGGCGCCCTCGCGCCCGCGCTCCTCGTCCCCGCATCTCCGCCTGTGCGAGCGCGAGTCGTGCGCATGAGCGAGACCGACGCCAAGGCCGCCTGGCTCGCCAAGAACCTACCGACGTGGTCCGGCGCGGGAAAGGTCTCTGCCGACTCCTTGGCCGAGGGGCAGGCCGTGCCGGCATGGCTCTCTGACGGCCTCGGCAAGGTCTCAACGTGGAGCCAGGCGGCGGGGGCGCTCCGGCAGGCGGCGGCCGAGTTTTCCGCCCTCGCAGAGGCGTGCGGCTCTGGCGATGACGTGGCGTGCGCGACGCTGACGCGCGAGGAGGCGTCGAAACGCGCCTGGCTGGAGAGGCTCGACGCGCCGACATGGGCCAAGACGGCCTCCCCGGCGCCGCTGGCGGCGCTCTCGGAAGCCGAGGCCAAGGCCGCTTGGCTGGCGAATGCGCCATCCTGGGGCAAGGCGGCGACAGCACCCTCCGAGCCGGCGGCAGTGCAGGCGGAGCAGGCGGCGGCGGCGGCGGCGGAGGCAGAGGCGGCCAAGGCTGCCTCTCTCCCCTCGCTCTCTCACACCGTCCACCGCCCACGCGTCTCACTCCACGCGTTTCGCGAGGCTAGGAGGCGTGGCTAGCGAGGCTCGAGGCGACGCCGTCGTGGCTGGGCGAAGGTCCGGCGGCGGCGGCGGCACCGGCGGAGGCGGAGGCGGAGGCGAAGGCGAAGTGGCTGGCGAGCCTCGACGCTCCATCATGGGGCAAGGCGGCGGCGGAGCCGGCAGCTCCCGCAGGGCCGGCTGCAGAACCGGCGGCACCGGCAGCAGCAGCGGCGGCCGAGGAGGCGGAGGCCAAGGCTCGCTGGCTGGCGAGTCTGGACGCCCCATCGTGGGGCAAGCCGCGGCCGGCGGCGGCGGAGGCGGAGGCGAAGGCGAAGTGGCTCGCGTCTCTCGACGCGCCGTCGTGGGGCACGCAGGCGGCGGCGGCGACAGCACCCTCCGAGCCGGCGGCAGTGCAGGCGGAGCAGGCGGCGGCGGCGGCGGCGGAGGCAGAGGCGGCCAAGGCTGCCTCTCTCCCCTCGCTCTCTCACACCGTCCACCGCCCACGCGTCTCACTCCACGCGTTTCGCGAGGCTAGGAGGCGTGGCTAGCGAGGCTCGAGGCGACGCCGTCGTGGCTGGGCGAAGGTCCGGCGGCGGCGGCGGCACCGGCGGAGGCGGAGGCGGAGGCGAAGGCGAAGTGGCTGGCGAGCCTCGACGCTCCATCATGGGGCAAGGCGGCGGCGGAGCCGGCAGCTCCCGCAGGGCCGGCTGCAGAACCGGCGGCACCGGCAGCAGCAGCGGCGGCCGAGGAGGCGGAGGCCAAGGCTCGCTGGCTGGCGAGTCTGGACGCCCCATCGTGGGGCAAGCCGCGGCCGGCGGAGGCGGAGGCGGAGGCGAAGGCGAAGTGGCTCGCGTCTCTCGACGCTCCGTCGTGGGGCACGCAGGCGGCGGCGGCGACAGCACCCTCCGAGCCGGCGGCAGTGCAGGCGGAGCAGGCGGCGGCGGCGGCGGCGGCGGAGGGAGAGGCAGAGGCGGCCAAGGCGCGATGGCTCGCGACTCTGGACGCTCCGTCTTGGAGCAAGGCGCCGGTGGTGGCGGCGTCGGACGTAGCGCCCGCCGAGCCCGCCGAGCCAGCGGCGGCGGCGGACGCGGCACCCACCAGTAGCGACGAGTGGAAGCCGGCCTTCGGGTTGGTGACGGAGGCGCATGCTGCGGGTGCGGCGGCAAAGGTGCGGGGCTTTGTCCTCGCCGAGACCCTCGCGGAGATGGCCGCCTACCTCGAGTCGAAGGGCTCTGCGGGCGGAGTCTGATACCGCCAGGCGCCGGGCGCCCTGAGTCTGCTCGGACGTTTCTTTGGAGGCTGCATGTGAGTGAGGGCAGGAGGGCGAGAGTGTGTACCGGCTGCCCCGACAGAGTGCTGGGAGACATGGGAGCGGCGTGCGAGCCAGCAGAGAGGGGTTGGACTGACACTGTGAAATGGTGCCGGCGCCGACACCGCGGTCCGCGCGGAACCATGTCTCTTTGGCCATGATACGTGAGGTAAGCTTTTGGCTAGAGTCTAGACAAACCGATGTTTTTGCGCCTGCATTTGCAGCAAAAGCTGCGCATAACCATATTGTCGATCTTGATTCTTGTGCCAACGAAGGCCACAGCCCCACACTGCACACACTACACAGCGCACAGGTGCAGGTGCGTGGTCCCGTCCGAGGACTGACCTGACACCCCCCACATCCGAGTACTCAGCCGAGTCTAGTCTCTATTCTCATAAGAGTACGCCAAGACTGAAGCCTGGTGCCGGACCGATGGCGATGCCGGCCCCTTCTCCTACGAGGGTGCGATTTCAAACGCCTTTGCCATGAACGAGTGGGCCGTGCAGTAATAGAAGATTTGCCCTGTGTAGTCTTCCGGGATCGTGATCTGTGTCCACTCTCCGAGCGTTAAGACGGACGTTCCAACCAGATTAAACTCGGGCGGCAGGTCGACAAAGGGCTCCGATCCGAGAGCGAAAGGGTGGCGCCCATCCCTCGACGTGCGCTCGCCACCCTTGAAGGCATAGGTCTTGCCAGGCTCGAATGGTTGCAGCGGTGGGTTGAAGTTGTAGTAGGGGTCTCCAAACTCGCCGCCCGACACCCAGTATTTCGCATCAATCCGAATCGGAGGCGACGGCGGTGTCGCCGGCGACAACGGCATTTGTGGGGGTGCGGGTGGCAGCAGGAGGAGAAACGGCTTCATCATGAACGTGTGGGCCGTGCAGTAGTAGATGATTGGCCCTGTGTATTCCTCTGGAATCGTAATCGTCGTCCACTCTCCGAGCGTCAAGATGGACGTCCCCACCTGATCGAACTCGGGAGGCAGGTCGACAAAGAGCGCTGCCCCGATGGCGAAAGGGTGGCGCCCGCCCTCCACTGTGCGCTCGCCACCCTTGAAGGCATAGGACCTGCCAGGCTCGAATGGTTGCAGCGGTGGGTTGAAGGTGTAGTAGGGGTCTCCAAACTCGCCGCCCGACACCCAGTATTTGACCAACGGTGCCACCGCTGGCGCTGGTGATGGCAAAGGCAGCAGCGGCGGCGGGGCCATGGAGCATGCGTGGCATCCGGCGCAAGTTCGAAAGCCACACTTCTGTTCCCACGGACGCGTATTTTGAATGCAATAGTTGAGGCAGGGCAGGTGAGGGGGAGCTGCAGGCGGCGCAGGCGGCGGCAAAGATGGTGGCGCTGAGCAGCTCGGCGAGCATTCCCTGCACCCGGCCCACTTACACTTTTGCGCCCATTCGTTCGTGTTGCGAATGCAAGAAGGCTTGCATGCGTCTTCTGGTACTGCGTTTAGGACCGAGGCGCAGTCGGCCGTCCCCTTCACGAATCTGAAATTAGTGCAACCGCCGCAGCCATTCCAGGTGCACTTTTTGGCCCAGATGTTTGTGTTGCTGGCGCAGTAGCTTCGGCACAACGCCGGTGGCATTTCAGGACAGTCAGACGGGCAGCTACGGCATCCGTTCCACATGCACTTCTGGTCCCACGGCTTGTCATTGGTCGCGCAATACCGGGCGCATTCGCCGGCCGCGAGGATGAAGCTCAGCGCCGGGAGCATATGCCGCTGTAGCCCTGCGGAGGGTGGCAGAGGGTGGGTGCGCGCTCGCTTGCGCGCGAGCTCCCAACCAAGAGGTTTTGGCAGATTGGGCGGTCAGGTTGGTACAAGAGACACACACATGGTAATCGGCGCCAATATCGACTGGTAATATCCAATAATTCGCCGAATTCTGTTGAAGGTAGTTTTAAGGTATGAGATGGACAAGGGTGAGTGGAGAGAGCCCACACACTTGAGCTCGTCATAGCAGGTCTGGCTGCTTGCTGCTTCCACCCGGCCACCGAGCAAGTGCGACGGCAAGTCGCAAGAGCCGCCCCGAGGGTCGACGCCTCGAGTACAATCAATTCGTACGTATGCTAGATGGGAGGTGTTGATGCAGTGGAAGGTGAGCCCAACACCCCACAAGGCTTGGCGCCAGGCGGCGGCGGGGGGAGGGGGGGCTCGCTTATTTGTCGCTTCACGCTTGCGTGGTCTAACTCTCGCATGCTCTCTTCTGCAGGGAAGCTAAGGCGGGCTCCCACCGTGCGGTTGCGGGGGCTAGGTGTTGCGGGTGTGGACTTGTGGAGCTGGTCGGGAACCCCACACACGATCTCTCTCGAGCGGATGCCAAAATAAATTCAACATGAAAACAGGGGCTCCCTGAGACCCATCATGGCGGCTCTACCTCTGCATGTCGCTGGCCTGCCGTTGTTCCAGCGATGTGCAAACCTCGACGTCACCCCTCGCTGTCGCTGTGTCTCCGCCCCGCCGGCTCTTGCCGCACGGCGCGAGGTTCTCCTGTCCGCCGCGGCGCCACTTCGACGCGCGCGCCCAGGCCGGCCGGCAGCTCAGAGCTTGAGAGTGGGGACCGCGTCGAGGTTTGGGAGGGGCTCGCCGCGGAGGCGGCGGCGGTACTGGCCGAGGGCCCAGAGGGGGAAGATGTTGCGGTAGTTTGCGTACGTGATCATGCAGTTGTGGTTGAAGACGCCTACGCATGACCAATTCACAACCACTCATCGCGCGCCCACCTGTTGAGGATGAGAAAGGTGTGGCCGAAGATGCCGGAGATGAGCTGCTGCGGCCAGTCGCCCGTCGGCTCCTGCATCGACATCAGGAAGGCAGCCGCGCGCGCGAGGACCGGCGCCGCGCCGGCCATCGACTCGTCGCAGCCTTCCGTGCCGGCGAGGAGGGCGAGCATCGCCCACGACGTGTTGACGACCTGAGGACAAAAGAAATACGTGCTCCCAAAAGAAACACGGCGCGGACGACGTGTTGACGGCCTGCGGCGCGTCCGCGAACGGTGACTACACCGGCTGAGGGATCAACGGAAGGAAGGGGAGGCATGCACTCGATGGCGTGGCTGGCGACGCGTCCGCGTGCCAAGTGGTGCGGTGAGGGAAGGAGTGCGCTCGTGCAAGCGGGTGTGGGGGGGGGGCCTGCGACGCGTCTGCATGGTGGTACTCCTTCCTCGAGGACGACAAGTAGGACTCGCCCCAGCCGCCGTCGGGCAGCTGCTTGGAGCGCAGAAACGCGAGCGCCTTGGCGACGTGCGGCGAGGTTGCCTCCCGCTCGCCGACCGAGGCGAGGCCGACCACGCCAAACCACGCGCCTGAGGCCACGTAGTACGGCTCCATCTCGGCTCCATCTCGGCTCCATCTCGGCTCCATCTCGGCTCCATCTCGGCTCCATCTCGGCTCCATCTCGGCTCCATCTCGGCTCCATCTCGCGCCATAGGTGAAGCAGACGCCCCACGAGCCGTACCACGAGCCGTCGGGCCGCTGCTTGTCGCGGATCCATTGCGCGCCTATCCGCGAGCCATCAGCCATTAGAATGAGCGCGTGGGCCACCCAGCTGCGTGTCGCGGGTCCACGGCGCGCCGAGCTTGATCGCCGTCGAGATCTCGGCGGTGCGGTGGCCGGGATGGCGGCGGTGGAAGTGCGAGAGGGCGGTGATGCAGGCGCAGGTCAGCTCGCAGTACGAGTAGTCGATGACGATGTCCCCGAAGCACTCAGACGGGTTGAGAAGCTCGAGCGCCGCGGGGCCGCGCGTGTTCTCGTAGGTGGCCCAGCCGCCGGTGCCCCAGTGCTCGGCGGTGTTTTGGTACGAGAGAATGACGTTGACGCAATCGAACAGCCGCTCCGGCTCGAGCGCCGCTACGCCGGGCAAGCCGAGGGCCTGCACGCCAAGACAGCCGAGGTGTGGCCTCTCCCTCGGCTAGAGCTCGGCTGAGATCGGCTGGAGATCGGCTAGATCTCCGCCCAGATCTCGGCTAGATATCCGCCTCGACAGCGATGACGCCCTTGAGCCCTTCCGAAGAGCAGTCCGAGATCGGCCAGCCGTGGTCCTATCGTAATGATAAGCTACAATGCAGCAGGATATCATACAGCAGGACGAGATCGGTCAGCCGGGTCCTGGGTCGAGAAGGGCCACGCGCCGTTTGAGATGTGGCGGTAGTACCTCTCCACCTCGGGGCAGTCCTCGCGCACTTGCGACGCGTCGAGGTACTCGTGCGCCTTCCTCAGGATGGGCGAGACCTCGGCCTCCTCGCCGAGGCCCGACGCCGCGATGGCCTGCACTGCAAAGGCCGTGTCCCACGCCTGCGACCCGTTGTAGCCCTGCATCTTCATGCCGTCCTCGGCGAGCCAGAGGTAGTCGAAGATGCGGGGCAGGTGCGCCTTGAAGGCCTCCCCGTGCGGGTCGTCGTACCAGCAGCAGACCATGTTGATCGCCTTGTTGACCGGGCCGATGTCGACATGCCGTGTCGATCCGTCCTCGTGCAGGATCATGTCGGCGCACCACGACAGCGCGCGGCGGCGTAGCCAGGCAGGGATCCACGGCTCTGCTGCGGCGACGACCTTCCAGAGCAGGTCCTGCAGCGGGTGGTGCTGCACGTACATGTCTGCCGGGCCGCAGTTGTTGCGCTGCTCCTCCCACGCGATCTCAGAGTACGGCTCCACGTAGAGCTCCTTGCGCAGGGCCTCCGTGAGGGGCGTGGGCGGGCAGGCGGCGCGCTTGCCGTACAGGTACGACATTGGCAAGTAGACCATGCGGCAGTGGCACCAGAAGCGGCCCGGGTGGACGATCAGCCAGTAAGGCAAGATCCACATCTCCGGCGGCAGAGGGTTGATGCCGCGCCACTCGTACACGCCCAGCAACGCGAGCCAGAACTTCGCCCACGACGTGTTGTTGACGGCGCCGCCGCGGCCGTGCATGAAGGCGCGCGCGCGGAGGCAGTGTGGGTCGTCCGCCGCCATGCCCAGCAGCCGCGCGGCGACGTAGTTAAGCGACGTCCCGAACATCGTCGAGTGGCCCTCGATGTGCAGCCCCGTGCCTCCGTCCTCATTCTGGTGGTTGCGCAAGTAGCGCAGCATCTCAGCGCGGTGCTCCGCCGGCAGCTCCGTCTCCGTCACGTAGCAGGCGATCACCAGCCCGGGCAGCAGGAACATCGGCCCGCCGTAGTCGCCCGGCCAGTGGCCGTCCTCCATCTGGAGGCTGCCGTAAAAGCCGATGCCGTGCCGCAGAGACGCGTCGACCTGCTCTGCCTCGGCGGCGCCCTTGGGGAGCGGCTTCGCCGCGCGCCGCTTCCCGCCCGTCTCGCGCAGCGCCTGCAGCCGCAGCGGCTCGTCCGCCGAGTGGTGGCGCACCTCGGCCATCGCCTCGTACTCGCGCCGAAAGTGCGAGAGCGCGTCCGCCTCCCAGGCCGCGGGAGCGGCGGCCGGGTCGAAGGTCCACAGCTGGCGGCCCGTGTTGCCGTTCAGCGTGTGCTTCACCGGCCCGAGCGGCGACTCGCCCGTGCGGGTACGGAGCGTCCACGTGCCCTTGCGCGCGGCCGGCGCGACCGGCTCGGGAAGCGTGCGCGTCACCGGGTAGGTTGTCCGCCACGTTGGCGAGTAGAGGAGGCGGTGGATGAGGCGGAGAACTATGCGGAGCGGGAGGAGGAGCGCGTGGAGGAGGTCAGCGAGCACGGGCATCTCAGCGTCGAGGCTTCTGCTTCGGTAGAGTAGGAGGAGAGCTTCTTGGGGAGCTTGGGGAGCTCTGCCACTCGTTGGCTCTTCCTTGTGCAAAAAGAGAATTTTAGCCTTCCGAATTTACAAGGGAACTCCCTCGCACAACACTGGGCACGGGACTGGCGCGCACTGGCACTAACACAGGTACACCACTGGAGCCGAAGAGAATTTTCGAAGAAATCGGAGCGAGCCCAGGCGAGCCGATGGGTTTCTCGGAGTTAAGTGCACCACCAACCGCCGAAGCGCAAGCGCTTGGAGCAAGAAAATGGAGCTAGGCTAGGGTTGCGCAGCTATGAACAGGAGCGAGTTCGCGCTGCGCTAGGCTCAGTACGGCGAGTTCGCGCTCTGCACCGCTACTCCGTAGACCGTACGGCTCTCTTGCGGAGAACCTTTATCTCTCGGCTGCGTTGGCTCGCCAAAGTCTTTGTTCTCGATGGCGCTGGGTCCGCTGACTGGGGCGGGCGTGGGTGTGCGTGTTTGGTAGAGCAGCAAAAACGCACGTCGTCCGGGTTCTGTCGTGACTCGTGTGCGTCGCCGAGCGTGCGGGCGGAGAGAGGCGAGGCTGAGCCTGTGCGTGTGGCGAGAGCTAAGACAGAGCAGTGCGAGAGTTACACACGACACACACGACACGACAGGGACACAGACACAGACACAGACACACACTGCGCTCCCCTCAGCGGGTAGGGAGACGCGAACCCGACGGAGTCCGGTGGTGGGGGCCCACGCAGCCAGCCCCTGCGTGATCTGTGATCCGCTGTAATCTGTAAGGGTCCGCCCGCAGGCGCATTTTGTATACCGAGGCGGTGCCCGGTGCCGAACCTGTCGGACCTTAAGACAGCATTGTAGATCCCTGGGCGAGGGTGGTGGAGAGGGCGGCCCGTCGGCGCCAAACCACCTCCCACCGAGGCGGGCAGGTTCCACGCGTTCCCGGACCGCCCCGTTGGAGGTAGACCGCTCGTCTAGCCAATCAGCCTTAAGCGAGCGATCTGGCCGTTGGAATGGCCGAGGTTGGTGGACTTGCGTCCTCGCATCGATCATGGTTTTACGAGCATTGTTAAGTTCCACTACGATCTCTGAACACTGGGCGAGGGACCTTCTTAGTTGTCCGGGCCTGCTTTGCAGGCTCGGCCGTTCAGAAATTTTCCCTCACCCCTCCTCCTCTTCGCCTCTTGCTGCGGTCTTTCTCGTATGACTTTTGATCCCCCGATTTTCTTGCCGATCCCTCCATTCGTTTGCGTAGGCGCTGCTTCTGGGCTTTCGTCACCGGCTCTCCATCCTCTCCATGCTGTTTGCTCGCCCCCTCTCCCTGACTCATCGAATCGCTACGTTCATTCTCAAAGCGCCCTCGCTTCCTCGGCGGCTGGGGCGCCTCGTCCTCTGGCTGTTCCTCTTCTACGTCCATCACTGTGAATTCGTCGTCTGTCTGGCTGCCATCGTTCGGATGGCCCGTTTCGGGTGGCTGCTCGCTCGGTCCTGGCTTTGCTGCGCGGTCGGGTGTCTCCTCGTCGTCGCTCCTTGCGCCATCGTCGCTGTCGTCGTTGTCTTGGCTGGTGGGGTGTTCCCTGGTTTCACCCCCGCTGTGCCCGTGCGTTGCAAAGGTTGGTGCTGAGCCGCCGCCGCCGCTCGCTCTCGAAAAGCGTCGCGCTGCTGCCCGTTCCCGGAGCGACGAGCGCGAGTTTGGTGGCCAGGGCCTCGCCTGAAGGGGGGGCGGGGCAGGGGGGAGAAGTGAGGACGTCAGCGAGCGGGTGGGGCTGCCGGGAAGGTGGTGGGCGGGGCGTGGATGCACCTTAAACGGGCGAGTAGCGGGAAGACCGTCGATACTCCGGCGGAAGAGTGCTCCCCCGCCGCCCCCTGGGTCACCCCGAGTGACCTCGCAGCCCACGCCGTGAGGCGCTGCTGTCAGGGGAATGTTGGGGGCGCGCAAAGCCGCTCGGAAGAGACGGCCAGGAGCCAAGGGGCGGCCGGAGCGCGGCGAAAGACCGAGGGGAAGTGGCCGCCGCATACAGCCTCCGGCGGGCCTCCGGCGGACGCCTGCGGCGTGGCGCTGCGCGCGACCGGCCCCTTCTCGGTGCGCTGCAGGACGCCCTCGCTCAAACGCGCACCTGCCGGGTCGGGGCGGTCACGGGACCGGCTGAAATTGCGGCCGCAGCTGCTTGGGGGGGTGAGGATGGCCGGGCTTGAACGGCTTCTCGCGAGGTACCCGCATCCCGACGCAGCAGCGATTTGGCATTCTATATCTTTCGCGGTTTTCGCCAAGCGCTGGCGCGGCGTAGCGCGCCAGATAAATTTCTTTTTACTCGCGCACCCGCGAGATAGGAGCTCCGCGGAGCCGCCAGGCGCCCGCCCCGGCGATTCGCTCGCTACGCGTCGCTCACCGCCGGGGCGGGCGCCTGGCGGCGCCGCTGCGCAAAAACACTACGACGTATTGTAGTCTTAAAGAGAATTCTAGCTGGAGGAAAGAATTCTAGCTCTTTAGCGAGTCCCGGACCATGCGGAATACCAAAGAAACACCAGCCAAACTTGCACGTGACAGCCTCGACCGACCCGCGCGCGAGATGTTGTCGTCCTTCTCGCCGTCGGCCGAGGCGCACCGCCTGGCAATCCACCACCCTCTCAACCTCACCATCAGGCCCGTGGAGCACACGGCCTCCTCTCGTCGATTCGCCGACTGCTCGGCCGGCGTCGTGCACCCAAGCCGCCAGGTCTGCTGCAACGCCACGTGCGGGCTGTGTGGCGGACATGGCTGCTCCGGTCGCCCCGGCGGGCCACGCGAGTGCTGCATGCCCGCTATTTTGCGTACGGGTCAGGTCTGCGAATCACGGGCGGACGTGGCCTGCATCCTGCGGGGCAGCAGCAACTACATCCGAGGCGATGGCGTTGAGCATCGCGGCAGCAGTGGTGAGGGGTTCCCCAGGGCTCCACCACCGCCGCTGCCATCGCCTCAGGCGCACGCACAAGCACAGACCAATCTCGGCACGAACGTCACACCGGCACTGAGCCATGACGTGGGCATGGAGAAGAGGCAACGCTCCGTGACCGTCAGCGGTTCCACGCGGCGGCTGACAGTCGGCATTGCCACAATGGTGCACATGGACGTGGACTTCCGGTCAGCAGCCATGACACCGGGTCACCTGCACAACACATTTTGCGGTTTAGCAAAGTGGTGCTACAACGCCGCGCGCTGGGTGCAGCTCCTGAGGCAGGAGGGATCACACCGTGCTGGTGTGCTCGTTCTGACGGACAATGCGAGCTTTGTGGCCGCCGAGTGTGCCAGCGCCTCACCCACCATACGCGGCATCGACACGAGGTTGGCCCACGCCATTGGTAACTTCTCCATTCATTATGCCCGCCACGGGCCTCGGGTCCCCGCTGCGTCCTGCCCGTCCTGCCACTGCAACGTCCCAGGCTGCCTCGATGCCCGCTTTCAGAGGGCGGCCCTCTCCAAGTGGCAATTCGTCAATCTCGTCAGCTGGGATGTGCTCCTCGTCACAGACCTGGACGTCGACCTCTTCCACTACCCTCTCCAGCCGACGCGCCTGGCGGCGGCCAATGCAACGATTTCGAGCGCTCTTCAGGGGTTTTGGGATTCAGGCCGGCAGCTGCGCGCGAGCTTCGATGCTAGTTCACCCGTCAACGCAGGCTGCTTGCTGCTCCGGACGAACCGCTCGACGTTCGCGCTCGGGCTTGACACACTTGAAACACTCCGCTTCAACACGTCGACCGGGTTCAACCTGAGCGGAGCGCCGCGCGCGGTTCTCAGTACTGCAGACCGGCGGCGCTATGGCCCCACAGTGATGGTGAGGGACAACAAGTGGAACTTTGTGGGGGGGAATGCCGACCAAGGCCTCTTTGCTTACGTGTACATCGCGAGGCTGCGGCAGAAAATTGCGCCGGGCGCCAAGTGCGGCTGGAGCGCACGCCACTTTCACGCTGCTGATAAGCCATGGTTGCTGCACTTCACCCGCTGCATCGCCTACTTCGACTTCGTCAGCACCAACCGCACCACCTCATGGCCAACATCGCCGTGTGTGCGTTGGCTTGAGGTCAGGTACGCCCAGGCGAGGCTGATGCCAAAGCCAACGTGGCCTGAGTGCGGTGGAAAAAGTCAGTGCATCATCAACATACCTAAAACCAAAAATCTGGGTGTGACGTGAGTTAGACGAGGATCAGATGAAATAGGAATCCAATAAATAAACAAAGAGCTGGACAAATGCCAAATTCCAAATCGCAGTTATAGAGAAACCCACAAGACGGCAACGCAGCAGAGCACAGGCACATGACGATGATGATTCAGCGCGTGACCGCCAACTCACCAGCACAGGCAGTAACGGGCCGACGATTACGCAGCAGCGCGCCGCGCGCCAGTCTGGTCTCGAGAGTTCAACTTACGTCCTGCCGTCCCCCGACGCCCGGGGCGTGCTGGCAGTTTTCACCCCTCCCCAACGCCAGGCCGGTCCATGGCGGCCAGGCAATCCTCTCCTGGGGCGGGGGCCCAGCCAACGCCTCCTCTCTCCCCCGTAGCAACCCCATGCTCGTCGGCGAGCTCCACCTCCGACTCGGCATCGCAGAACGACAATTACAATTGGGACGATGGGCTACCGGACCCAGTGGTGGCCTGGCCGATGGACGACGTTATCCATGAGATGCAGTCTAACGCTGTGCTGGCCCAAGTCGACGCTGTGATCTGGAGGATGCGGCACAGCCTCGACAGGCTCGTGACGGGCATCGCGCGCGATAAGCCTGCGATGCCCGGGCACAAAATGCAGGCAACGCGGATCAAGCTCCAGTACGACAGGACGGACGAGTACAAATCCAAGCTACGCTTAGCGACAGCGCTCCACGACGCCAAGGGTGCGTGCCATGCCGAAATATGGGGGCTCGTGCCAGCACCTCACTGACGTCACACCACGCCGCAGGAGACTTCGTTCTTGGAAAATCAACGTTGAAGTCGATAAAAGAAGCACGGAGTCTGATCAATCTGTGCGAGCAGGCGTTGGTGGGCGAAGACGATGTCCCACCATCGCCTGCTCCTTCCCCTCCCGAACCACAGCCCACGCGCTCGATTGGAGGGCCCTCCGGAGTGCCCTCCTCGATTGCCTTGTGGGCGCTCGCTGTGCTCTTTCTGTTTGCTGTCTTCGGCCCTGAGTGGGTCCGTCCCATGCTCATTGCCGGACCCATCCTGCTCGCACACGTGGTCTTCTCCTTCCAGCGGGAGGAGTGTGAGACAAACACCAAGGGCGCCGCTGCTGATGAGGAGGCAGCTGCGCCCGTGGCGTGTCGCACTGCGCCCTCCTCAGGCGGCGTGACGGTGACTCAGCTGCTCGTCGCCGCCCTGGCGGTGCTCGCCCTTGCGATGATAGAACCCTCTACTCTTTCGCGGCCTACCGCCGCCGATGCAACTGCTATGATGCTGCTAAACATTGTTCGGTTGGGGCCGGTCCTCCTCGCGATCATGCTTTGCGGAGTCCTTGTGCGCCCGCCTCCCCTTCCGCTTGACATCACGAGAGCTGCCAAGAGAGGGAGGGGACATGTCCCGTAGGTATCCTTCTTCATGTGCCCCGACGGCCGTCTCCGATCCATCGTCGCCATTCTCGCCCTGTGCGCTATCAGCGTGGCCATCGGCTTGGCTCTGGTTAACGTGCACAGCGCAGTGACCTACACACCCCAGGAGCTGGCGGAACGGATGCAGATCGCTACGACGCGGCCAGCGACCCACGTCGCCATCTTCTACTGTGCCGCGGCATTGGGTGCGATAATCGGCTCGCGGCCTCCCGAGCAGCTCTCACGCCGTATGAGGTTGATCTCTTTCGCCCTTCTGGCCGTCATCTCTCTGAGCGCCGACGTCATCCTGTTCACTCGGAGCGGTGACGTTCGCTTCCTCATGGGACAGGCCTGCTTCAACGCACCCATGGCGGTCGCGTACTGGCTGTCCGGCTCGCCGAGTTGCGGCTTCGGCAAGCCCAAGGCAGCTGATCGCGCGAGGCAGATGGTCCACGCTGCGTTCAAGTTCAGGCGTCTCCTCGTCATGGGGTGCGACCTCGATGGTCGCGGCGACGGCTTGGGGATTTTCTGGTTGTGCGCTGAATGCACTCGCCAAAACTCTTAAGCCGTCAGAGGAGAGCCTCCGAGAAGCGGCGCACGCGTTTTTGATTTCACGGATTCGGATACACTGCTCACTGGTCGCGTGTTATAATTAACACCTCTCCTAAATGCGCACACATAGATCGATCATGCTTGTGGAGGCCCCGTGTGCTCACTGACAGACTCTGTCTGAGCCGAGAGTGGGGTGACAGAGTTCGGATTGTTTGCGGCCACCTCATCCTCTGTGCGCCGCTTCCTTATCTCCTCCTTGATCTGGACGACAGTCTCATACAAGACGTACAGCGCAATGGCGAAGATGATCGCGCACACCACCAACGCGGTGATGTTGTCCGCCTTGTCGCCGTCAAAGCTCTTGTCATTGTCGTAGACCCAGATCAGGATGGAGCAGGCCATTTCGGTGACGGTGCGCATCGTATCGGCAATCACATGGGCAAGGGCGGAGAAAACGTTGAGGTCGGCCGTAGAAGTGATCGCCGCCTCCTGCTCCTGCTCCGCACCGGCCGTGCTGCTCGCAACAAGCTCTGCGTTCGCGGAGCTCACACGTGCACGAGAAGCACGCGCCTTGCGCGTGAGGAGGCCCTGCCAGCCACCGCGCTTGCGCAGCAGGATGGAGCCGAGCATACCAATATCGATGACCAGGTTTCCCGCGGTGAAACCGAACATGATATACTGATTCGGCGAGTCGCTGGTGTCGCCCCCTCCCGCCTCGATCCCCTTGACCGACTCGAGGATGTTCAGAATTGCGACGGCGACGAGAGCGACAAACGAGATGCCTGCGGCCGAGATGTCGACGGCCGCCGAAGTGCGACGCTTCGCCCCACCGATCCGGAGATACTCGGCGAGTATGTTGATCAGGTACGTGGCCGAATCAACAAACATCGTGCTCGTGTCAGAGAACAAAGCTTGCGATCCTGACAATATCGACCCAAAGAGCTGCGCAACCGTGAAGATGCTGTTGAAGAGGAACGTGGCCCACAACGCCCTGATGTCGTGGGAGCCGCACGCTGTGCAACTCACCGTCGGTGGCTGTTCCACGTCGAGGAGCGATGCGGCGCCGTCAGCAACCATCCGGAAAGATTGCCAGGCCGGGCGCTGGCTGGTATTGCGAGCAAGGGTGTTGTAAATCAGGTGGCGGCGTGAATTCAGGTTGCGGCCGATTCGGGCGGCCCGAACAAACAAGAAGAATTCAAGAAGGCCAAGTCTCTCGCGCAAACAAGAAGAATCCTCACATATGAAGGTTGTCCGTTGTCTTAAGAGCTCTACTTCGTTTCTTTGCCTACTTTTCCTGACTGGTGTGTGCGGCGGTAATAGTTTTCATATCGACTCTCTCCAGCCAGCGCCCACGGCTGGCCACACGCAGGCCCTGGCACGAAATCACCCGGCCTGAGGCAGGCTGTCGCAAGCGTCTGGCTTTCCGCCGACGTACCTCTCCCAAACGCAGAGCATCCGCTTGTGCTTGTCGGGGTGGTAGTTGAAGTGCACCATCACGGGCCAGTCGGCCTCTGCCGTCAACCTGCCCGGAAAGAAGCGGCGCCGCTCCGAGAAGAAGAACACCTTTGAGTTCATGAACTGGTCGTACTGCATCACCCGCACCTGACGACACCAGCGGTGCATCAACAAGAGCGCGTGACGCAATCGTGCTGTATCGCCCGCACCGCTACGCCCGAGCCGTTGTACGACCCGTGCGAGAGCATGAAGGCCTCCGAGTTGAAGACTTGCTGGTCCCACGCCGCCGCCTATGCACTCTTGTCCACGCGTCATCAACCGGCGGTGAGTGCTGGAGTCGAAGCCCTGCGGTCCAACTCCGCCGCCTTTGAGAGCTGATCCGCCACTCGCTCCAGCAGCAGCACCTATTCGTATACTCATATAATTAGTATTCGTACTTTTGGAGAGCTGATGCGCCACTCGCTCCAGCAGCAGCACCTATCGGCCAGCCTCCGAGAAGGGTCAGGGAAGGCTCGGGGGAAGGGCTGCAGCCGCCGCCCAGTCTTGCAGCAGCACCGCGCGGGCGTGGGTCGGGCGAGGTCGGGCGAAGTCGGGTGAGGTCGGGTGAGGTCGGGTGATCTAGCAGCAGCACCGCGCGTGGCGTGGGCCGGAGGAAGGCGCAGCCGACGTTGAGGGTGAAGTGCTGCACGTAGAGCCCTCCGCCGCCCCAGCCCATCTTTGGCTCGTGGACCGAGCTGATCTGCCCCCCGGCCCAGGACTTGGAGAAGCCGTCGGTGGACGCCTGTGACGTGCATCTCTCCAGGTCACAGGCGGGGCGGGAGTAGCGTCGGGAGCTGGCAGGGGCCGAGTGTGGGGACGCCTCGATGTCGGCGTCGCGGTAGAGGTGGAGGAAAGGGTCCTACTCACGGCATCACCCATCCCTCGAGCTCAGTCTCTGCCTTCCGTGGCCGTCGCGGCAGAGGCTCCTTGAGGAAGACGAGGTCGAGATCGACAACCTGGAGCAGCGACAAGAACAGTGACAAAAGTAGCTGAGGAACGGTCCATGCTCGAGTCATTCGTTGGAAGGCGGCGCCGAGACCACCTAGGCCGCCGTGTCTCGGTGGTGTCTCGGTGGTGTCTCGGTGGTGTCTCGGAGCTGTCTCGGAGGTCTCATCGAAATGTCTCGGAAGTTTCAGAGGCGCGTCGGCGCGCCAGGATCGAGAAGCCCATCAGCAGCGACTGCCTGAGCAGGCCGTACTTGAGCGTCGAGATCATGTTCGCGCCTGCAGGACGGCTCCGACAAGGTTCGCAGAAGGTTTCGGGGTAGCTACTTGAGCGTCGAGATCACGTCTGCGCCGCGCGAGTTCTGCTGCGCGCTCGGCACGGGCAGCTCGAGCCGCAGCGAAGGCGCGTCGCCTCTCTTCGTGCAGAAGGCCTAAGGTAAGGTACGGTTAAACAAGTCAAGGGCCGGGCGACCCGCGCATCTCCACGTCTAAATGGCAGGAGCCCCACGGCATCAAAGGTGCAAGGCCCAGTGTGCGAGGGTGAGCGGTGTGTGAGTCGCCTCGGTGGCGTCGTCGAGAGTGATGACCAGCGAGTTCCGCAGCTGCAGCCGGCGAAGGCTCTCGAGGAAGGTCTCGAGCACCTAATTACTTGATGAGTATTCGTTCATTCTCGACCCGGAAACCCGGCGACGCCTCTCCACATCTCGAGCACATTGCCGCCGTTCCACCAGCACGTCTTGCGGTTGGTGCACATCATCACGTCGTTCGCCAGCGACAGCATCACCTCCTTCCGCTCGTTGGCGACGCGCTGCAGCGCCGCCTCGAGCTTCCGGTTCGTCTCGGTATTGTCCGGCTTGCCGAGCCCGGGCGACGTGCAATCCGCCGGTGGCGTCGAGCCGGCGGCGGCGCTCGCAGCAGCAGCCCGTGCCTCTGCGGCCGTGGCGCGAGCCTCTGCTGCTGCAGCCCGCGCCTCGGACGCGGCGGCTCGGCGCATCGCCGCGAGCAGAGCCTCTGCGTCGGGTGCTGCTCCGCGTGACTGCGGTGCAGAGAAGCGAGTGAAGTTGACGAGGAGAAGCGCGAGCACGGAGACGAGCGCGAGCACTCCGAGGAACCGGCGCATGGTGAGTCAGCCGTGGCCAGCGGCGCAGGGTGAGTCAGCCGTGGCCAGCGGCGCAGGGTGAGTCAGCCGTGGCCAGCGGCGCAGGGTGAGTCAGCCGTGGCCAGCGGCGCAGCACGGGCAGCGCTGTCAAGTGTGATGTGGAGTACAAAGTGACCTGCCGGGTGCCGGCCCCGCGGCGAGTCTCGAGAGGCCGTGTCGCCGGCTGGGCATCACGGGCTACGTCGGCCTCGTGCGGGAGGGCTACGATGATTCCCCCTCCCCCGGTGTGCGGTGAGTCTTTCATTCAAGAGGGAAGAGAGGCTTCTTCATTCAGCACTCACTCCGAATGTAACAAACATCTCTCTCTCTCTCTCTCTCTCTCTCTCTCTCTCTCTCTCTCTCTCTCTCTCTCTCTCTCTCTCTCTCTCTCTCTCTCTCTCTCTCTCTCTCTCTCTCTCTCCCGAATGTCGCGCCAGGCCAAGTCTTAAGAGAGAGAAAAATTCAGCCTTTGGTGATAAGCTCGCGGCAAGTTTTCTTTCGACACCTCTGCGCCGCGCTTCAGCACTTCGACCACCTGCTTGCTTGTGGCCGGCCGGTGGGCGGTGGCGATCATCAAGAGTTCAAGACCGTCCGTACCGGCACTCACACTTTAGGCTGTAAGAGAGTTTCCTCTCGCACCCTGCCTGGTTTTCTTTCCGTGTTTCCTGCTAGTTTCCCTACAGCACCATCTAGTACTAGTTTCTTGGGGAAACTCCGTGGAAATCATCAATTTCCCGGGCTCTGAGCCGAGTCTGAGGCTGGTTTTGGGCCCCAAATCATCCAAATCGGCAAAATACCGGGGCATTTTGTTTGCGGGTATACCTGGAAAAACCCCAGGGTATACCTGGAAAATACTCGCGTAGTTTGCCGGTTACCTCGGTTTCGCCTCAGATTTTGCCCCAAACCAGCTCTCAGACTCAGGGAAACTCGAGAGTTGCCAGAATGCGGAGCATGAATGGGAGCACAAAAACACCCTCTGGTTTCCCGCCTGGAAACTTCCGGAAACTCAAAGTGCTTGATGGGACCCTCTGGTTTCCTTTTTGGTTTCCGGAAGCTCACGTACAGAGGCCAACTCACACTGCAGCGCTCGAACGTGTCGCATCGAGCCGCCCTAGGAGCCGCCCGCGCTGAGCCACGTCCGCACCACGCCCACCTTGCCAGCTGCTGCCGCGGCTTGGATCTTTCTTCGAATAATAAATAAATATGTACACCAGGCATCTCCTGGAGAGTCGAGACACGAGAGAGAAGATGGTCGTCGAGGGCTTTCTTCTTTGCAAAACCGCCGCAGCTACCTATCCTGCGGTGCTGCGCACATGTCAGAGCCCTCATGCCCTCAGGGGCTCGCGGAGATCGGTACGCCCAAGAAGCCCAGGCCGAACGAGGTGACGGAGATGCCGCCGCCTGCTCCAAAGCACTTTCAAGTGGGCAACCTTCCAGCCAGGCGCGCTCCCGGCCGCCGTTGATGCGCTCGTCGTGAAGTCAGTCTTCCAGACCGGCCGATCATCTGCCGTCAGGACCGTGATCCGTGGATGTTAATCATGACAAGAAACAGGCTCCCCGCAGGTGCCTGCCAAGCGGCCGTGGGCTCTCAGGTAGGCTCTGGGGTGCTCTGGGGCCACTCGGGACCGCTCGGGACCGCTCGGGACCGCTCGGGTCCCTCGGGACCGCTCGGGACCGCTCGGGACCGCTCGGGACCGCTCGGCCTCGCTCGGGGGCGCGGCTGGGACATTTGCGGCCCGCCTCCGGCTGGCTGGGCTGCATGCACGGCTGGGCGGCGCGGAGGTGCTGCACGGGGCAGGGCATAAAGGAGACGTAAGCGCAAGCTGCAGGTCGTCGCGGCGCGCTACCCCAACAAGACGGCCAAGGAGATCATCACCAACGACCAAGATGATCGGCGCTGACGTTGCGAGGGACAGCCTCAACACTTCCGATGATATCACCGGCGAGCAGGGAGGGTGGCTCCTGGCGTCGTACCTGCACTCGATCAAGGACGACGCCTCCAACGACTTCCTCTCCCTCGGGCGTCAAGGATTTCCTGCAGACGCAGCTGGACAAGTACCGCATGTTTTACTCATCGGACGTCGCAGAAGGGGCTGCTCGAGCAAGCGCTTTTGTTTCTCCCTAAGCTGGAGCAGCTCGCCGCCGCCGCCGCTGCCGCCGCCGCGCCGCCGCCCGACTTTGGGACCCCCCCCAGGCAGCGCGGCCCCGCTCGGGAGAAGCTGGCTGGCCCAAGCGCCGCGCCCCTGCCGGTCGAATTTTAGCATAGGCCGTTGGGACGGCTCGGGACGGCTCGGGACGGCTCGGGACGGCTCGGGACGGCTCGGGACGGCTCGGGTCCCTCGGGTGTCTCGGGACCGCTCGGGACCGCTCGGGACCGCTCGGGCGGGACCGCTCGGACGCTTCCGACCATTGCTCCGTTTGATTAACATCCCGTGTCGTCCGCGGGAGGCGGCAGCGGCAGCCTTGGGGCCAAAGATGAAGGCGTATTGGAGTGGCCTTTGGCGCTGGCTCTGCGAAGGCATAGAAGACGAAATCAGAGAAAAAAAAAGCCCGCCGCCCGGCGCTGTCGGGCCGGCCCGCCAAGGTACTACCTAGGTACCATAGTCCGCCGCTTTACTCCTCGGATGCCGCGGCGGCAGTCCTCGCAGTCGTCCGAGGGCTCGATGACGCGCTCGGAGGGCGAGCAGTCGAGGCCGTCTCGCCGGCTGGGCATCACGGGCTACGTCGGCCTCGTGCGGGAGGGCTACGATGAGCTGGTCAAAGCGATCATCAGGCCGCCGCGCGCCGAGTACTCGCTCAACGACCTGGGTCCGAGCGAGTTTCGGTACGGCGGGGTCGATTTCGTGCGGCAGGACGTCTCGGTCCCGAACCGGCGCGGCCTCGCGCTCTGCGGCAGCCTGTGGCGGCGCGCGGACCTCGAGCCTGGCAGCAGCTTCCCGTGCGTGGTCTACCTGCACGGCAACGCGTCATGCCGCGCCGAGGCGACGACGATCGCGAGCCAGGTGCTCGCGCTCGGCGCCGCCCTCTTCTCCTTCGACTTTGCCGGCTGCGGCCTCTCCGAAGGCAACTACATCTCGCTCGGCTTTTTCGAGCGCGACGACGTCGAGACGATGATCGGGTGGCTGCGCGAGTACGCGGGGGTGGGGGCGGTGGCGCTGTGGGGCCGCTCCATGGGCGCCGTGTCCTCCGTGATGCAGGCCGCGCGAGACCCGTCCATCGCAGGGCTGGTCCTCGACTCGCCCTTTGCCTCGCTGGAGCAGGCTGTTCCGCAGAGTAGTAGTCGTTTGGTGCGGGGTAGCAGTTGTGGCTGGCGCGTGGGGCTCTCTTCTTCTTGCTGGAGCAGGCTGCGCACTACGCCGCCGCACCATGCTCCCACCCACCCCCTCCCTACCCCGCTACCCCTCACCCTCCCCAGCCCCTCCAAACCCCGCCACCCCTCCCTCCCTCCCCGCCACCCTCCCTCCCTCCCCCCGCCAAAGGTTGCCCTCGAGCTCGTCTCTGGCGGACCAGACGGCGACCGGCCCGAGGGCGCGCCCACCCCGCCCGGCCTCCTCGTCATGTCTTGGTCAATGAGCCCCATTCCCACTCCTCACCAGGCGTGCCCAACGTCCCCGGATTCCTCGTCAAGTCGGCGCTGCGGATGGCGCCTCCTCCGCTCCGCACCGCTCTTCAGCGAGCGCGCCAGGGCAAGAGGAGGAGCGCATTGGAATGGGTAGGTCGCCTCCTCCGTCAAGAGCCGCGCGGGGTTCGACCTGTACAAGTGCCGACCTGTCGACGCGGCGCCAACTTGTTTCATGCCGGCGCGCTCTTCGCAGCGGCGCACGGCGCCGTGAGACACGTCCGAGACACGTCCGAGACACGTCCGAGACATGTCCCACAGGCGCTCTTCGCGACGGCGCACGATGACGTGCTCGTCCGGCCGCACCACTCCCGCCTCATATTCGACGCGTTTGCGGGCGGCAAGACTTCGGTCGGCGGCAGGAGCAGGGGCTGTCTCTGAAGTGTCTCGTGCCCTCTCCTGCAGGCGACAAGAACTTGGTCACGTTCGAGGGCGATCACAACGAGATGAGGCCCGGCTTCTTCCTCGATTCCGCCGCCATCTTCTTCACCAACGTGCTGCGCATCCCAGATGCGGCAGCCCTCGAGGTGCCGACGGATCACTCGGGCCGGCCGCTACCCCTCATGCAAGTGCTGCTGATGCAGCAGCGCGGCGCGGCGGCGCGGCGGCACAGCTGCGCGGCGGCACTGTCTCCGAGCCTTCTCGGAGGCTTCGCGGACCCTTCTCTTCAGGCGCGGCTCTACGGCCCTCGCGGCGGCGAGGCGACGCAGGCGGAGCGAGCGCGGTTGCGAGCCGAGGCGCAGCAGGAGCCTCGAGCGGCGCAGCAGCTGGAGGAGCCTTCTCCGAGCCTTCTCCGAGCCTTCTCGGAGCCTTCCTCTCAGGAGCTCGAGCGGCAGCAGCTGGAGGAGGAGGAGATGCTCAACCGCGCCATCCTCGAGTCGCTCTCCTCGTCTGAGCCTCCCGCCGCCTGCCGGCAGCGAGCCTCCGACAACCACGCGCCGCAGCCGCCGCCCGCCGCGCCGCCCGCCGCTCCTTTCGACGCGGCGGCCGTCGAGCGGGCCGCCGCGCCGCCGGCTGACGGCCCCCCCTCGCCGCCGGCGCCGCCGGGGGAGGCGACGACGCCGGAGGAGCCCGCCGAGGACCGGCTGCTCGCCGAGGCCATCAAGCTGAGCCTGCAGGACGCGACGCAGGCGAGATGTATGCCGAGAGGTTCCGGGAGAGTCCGAGACACGCCGTATGACGCACCGAGAGACGCCGAGATACACCGAGACATACTGAGATATACCGAGAGATGCCGAGAAACGCCGAGAGATGCCGAGAGACGCCGAGAGATGCCGAGAGACGCCGAGAGATGCCGAGAGTAACGAGAGATGGCAAGAGTGCCGAGAGATGCCGAGAGGTACCGAGAGATACCGAGAGCCTGCAGGACGCGACGCAGGCGCAGAAGGTGGCCGAGGTGGACTGAGGGCGAGGCCCAGCCCCCCGGGCCGCGAGAGGGTGAGCATTGGAGGGGAGGGTTGGCCGGAGGAGGGCGCCGGCGCCGCGAGCCTCCGAGCCGCGGGTTCCGCGCGACGCGGACTGAGGCCGAGGGCGTTGTGTGCGGTACATGTACCCCAGGCCGCCCAAGCTGTGCGTCTTTATGCTGGCGGTTGCTGCGGGGGCGCGGAGCGGCGGGAAGTTGGCCGTTCTCGAACGCTGGTCGCTGGAGACAGCTCTTCAAGCGGGTGTGGGGAGATGCACGATGATGAGAGAGCGCGCTGAGAAAAGGTGTGTTTCCTGTGTGTGTATTCGCAAAAACGTGCAACGTGGTCCCCCTTCTCCCCCCCGCCGAGCCGCGCCGTGTTGCGTGTACGGCATTACCAGAGCCCCAGCACGAGGATCAGCTTCAAGGTAAGCGGTAACGTAAGTAAACTTCCTCCCCGGCTGCCGGCGCTCCACCGGCTGCATCACAGTTCTCACAGACCTTGTTATATGTTATTGAGAAGAAAATACGATATACGTCGCCTATGGCGCTGTGCGCTGTTCACACACACACAAGGTGCCGTGGCGGGTGGGGGGTGGGGCAAGGTGGGGGGCGTCGCTCCCTAGCGGCAGACTCCAAGCAACCCACAAAGTCGCGGCGCGATGCTCGGCGGTAGGGGTCGTAGTACTGCGCCCCCGTCCTTCCAGGAGCCTGCATCCGTCTTGATCCATCCCTTTCCACGCGCGTGGTCCTTGACCCATCCCTTTCCAGTCGAGTGGTCGAGCGGTCCGTCCAAAGAAAGAAATTTTCCACTGAAAAGCACGCCAGACAGATGTCCACCCGCACCACCAGAGCTCGTCGAGGCGCTCCCGACGCCGAGGCGACCAGCGACTCCTCGCGCCCTGCAAAGCAGCAGCGCTCCATGCGCCAGAAGGAGACCAAGCGCTCGCCGCTCGACGCGCTCGCGGGCAAGGGCAAGGCTGTCCCCGGCGCGCCCGACCTGTCCTACTCGCTGGGTGGCGTGGCGGAGGTCGGCGGCGCGGAGGTGGAGCGTGTGCTCGACTCGGTCGAGATGGACGACCAGGTCGCCGCCATGCGAGGGCCGTACGCCGGCGCCCGCCGCATCGCGATCTGCCGCGGCGTGCGCGTGCTGGCAGCGGCGGTGGTCGAGGTGCACGAGACCACCGCGAGCCTGCCGTCGGTCATCGAGATCCCGATCCTCGCCTCCGCCCGCTCCGAGCGCCGCAAGGGCTTCGGCTCCGTGTTGCACGCCCTCATCACCGAGCTCGCTGCGTCGGTCGGCGTGCAAGCCATCCTCGTCTGCGCGACGCCCGAGGCGCGCTCCTTTTGGCTGCGGCAGGGGTACCACACGCTGGCGCACTGCCCTCCGGCTCTCGCCACGGAGCTGCGCGCCGTCATCAAGAGCGGCGTCATGAGCGACCCGTTCCGCGAGACGGTCCGCATGGCGCAGGCGCTGCCGCGAGCGGGCGAGCCAGGCGCTCTCGTCGCCTCCACCCTCCGCGCCGTCGCCTCGCGCTCTGCCAGCAGCCAGAGCAGCCACGGCCTCAGCAGCGCCGAGGCGGCGCGCGCGCTCGGCTACGAGGACCTGAGTGGCTCAGCGGCGGCGCTCTTCCAAGTCGAGGGCCGCAAGCGCGTCCGCGTGCCGTGCGACGCACGAGCGCCGCCCGCCGCTTTGGCCGTGCAGGTTCCGCTGCGGAAGCTGCAGGCGTTCCAACTCGACGCACACGAGGGGGCGGCGGGCGAGGGGCTGGGGGCGGAGGGTTCGGGGGCAGCAGGCCAGGAGGGGCGCGGAAAGGGGGAGGCGGAGCCGGAGGCGGCGCCGGAGGCGGCGGAGGCGGCGGAGGCGCGGGCGGCAGCTGAGGCGGCGGCGGCGATGAACGCGCCGATGGCGACAGAGGCGCAGGGGGCGGCGCCGGCAGCTGCAGAGGCGGCGGCGGCAGGCGCGGCAGAGGCAGCGCCGAGGGCTGCAGTTGCGGCGCCGTCGGAGGGGGGCGCGCGTGCGGGCGGGTGGGGCGAGCCGGGCTGGGGCGTGCGCTGTCTGTCCGCGATCCAGAAGGGCGAGGTTGTGCTCGAGGCGAGCGCAGATTAGCCGAGATCCGCCGGAGATACGCCAGAGATCCGCCGAGATCCGCCGAGATCCGCCGGAGATCCGCCGAGATCCGCCGAGGTCCTCCTCGAGGCCAGCTGCTGCACGGCGAGGTCTCCGGTCCCCGTGGAGAGAGCCGTTGAGGAAAGGGAGGACGGGAGGCAAAGGTAAAGGCGGTGGGCGGCGAGTGCTTGCCCACCTGTCGCTCGCGACTTCATTCGCCGCATTGCCCATGCTCCCGATCGGAGACTATGAGGACGCCATCCCATCAGATCCATGCCGCCAAAGGTGGGCGGCGAGCTGCTCGACGAGCTCTCGTTCGCCAGGCTCGCGGACAAGCGCTTCTGCGCCGCGCTCGACGACGCTGCACACCGCCGCGCGCTGGCGCGCTCGTCGTTCCGTCCTCCCGCGCCCGCGTACGTCGACATGCGCAAGGCGGCCTCGCTGGCTCTCGGAACCTTCCAGGAACCTTCTCGGAACCTTCTCGGAACCTTCCTATAGGCGGCCTCGCTGGCGCGCCTCGTGGGTGCGTGTGACGAAGCGCCCAACCTCGAGCTCGTCGTGACGGCGGCCCCCTTCACCGCCATTCCAGGGGCGGGAGCGGCAGCGCCCCCGCCCGCCGCGCCTCCCGCCGCGCGTCACACCGCCGTCGCTCCGCCCTCCGCCGTCGCTCCTCCACCCGCCGCCGCGTCGAGCGGCGCTGCGGGCACGACGCGCCTGCGGGTGGTCGTGCCGCAAGACGTCGCCACAGGGCAGTTGCTGCGCGTCCAGACGCCGGGCGGCATCGTGCAGTGCGTCGTGCCGACGCCGCTCAAGGCTGGCGAGGCGCTCGAGATGCTGGTGCCGGCAAAGCCCCCGCCCCCGCGGCAGACCGGCCCTGCCGCACCGCCGCCCGCACCGCCGCCCGCACCGCCGCCGTACGAGGACTTCACTCAGCCGCAGCAGCCCGGGGCAGGGCGCCAGGCGTGGGAGCGGGAGGTGCCGCAGGGTGAGGCGCCGCCCGCTCAAGCGCCGCCGCCGCAGCAGACGCCGGCGCAGCTCCTGCAGCAGCACCAGCAGAGGGCGCTTCAGCAGCAGCAAGCGGCGCAGCAGCAGCAGCAGCAGCAGCGATTTCTGCAGCAGACGTCGCAGCTCATGCAGCAGCAGCAGCAGCAGAGGGCGCTTCAGCAGCAGCAGCAGCAGCAAAGGGCGTTTCAGCAGCAGCAGCAGCAGCAAAGGGCGTTTCAGCAGCAGCAGCAGCAGCAGAGGGCGCTTCAGCAGCAGGCGCTGCAGGCTGCGCTGCAGCAGCAGCAGCAGCAGCAGCAAGCGCAGCAGCAGCAGCAGCAGCAACACGCCTTGCTACAGCAGCAGGCTCTGCATCAGGCGGCGCAACAGCAGCAGCACTTTATGCAGCAGACGCCGACGCAGCAGCAGCTCTTGCAGCATATGCAGCAGCAGCAGCAGCAGCAGCAGCAGCAGCAGCTCATGCAGCAGCAGCTTATGCAACAGCAACAGCAGCAGCCATCCTTGCTCGACGCGCCTCCCGCCTTGGCCTCGGCGGCCTCGGCCCAGCCTGCCGATTTGGCTGCAGCCGACCTTGCCGCAGCCTTTCTTGCGGATTTTCCCCCGGCCAACACCGCCGCCGCCAACGCCGCCGCCGAAACCGCCGCCGCCGCAACCGTGGCCGCCGCCACCGCCGAAACCGCCGCCACCGCCGCCGCCGCCGCATTCGCCACTCCGCCCCCGTCGCCCCCGGCGCCTTCATCGCCAGCCGCTCCCGCCGCCACGCCACTGGAGGGTGAGGAGCGGGAGGGCGAGGCGGCGGGGGGAGGAGCGGCGGAGGGAGGGGCGGCGGAGGGCGAGGCACCAGCTGCCGCTGCGCTTCCGGCGCCGGAGAGCGCTTCGACGGAGGAGGCGCTTCCTCGTGAATGTGTTCACTACCCTCGATGCATTGATGGATAGGGGGGCGGCTCGACGGAGGAGGGGCCCGAGAGCGTCGGCAAGCAGGCGGCGCACGAGGGCGGGCCGCCAGCTGCGCCAGCTGCCGCTGCGCCTTCAGCGGCGCCTTCCGCTGCGCCTTCCGCGGCGCCGGCCTCCTCGGCGGGCGGCCCACCTGCCGTGCCGCGAGCGCCGCCGCAGGATGCTCCTCGTAGGACCTACACACACACATGCATACCACAAGTACAAGTCGTGGTGGTGCACTATTGCTGTCCGGAGGTGGCCCGGAGGGCGCACCAATGACATGCCATTCCACTCCATTAGTCCATTAGACTACATTCCACCGTTCGTGCAGGTGGCCCGGAGAGCGTACTTGGTTGCCAAGCACTACATCCCTCCCATGGTGGCGCTGACTTGGGACCCGCTGCCGGCGCACGGGCGCGGGAGCCGCGCTCTCCGGTGGTCCGTCCCCCGGGCTCGTGCCTGACCCCCTCGCGGTGTGGCTTGCAGGCGCGTGAGGGAGCGGCACCTCGACGGAGGCCGGTCGGAGGCGGCTGCGGTGGGCCGGGCAGCGGGCCACAGGAGTGTCGTGAGCGATTGAGGGGGGGGCTGCGAGTAGGCGGTCGCGTGGCCGGCGCAGGGGAGATCTGGGGAGATGCGGGGAGATACGGGGAGATATGAGTAGGCGGTCGCGTGGCCGGCGCAGTGCGACGCGTCTCTGGTGGGCCGCTTCGTGAGCGCGACCTTCCTCGACGAGGACGGCATGTAGACAGACAGACACACACACACACGAGGCGGTCACACTGAGAGTGACACACAGACACAGGCAAGACACACAGCCAGCTGGGCTGCCACTCATCCCCGGCATCTCGCAGCGACACGACCACACAGCCTCCTGCTTCCTGAAGGGGGGCCCGCCGCCGCTGTGACTAGGACGGCCTCTCGCAGTGGTACCCGGCGGTGGTGGTGGAGCACCGGCCCGCCGCCGAGGAGCTGCGCTTCGTCATCCACTTCGAGGAGGACGGCGTCGAGATCGAGGCGGACTTGCCCGAGATTGCCCGAGATTGCCCGAGATTACCCAAGCTCGCCCAAGATTGCCCAAGATTACCCAGGATTGCCCGTGTCGAGGCGGACCTGCCGGACGAGACGATCGTCCTCCTCGCCGGCAGCACGACGCACTGCGAGTGCCCGACGTGCTCCGAGCGGAACCCGAAGGGCCGGCGGCTGCTGTGAGGGGGGGCAGGCGGCTGCAAAAAGGGCGTGCGAGCCGAGAGTCTGAGAACAACCCAAGCAGACTCGGGACGACGGGAGGGTTTGGAACTTTTGGGGGGGAGGTGGTTTACGCGAGGTCGGGCTGTACGGGCAGAGGCCGCGCGCGAGTGTGTCTTGTATGACGCCCCCCCCCCCCCCCCTGCCCCCCCGCGCGCGCGCAAACTGCCACAGTACGTGTTTGATTGGCCGTGTCGAACACATAAATAAAAAATAATATACCACATGTGTAAAGTGTCATATACAAAAGCTGACATCGGCACGCCTGCCTTTGGGCGGTCTAATAAGTGCGAGGGCGTCGGCCGTCGCACGGCTGGCCGGCCGCCAGTGACCGTCCCTTGTGCAGGCTACCCCCTCCCCCATCAGCCCGCATATTGGCATAACCTAGGCTATAACGCCGCCGCGACCGCCTCGCCCGCGGCGAGACCGGAGAGCGCCGCCGCCTCGAGCGGCGACGCGGCCTCCTTGACAAACTCGCCCGCGATGGCCAGCCTCCACGCCGGCAGCGACACGCACTCGTGTGGGTGGTGCAGCGAGTCTGATGCAGAGGCGTCGCTCCAGAGAGTGGCGGTGGCGGAGAGCGGGCGCAGGTGCTCTCCGCCGAGAAAGGGCGCGAGGAGGAGGGACACCTGAGGCGAGATGTGGGGAGATGTGGGGAGACATGGCGAGATATGAGGAGGGGCACCTGCAGGCGCGGGTGGCGATCGTCTCCAGGCACTCGGCGTGGCCAACGGCCCGGGCTGGCCCTCGCGTCTCCACGCCCAGACAGGACAAGGGCTCGCTCGGCAGAGTGCAAGGCCCGGTGCGGTGTAGGCCCAGTGCGGTGAGGGTGGGACCGCCTCCTCTGACAGGAGCTTGGCCGCCGCCGCGTCAGCGCGCGGCCCCTCGCGCCGCCGCAAGCCCGCGCCCGCCTCCGCAGAGCCGGCCATCGCCCGGGCGAGCTGCGGCGTCGACACGGCTGTCCACAGCGCGCCTGGGGAGTAGGAGGCCAGAAGAGGAAGTGTCTGGAAAGTGCCTAGCGCCGAGAGGGGGCCCCGCAGCACGCCGTCGTCTGGTGATCTCGGGTGATCTCGGGTGATCTCGGGTGATCTCGGGTGATCTCGGGTGATCTCGGGTGATCTCGGGTGATCTCGGGTGATCTCTGGTGATCTCTGGTGATCTCTGGTGATCTCTGGTGATCTCTGGTGATCTAGGGTGATCTAGGGTGATCTCTTGGGTGATCTCGGGTGATCGCAAGCGCGCCTCCGTCGACGGTGGCGGCGCGGCCGGGCTTGGAGGCGTCGCGGCAGAGCATTCGCACGGACGGCGAGCCGGGCACCTGTGTGCGTCAACCATGGACGCTGATCGCTCCTCCCAGGCGGCGCACGGGGGGGAGGCACGCAAGACACGCGCCACGGCGGCGTCGAAGGGGACCGCCGCGCTGGCGAGAGGAAGGACGCCCGACCAACACAAGGCGGGCTCTGCTCTAACACCTGCTCGCAACTCTCTCCCGTCGTGCCTCGCAGCAGCAGAGAAGGAGGCGGGCTCCGCTCCCACGCCTGGCGGTACGGCGGAAGCTGAGAGGCGGGGGTGCGGCCTCGAGCAGTGCCCTCGGCGCTCCCGAAGGCGAGGGCCGCGACCACAGCGAGTGCGACCGCAGCTCAGCCGAGCTCAGCCGAGCTCAGCCGAGCTCAGCCGAGCTCAGCCGAGCTCAGTGTCGAGAGCGGCACGTTGAGGCTCTGTGCTCCTCAAAGCGATGTAGAGTGCACAATCCCTCCCCCGCTTCTGGGCGCACGGCGCTGTCGAGATGTGGGGCGACATATGGGGAGCTGTGGGGAGATGTGAGGAGATGTGGGGAGATGTGAGGTCCGTCTCGCGGATCTGGGCGTACGACACCGTCTAGGCTGGCGGCGAGGGTGGCGAGGGCCTCCTGCTCGGCCTCGGCGGCCTGCGTATGAGTCCGTATGCTTAGTCTGCTCTCTTTCCTGATGAGGTGATCCCGGGTCTGCCTCATGATCAAGCAGTCGTGCAGAGAGGCTCGGCTCGGTGGCCTGGCGTGATTCGCACTTCTCCAAAGTCGGCAGTGTACTGAGAGCACCGGGGCAGTGTACCGAGAGCACCGCGTGGAGATGAGGGCCGGGCCGAGAGCCCGGGAGGAAGGAGGCGCCGTCCACTCAACATGCTCATTCAATCTCAACTCATCTCGGCATCTAGTCGTTCGGCGGGCCGCTTCGTCGGATGCGCCGGCGGTGCCGATCGAGCGCACGGCGGCGGCGCCGAGGGCCGTGTCTGGGACGGCGAGCACAAGGGCGTCGAAGCTGCTGATGCCGCCGCCCTCGGCCCCGCCGCCGCCGCCGCCGCCGCCGTCGCCGCCCCCGCCGCCGCCGCCGCCAGCGATCTGGAGCTCCCAGCAGCCCCGCGTAGGGGAGTGGCGCGCGGCGGTCACGCGCGCCTACGACCACAGGCCGCGGCGGGTGGGGACGGCGACCCTCGGCGAGCCCCGCCTCCCTCCGCGCCATATCTCACCCCGAGCCGGACCTCCGCCCCGGCCGCGGCGCAGATGCTAGCGCAGAGCGTCGCGCTCGAGGGCGAGCCGACGAGCAGCGGCGCGTCGCCAGGCCGGAGGAGGCCGCAGAAGTCCAGGTTGCCAGACACCTCAGACTCGCCGCCCTCCGTCGGCGAGCCCCTCCCCTCCGCCTCTTTCCTCATCGCCTGCCCCATCTCGGTGTTTGCGAGCGCCTCGCGCGGCAAAAACTGCCCGCCCTTGCGGCCGAGCAGGCCGAACCGGCCTTCCCAGCGCGCCATCATCCCCTCCGCCTCGAGCATGCCGAGGACGGATTGCAGCTGGACTGTGCGCAGCGTCTTGGAGGCGCGGATAAACTGGAAGGTCGGGTCGAGGTGGCGGCCGGCCAGCTTCCCTCCGACGTCGGCGTCGAGCACTGTGAGCGACGCGGTCGGGTGACGGCTCCGCAGCACCAGCGCCGCGAGGCTGCCAGAGACGCCGGCGCCGACGATCGCCACGCGATTCATGGCCGACGCGCGAAACACAGGTTGGTTTTTTACGGGACAACAGGCCCTCCTGTCTGGCCTCCCCGGCGCAGAGGGGCCCCCGGAGGAATGCTCAACCGCTCCACGCCACGCCGCTTGCGGCGGTCCTATGCTCCGCCCCGGCTCGCGTTATTTGCCGCAGCGCATGCGTTATTTTGCCACCGCTCGCGTTGTTTTGCCGCCGTGGCCCGGCTGACTGAGTGAGAGACCGTTGCGCGTTGGCGCAGATTGGCGGCCCAAAGATGGCACTCAAGGTCGAAAAAAGGCCGCCCGTCGTTGTGGCCACACCCATCGACGGGCTCGGGCCAAAGGCCCCTCGAGATGGCGACCAATCCTAGCGAGGTTTCTTTTTCGGTGCCCACGTACGCAGCGGTTTCTTTTTCAAAAACAAAACACTTCTCAGCGACTTGGAGGAGCGCTCGCAGGGGCCAGAGCTATCGCGGACGTGCTCAGTCGCCACATCGTCCAGTGCGCCGTGGACATCACGTTCACGGGCAACAGCGCCAGGTTTTGGACGACGTGAGTCGTGACCAAGGCCCCTCCATGCACCATGGGCATGGCATGCCACCCTCGTGTTTTCTGTTATCTGTTTTCGGGAAACATCTGCGCTTGCCGACTCATGCCGACCTCAAGGCGAGGCAACCCGCACGCTCCTCCGCCCCCCCCCCCCCAGTCCTGAAGAGAAAGGCGGTGTGAATTACAAACGACACCCGAGGCAGCGCGCGACAGGAGAGTGGAGACCACACAGGCGGGCGCACAACGGTCAGTCGACGCGCTCCGGAGGGATTTGGCGAAAAAGAATGTGAAACTTTGCGCTTGCCCCGCGCGGCCTTGGGGGGTGGGGGGGCGGCGCGCCCCGGCCGCTGGCCCCACACTTAGCGACGTGTTCAGCTTAGGCGGAGCCGTACACACGCGACGCGGTACCCACCGCACTCCCACGCTGCACGGGCGTGTCCGTGTGCCACACGTTTCGTCATACCCCACGCGGCCCTGACGAAAATCGAAATCTGTTTCCCCTCAATCTTTTACATACACAAACATACCCGAGCCGTGTGCTACATATGAACCTACGCGGGCGAGGGACGCGTTGCGCGTATCTCTCTCCGTAACATGCTCACAAAGGCGCCACGGGCCTCGGAAGGTCTGGCCTGGAGCCCCACATGGCGCGTCTGACCTGCAACACACTTCTCACTTGTGCACGCATATGCTACCAGGTCACAGTATGGGGTGTATGCACTACTCGAGATGAGTTTGATAGCCGGCTCCCCGCGGATGTGGGAATGGTGCCGGCCTTCCCGGAGCTCCGCGAAAGCCGCCTCCCTTGCCGACCCTCGGAGCCGCATGCCCGCCTGGCACTTGCCAGGCACCAATCACGGACTCCCCGCTCCCGCGGCCTGCGCTCCCCTCCTCCTCCCTCAGACCAACTGCGCGCCTCCCGCTGGTCCCGGTGCCGCCGCCGGCGCGCCGCGCCCCGCGCGCACCGCGGCGACGGCGAGCGCGGCGGCGGCGGCGGCGGCGGCGGCGGCGGGGAGAAGCGTAGTCACGCGCTGCGATGCGGCGGGCTCGGTCCGCATGCGGGCGGCGCCGGCGGCGGCGCCACACTCGCCGTCGTCCCACTCGTTGTGGCAGTCGGCCTTCGCCGCGCAGGCGTTGCCGTACGTCTTGCCCGCCGCGCAGACCGGCCTGTAGTCCATCGCGCACCAGCCGTCTCCGCAGCGCGGCCCGGCGGCCCTTCGCGCCCCGTCCGCCCCGTCCGCCTCGGCCGCCTTCTTCCCCTGCTTGTCGACCCCGAGGCGGGCCTGCTGCTCGGGCGTGTACACGAGTGCACTCCACGAGCCGTGCTGCTCCTCGCCGGCCGGCCTCTCCATCTCTCCCCACGTCCACGCCGGCCCAATCGCCCCGAACTTCTCAGCGGGTGGCGGCCGCTCGCCGCCGGCGCGGCTGGCCCCAAACAGGGCGGCGTCTGAGCCGGTGTAGTGCCCGCCGTGCGTGGCGCCTCCGGCGGGGGCGCCGCCGATGAGCAGAGCGCCGAACGCGCCCCCACCTACCTCGCCCCCGCCCGCGCCGCCCGCCGCCTCGCCCGGCGTGGGGCACGAGGTGAAGACTGCTGCCTCCGCAGCCGATGGGCAGAGCGGGGTAGGGCGGGCGGCGAGGGCGGCGGCGAGGCGGGCGAGGGCGGCGTCGGAGATTCGGTTGCCGCTCATGTCGAGGTGGACGAGCGGCGCGCCGCCCTTCATCGCCGCGTCGGCGACCGCATTCGCGCCCCGGTCTCCGATAGCATTGCTCGCGAGCGAGACGCGCTCGATCGACGAGGGCTTGGCGAGGAGGGCGGCGACGGAGGCGGCGCCGGCGTCGCCGATGGAGTTGCCGGCGAGATTGAGCTCGCGGAAGCCCGGCGCCTCCGCCAGCGAGACGGCTAGCATGGTGACGGCGTCGGCACCGAGCTTTGACCGCTCGTTCGCAGGCACGAGCGAGAGGGACGCGCACGCACCGAGCGAGACCTTGGCCAGGGAGGCGAGGCCGTTGCACGCAGGCGGAGGCGCGGGCGGAGAGGGTGGCGGCGATGGCAGTGCTGGTGGCTCCGGCGGCGGAGGCGGCGGCGCCGGCGGCGGCGGAGATGGCGGGCTCGGCGGAGGCGCTGGCGGCTCAGGCACGATGCTCGTCGCGGCCGCCTCGACGCGGTGCAGCAGCATGCCCGACACGCCGTCGTCGAGGAGGGTGGCGGCCGTTCCTTCGACGCCAAGCGCCGTCGAGTAGGACGGCGTCGCCACATCCTGAAGCTCGGAGCCGGCGTGGAGGGTCTGACCGATGAGCGAGGCGAGCCCGACGGCACCGCCCCACGATATCTCCTTCGCCTCCTGCGCAGCGGCGCCCGCGACGAGGACCGGGTGGCCCTCCGCCGAGGCAGCGGGCGGCGCGTCGTCCCAAGGGATGAGCGAGGGCATAGCGGCGGCCAGAAGCGAACCCAAGGAGCCCACCGGGGATTGAAGAAACCCGAGCGCGCCGTCCCAAACTGTCCCTTCCCTCTCTCCCGGCCAGGGCAGGGCGCGCGGCGCCGCGCGCGGGGGCGGCGATGGGTAACCGGTTGGGTGTGCGGGATATCTGAAAGATTATCTGTGCGGTGCGATGTCATGCGAGAGAGAGGATGACAGAGGAGAGAGATCTGAGAGATTAGCAATACCAAACAAATCTAGCCCTCACACGTCATTTGGGGCCTGGAGGCCTGTTCACGCGCGCGCGAGGCGTGCAGACAGGGTTGCCAGGTGAAAGCGAATGGCGCGGTTCACGCCTCGCACAACAGAGAGAGAGATGCGCTCTGCATGGTGGGACATAAAAGAGAGCGAGTACTTGGGCGAGTAGGCCGTGCGGTCGACGCTGCCGCGCGCGACTTTGCGCGCGAGGCGGCGCAGCTTGAGAACGGCGGTGGGCGAGAAGCCGCCGCCGAACGTCTCGTGGAGCAGCAGGTTGAAGTTGTTGCGCTTGACGAGTTCGCCGGCGAACTGGCGAACTGGTTCGTGAACTGGTTCGGTGAACTCGCGATTCGTTCGGTTTCGGAGTTCGCTCTGGACGGCATCCCCTTGGTTCGCTGCATCGGTTCGGTCGTTCGCCCTTGGGTGCCCGAACCCTCGAACTAGTTCGTGAACTCGAGCCTTTTCTTTTCTCCTCCCCCCCCAACCCGCGCTTCACACCCGCAGGCCGAGGAATACCAGGGAAGTTTGTCTGAACTGCGAACGAACCGCGAACGAACCGCAATATTTATTTTTGGCTCTGCAGGCCTGTATAGTCCCTGGTTGCCTACTAGAGGCCTAGAGTACGCCTGGACGCCTCGGCCGGCTCGGGGAGCCCCCGTCTCCCCCATTCTACTCGCCAGTCAGCACGCACGGCGCCCAGGCACCACAGGGCAGCCCTGCTCACAGCGCCTTCATGGAGTACATGCGCAAAAACCACGCCAAGTACGCGAAGGCGTGAGCAAGGAGGCGTCGAGGCTGAGCGCCCCCCCCCCCCCCCCCCTCCCCCTTTTCAATGGTCCGCGGCGGGCGGCGGCGCACCGGGGTAGTCGCGCCCGCAGTCCGCTAGATTGCAGACTGTCGCGGACCGTCAGAATTGTGCTAGTGCCGCCTGTGTATATGGGCACCTCTCCTGAGATTGAGGGCCAGACCGCGTCCGCACGCGCGCACGTGGCGCAGTTGCGCGAGTTCGTTCGTTCAGCGCGGCTCGTGGCTGAACTGCACGCCGAACGAACGAACTTTTCGCGATGATTTTCTTTTTTCCTAAGTTCGAACGGAGTTCACGAACGTTCGTCCGTTTTCGCAGTTCGCGCCTTCCACAGCCGTGGCGGTCCGTTCGTTCGAGTTCGGAGTTCACGAAGTCCGCGAACTCTTTTTTGCGCGCCGTCTTCGTCGATGTCGCTCGAAGAAGCCATTGGGCAGTGACCTCGCGGCGGTGAGAGGCGGCAGCGGGTGCGCTCGCCTCCCTGACTCGAGGTTTGCTCGAGGCCACTCCGCCGATGGAGGGCAGCGCGGCCGTTCCCGCGTGGCTCCTCAACCGACAGCACGCGAAAGCAATCGGCGAGGCGTCCAGGAAGAAAGCCGCGGAGGCAGCTGCTGAGCGCGAATCGACGAGGCGCAAGGCGCCTGCGTCCAAGTTGGAAAAGGAAGCCACGCTATCGCAGTACCCGAGCATTCCGCTGTCAGAATACGCGTCCGACGGCGACCACCTCGCCATCAACGCTGACTACCCGGGGCTGCGTGCGATCCATAGAGACCCTTGGATCTTCCTCGTGAGCGATCTGCTCAGTCGCGCAGAGTGCGAGGAGCTGATGGTCAAGGCCGGCCCGCACTTCCAGTCCAGCGGCGGGTACTCCAACAACTTCCGGACCAGCTGCGAGTGCCGCGTCGCGAGGCACGAGACGCAGCGCCTGCACGCCCGGTATGCCAAGCTGCTCAACGTGCCCGTCGGCAGCCTGGAGGCCGCCAAGGTGTCACGCTACCGCCGCGACGAGTTCTTCAGAAACCACGTCGACGTCCTGTCGGGCACCGACTTCCTCGAGAACCGCATCGCGACGCTGTTTGTCTACCTCAACGACTGCGAGGCTGGCGGCGAGACGCGCTTCCTGTCGCTGCCATCGCAGCGCTCTCTCGAGTACGCGGTGGGCGAGAAGGTTTGTTGCCTGTCAACGGGGCGGGACGTGGATGGGGAGGGCGACTACCCCGGCGTCATCAGGGCGGTGCTGGAGGACGGCAGCGTGGACGTCGACTTTGACGACGGGGATGAGGTGGCGAGGGTGCCACGCAGCGCGGTGCGAGCCTACGAGACGCTGGAGGTTAAGCCTGCCCAGGGGATGGGCGTCCTGTTCTTCCCTGGGTACCTGCCCTCGTCGCCGAAGGCCATGCGGTTCCGCAACCAGCTGGACCGGTATACGGTGCACGAGGGCTGCGTCGCCGTCGACGAGAAGTGGGTCCATCAGAGCTGGGTGTGGCCAAGCCACCCGCAGGCGCACTACGATGGAGTCGAGACGGGAGCCGTGGGGCTGTGAGTCGGTAATTAGTTATTGTTGAGAGGGGCGTGTTTTTTCTTGCCCACCGCTCTTCGAAATCGTTTATTTCTCGAGGGCCAGCTTTAAGGAAAATCGCTACAACTCCAGCCCAGCCACAGCCGCCGCGGCGGCAGCTAGCCGGTTCGGCCTTGACTCGCGCGCGCCGAGATGGGAACCGTGGGTATGAGCACAGCGCACTGGAGCTCGATCCGCACCTGGGCACGAGTGGAATAACGATCATCGACAACGCCGTTGTCGGCGGCGATGAGGTGCGAGTCGTCATAGCATCGGACGGCTTCGAGTCGCTCGCTGTGGCGCGCGGGCTGGGCGGTTCCCTGCCAGCGAAGGCGATCCAAGCGAGTGAAGCCCCGGCCACAGGGGCAACCTCTTCCGTGCGCTGCTCATTTGCCTCCTCGCCCCGCGCGAGCCCGCACCATGCGCACCATTTCGTGCTGCTGACGCGCCCGCAAATCTCATGAATGAGGCACTCCTTCCGGTGCTGGCGGCGCTCTCTGCAGCGCCTTTGCCGCGGGTGCTGCATCTTACAACCCCAAGCACACCCCACAGAAGCCGCTGCCCCATAGCATTGGCACGAGGTCACGAAGGCGTACTCACTGTACGAAGCGACGCGGCCGCATTCTTCTCCGACCCAGACGCCGTTGCGTGCGGCGCCTTGTGTACCGCCGAGCGTAACCGAAGCGCAAGCGGCGAGCGTGCACGGGTGCATCGTGGCAATTCAGCGAGGGCAGGCGACGGCGTGCTCCCGCCTGCCCTACATCATGCAGGCGTGGCCCATCGGCCACGCTGCTGATTGCGTCAGCCGCGAATGGCCCTCGGCACTGCAGGCGTCCGCCTCAAGGCTATGTGCGCTGCGGTACAAATTCCTTCGGAACGCGCTGGCGGCGTGCGACTCGGAGGCGTGGTGCGGCGCCGTCTCGTCGGCGAAGGCTCCGACCGCCTGCCGCGAGAAGCGGTACGAGCTGCGGTCGCCGCCGGCCAGCCTCACAACGCTCGAGTACAGAGGGAGGTGGACGGGTCTATACACTTATGTCCGGCTCGCGGATGCCGAGTACTTGGCAGCGCCCGACCTCTTCACCTTCAACGGCACGACGCTGCTGCCGCCCGGCAACGCGCAAGTATGCGGGACGAAGCTCACGTGCACCAGGCGTCGGAGCTCGCCGCGAGCTACTTCAGTGTCAAAGCCAAAGCCCGACCCCAACTGCGTGCCAGAAGTTAATGATAGTTGAGACGATACTCTACATACGGCAATTACACTATACTCTTCACAAGAGACAGTAGACAGCGTATGTGTGTATTCTCTCGCACACAACACACAGCCCCGCAGCCGCACGTGCGGGGTGCCCTGCCATTACGCCCGCTCTGGGTAGCCCTCTTCTCAGTGGAGTCGTGGGGATGTCGGAAGTAGGCCCGCAGGCCGTCAGTGATGTCCCCTTCATCATCGGCAAAGCAGGAAAAGTCGTCCAAAACGCAAACCGTCGCACAACAGATGCGGCCACACGCTGCGCACCGACGGCTATTGCGCCGTCTAGCATATGCGCTGCGCGCAGCGCCTGCGAATGTGGTGCCGTGCCCTTTTTGCCACGCTGAGCGGACCGGAGAGCCCCTCATGCACGCAGGGTCAAAGGGACAACGATATCAGCGACCGCATCCTGCACTCACACCCAACTCCCGGTCCCGGTCCTAGTGCTACGGTCCTGGACCTGCGTCTCGAAGAGCACGTCGTCCAACCAGGCAGCGGAAAAGCCGTTGCGGACGCGGGTCGACGCGCGCGGGTAGTGTGTCACCTGGGGCGCGAGGAAGCGCTGCAGCCGCTGCGCCTTCTCGGCGTCTGGCAGGTCGACGTCGAGGACGAGGAGCGAGACGCCGAGAGCCTTGGCCGTGAGCAGCGCCGAGCGCTCGTGCTCAACGCAGCGCTGCTGCCACAGTGCGGCCGTGCGCCTCAACGGGTGGTCCGCCCCGCACCCGAGACCGTAGAAGCAACTCTGCAGAGAGAGCTTGTGCGCCGAGGCCAGCGGCGCGTCCGCGTTGATCTCGCTCACACGCTTGGCGCGCTCCCTCTGTCGCGCTGCGCATTGCTCGCGGCTGTCGGATGAGCGGCAGTCCGGCCTGCCCACGTACTGGTTGTGCAGCAGCCTCGCCGTCTGCTTTACCCAGTCCGTGCAGTTGCGGCGACGAGTGAGGATGAAGCGCGCGTTTGGAACGCTGCGCATCAGGGTCGGAAAGAGATACTGCCAGGGCGCGTCGGCAAGGGAGCGGCAGCTATGCTCGCCGTGGATCAGTTGGCCGAGTGAGGTGTTGTTAGCCAAGGGCGACGCGATGAACTCGGCTACCGCAGCGAGACTCCATGAGGCATCGTACATTGCGGGACCGTTGGAGAACCAGGCGGGCTTGCACGCCGGGGTGAGGCCGGAATGCTTGAGCGCACGAATAAGCGACGTTGTTCCCGTCTTGAAGCCGCCGACCACGAAAACCAGATCCGACCGCGTGCTCGCGCCGCTGCCTCGCCTCCTGGCCACCTGCGAAACCCTTGTCACGTTTGTGCCGTCCAGCAGCGCCCTGCAGGACTGCCATCTCGGCGCGTGCGAGCTCCCGCTGCAGCGCAGCGCTGGTGTTGGGGCCTGGACTGGCGAGGCGCTCCCACGCATGCTGGGGCGACTCGAAGGGGCAACGGCCGCGCCGCCCCGCATATGCCGGCGCGCGATTTTACCAAATTTATCTAGGCGGCCCCATCTCATCACGGTCGTCGCTACCTACGGCGGGGCCAAAACAGATCCCGCCTCTCGAGAGCACGCGGAGCGCGCAGCGCAATTTCTTCCCCCCGCTCTGCTGCTCGGCGCGATGATTCCCGCCCAGCCTCCGCCGCCATCAGACGGCGACGCCGCGGCCGATCCCGACGCCGCGGCCGAGGCACGGCGGCAGCAGCTCGACGAGGCAAACCTTGGCGTTGTCTCCGAAGAGCTGTTTGTGTCCTTCGAGGCCGCCGCGGAGACGCCCGGTCTGCCTCACCCAGCGGACGTGGCCGAGCCCGCGTCTCTCGCCGCCACGCCGCCACCGCAGTGCACGTACCCGCTGCTGGACGCCCTGCCGTCGAACCTCGTCTCCTCTGGGGCGCTCTCGTCGCTGCAGCTGCAGTTTGTTGGCCTGGCCTGCCAGCGGCACCTCACGGTGATGCCGACCGACCCGCCGACACGAGCCGGCTTCTTCCTCGGCGACGGCGCCGGGGTTGGCAAGGGCCGGCAGCTCGCCGCGGTCCTCCTCGACTCGCTCGCGCCGATGTCTCACTCATTATGATTCGTGCTTCATTTGATGAGCAAGAATGAATAGGTCATCCTCGACTCGCTCGCGCGCGGGAGGCCGCGGCACATCTGGTTCTCGTCGAGCGCCGACCTGCGGAACGACGCCATCCGCGACCTCACCGACCTCGGCTGCCACTGCCCCGTGCACGACGGCTGAAGAATTCGTTGTGAGGAGCGGTCGAGTCAAGAGTAGGCTGCCACTGCCCCGTGCACGACGGCTGCGCCTCGCTCGACCGCGCGACAAAGGGCCTGGGCGCATCAAAGGAGTCGCAGGCAGCCGTCCTCCTCCGGCGTGTGCGCGGGACGCTCCCCGAACCATCCCCGACCGTTGCCAGCCCCTCCGCTAGGCGGGCGTCCTCTTCTCAACCTATGCCACGCTCGTGAGCCGCCACCTCGGGCCAACATGCGGGCCGTGTTGATTTCACTGAGAGGTCAGCATTGACTGCCGATAGGTGAGCGCCACCTCGGGCCAAAAGGCGCATGGCTAGCCCCGCTTCTAGAGCGAAGGCGGCCCAGCCACAACAAGAAAGTTGCGGGCAGGCGCGCGGCTCGTCCCGCCTCTCCCAGCTGGTGGCCTGGTGCGGCGGGCTAGCCTTCGACGGCTGCTTGCTCTTCGACGAGTGCCACAAGGCCAAGAATTGGACGGGCAAGGAGGAGACGTCGAGCAAGGTCGCGGCGGCGGTACGCGAGCTGCAGCGCGCCCGCGCCACGGCCTTTCGTTGGCTCATCGCCCGCTTCCTTGTGTCACAGGTGCGCGAGCTGCAGCGCGCCTTGCCGCTCGCGCGAGTCGTCTACTGCTCTGCGACGGGCGCGAGCGACTCGGGCCTGAGCCTGGCATGCACAACTACCTGCCTCTGTTCCGTATGCGCCGCTCTCTTCTCTAGGCGCGAGCGACACGTCCAGCCGCGCCTAGGGCCACGGCTTCCTTTTTGACTCCCAATCGACTCCTCTAGGCGCGAGCGACCTCTCGAATTTGGCGTACATGGAGCGGCTCGGCCTCTGGGGCCCGGGCGCCTCCTTTCGCGACTTCGACGCCTTCGTCGAGGGCGTCAAGAACCGCGGCGTCGGAGGGCTCGAGATGCTCGCCATCGAGATGAAGGCGACGGGCACCTACCTCTCACGCGGCCTGTCGTACCACGGCGCCAAGTGCGAGCTCCCAAGGAGGCGCCCCTCGCTCATCCTTAATGGCTCGTGATTCATAATTAAGGCGCCGAGTTCGAGCTCAAGGAGGCGCCGCTCTCGGCCGAGCAGGCCTCCGCCTTCGACGCGGCCGCCGCGTTCTGGTCGCAGCAGCTGCTGCCGGCGCTCGAGGCGGCGGCGGAGCGGACGGGCGCGCAGGCGGGGGCGACCGTGCGCGCCTTCTGGGGCGCGCACCAGCGCTTCTTCCGCCAGCTGTGCGTGGGCTTCAAGGTGCCGGCACTTGTTGCCGAGGTCCGCGCCGCCCTCGGCAGCGGCAGCTGCGTCGTGGTCGGACTCCAGTCGACGGGCGAGGCGGCGCTCGAGCGAGTGGGAGATTCGGCCTCCGGCGAGCTCTACTCGCTCTGCGCAGAGATGCTTCGCTCCTTCATCGCGCACAACTTCCCGACCACCCGCCACGCCGACAAGGAGCTCGCAAAGTCGCTCGCAAAGGCCGAGGCGGCGGCCGCGCGCGCCATCGAGGCGCACGCCGCCGCGCGCGCCGCAGCGGCGCGACCAGAGGCGTCGCGTTCCGCCACAGCGCGGGCCGAGGCGGCGGAGGCGGTGCGCGGTGCCGCCGCTATGGCGGCGGCGGCGGCGGCGGCGGTGCAGCGGCTTCGGGCCGAGGCGGCGGCGGACGCGGAGGCGGCGGGGCAGGCCGACCCAGAGTGCGAGGTGGCAAAGGCGCGGCTGCTGCAGGCGGCCGCCGAGCTCGAGCTTCCCCCGGCGGCGCTCGACTTGCTCATCGACGAGTGCGGCGGCGCGGCGGCGGTGGCGGAGATGACTGGCCGGAAGGCGCGGGTGGTGCGGCAGGGGCGAGGGTGGGCGTCGCAGCCTCGCGCCAAGCCCGAGTCTGGCGAGATGGAGGCGAGATCTAGCCGAGATCCGAGATGTACTTCGAGCCCTGAAGCGAGATGCCCCGGATCGAGATTGAGTGACGCAAAAGCGACTTCCTTCATGGCCATGGCGACGAATGCACCGCTCCTCCACTCAGGCGCTCAACGTGACGGAGCGCAACGCCTTCATGGACGGCAAGAAGCTCGTCGCAGTCATCTCCGACGCCGCATCCACCGGCATCTCGCTGCACGCCGACGCGAGGAGCGCCAACCAGCGGCGGCGCGTCCACATCACGCTCGAGCTTGCTTGGTCGGCCGACAAGGCGGTGCAGCAGCTCGGCCGCTCGCACCGCGCCAACCAGACTTCGGCGCCGCGGTACGTCCTCCTCTGCACGGACGTGGGGGGCGAGGCGCGCTTCGGCTCGAGCGTCGCGCGCAAGCTGGAGGCGATGGGTGCCCTCACCAAGGGCGACCGGCGCGCCGAGATCGGCTCGCTCGACACCTTGGACGTGGACACCGCGCCAAGTGCCGGGCATGACACGAGTCCATACACCTAATCAGGCTCGCTCGACACCTTCAATCTGGACACCGCGTGGGGCCGCAAGGCGCTCAAGGCGCTGCTCGCCGCCGCCTACGCGGGCGACAGCTCGGTGCTGCCGCACCTCGCGGCGGACTCGGCCGCCATCGAGTCGGCTCGCGCCGGGCTGGACGCGGCGCAGAAGGGGAGCGAGAAGGAGCTCGAGGTGCGCCGCTTCCTCAACCGGATGCTCGGCTTGCCGCTCGCGCAGCAGCGGCAGCGCTTCCACCTCTCTGCTGCCCCGCGCTGCGGGGGCGGAGTCCTGATTGGAGTGGTTGTTGAGTCGTCAGGCAGCTCTTCGACCTCTTTGCGGCCGCGCTGCGGGAGGTGGTCTCGGCGGCAAAGCGCGACGGCCGGTACGACGCCGGCGTCGCCGACATCTCCGCCGGCGCCCGCCTCCTCGAGCCGGAGGCGCTGATCTGGCGCGACCCAATCACCGGGGCGAGGGCGCACGCGGCGACCGTCGAAGTGGACCGGGGCGTCTCGTTTGCCGACGCACTCTCGAAGCTGCGCTCTTGGCGAGCGGCCGCCGCCGCCGCCAAGCGCAACACCGACGGCGGCGACGCGGCGGCGGACAGCCGCGAGGGCGGCGGGGCGGAGGAGGGCGGCGGGGTGGAGGCCGGCGAGGAGGAGGCTTGCGTGGAGGAGGCCGGAGAGGAGGCCGCTCCGGCCGCTGCCCGAAGCGGCGATGTGGAGGACGGGGAGGAGGAGGAGGGCGAGGGCGAGGGGGAGGAGGAGGGGGGAGGCATCTTCCGCAGCCGCAGGCCGCAGTACGGCGAGCACCTGCTGCTGCTCGCGCTGCCGAAGGCGCGCGAGCCGCACATGGCCGTGCTCACGCGTCCAAACACCGGCCTCAGCCTGTACGAGGAGGCGTGGACAGACCTGCACCGAAAGTACGCGCGGGTGCTGCCGCCCTCCGCAGCAGAAGCCGACTGGACGGCCGCGTACAACGGTGCGTGCAACGAGCGCATCGGCGGCCGGCTGACACGCATCCAGCTCATCACCGGCTCGACGCTGCCGATGCTGCCCGTGCTCGAGGAGGTTGCCAAGAAGCACAGCGCCAACCTGACGGCGCGCGACCGCGCCGTCGGCGCGGTCCGCGTCATCCTCGATGGGCGGCGGCTGCTCGGCGTGCGGTTCGCGCGCTCGTGCATGGCCGACCTCAAGGAGGAACTTCTCAAGTGGAACCTGGCGCGCGGAGCGACGCACCGCAAGGTCGAGACGGAGCCGGCCGCACCCGTCGACCCGAAGGCACTCGCTCGCGCGCTGCGCCCGCCCGCCACCATCACCTCCTTCTTCGCGGCGAGGCCCGCGTCGCAAGCGGCGGCACCGGCCGGCACCGGCACCGGCGGCAAGCAGCCCGCAGGCGGCAGGGGCGGCGCTGGCGCGGGCGGCAAGAAGCGCAGCGTCCTCGACATGATGAAGGGCTCGTCCTCATCCTCGTCGGCGGCGGCGTCGTCGGCTTTGGCGGCGGTGCCCAAAGCTACCAAGGCCCCCAAGGCGTCAGGCGGTCTCGACGTGCGCAGCTTCTTCACGTCAAAGTCGGCCGACTCGGGCCCCCGCTCGCCGGCAACTCGCCCGAGCTCGGAGGAGCCCATCGACCTCACTTCGCCAGGCGGCGACTGAGGGGTCGGCGTCGCCGAGGGAGCGCGACTACAGAGTACAGTGCTGTACAGTGTGATATGAGGAGGCGGCTTGCGGGCTCTCTTCTCTGTGAGCGAGGGGGAGGCCGGGCGCTCCACAGAGGCCTCCTCTTGAACTCTTCTGAGGTCTGTACTTTTGGCTATGGAACTCAAAAAAGAGCCGCACAGCGCACTCGGACCGACTCTACTACAACACGAGAGCCACAGGCGACACACACACCTCCCCGAGCTTCTCCGTTCTCGGGCCATCTGCTCTCGAGGGCTCCGCCGTTTTTGTGAATCGCGAGAGCGTAGTGCGACGGTGTATCAGAGATTGTGTGTTTGTTTCTCTCAGTCGCCTTGTGTATGCGACGGTGGCATAAGGCGAGTAGGCGACTGTGATTCACCGTCGCAAAACTGCATTCGGTTTGGGTAATAAAAAGAAAAGAAACAAAACAGACAACCCAAGGGAGGGATGGCTGGGAGGATTTTGTTGTGTAGGAGGACGGCACGCCTTTTAGGTTAAGTAGAAAGGTAACCGCCAGGCTCGGACTGGACACCAACGCGGTATGGGTGGACGCTGGTGGCTGGACAGATGATGACGGCACGCACGAGCGACACACAGACGCCTTTGGGTAAAAAAGACAGGGAGGCATGACCTGGGCATAAAATTCTTTTCGTGGAACCTTCAAACCTGAAGGGAGGGATGGGAGGACGGCACGCCGCCACCACACAGGGATTTTAAACGCCTTCCTGGGTAATAAACTAGTCTGGTAATTCTTTGTGCGACCCTCGTCTTCAAACACCTCATCTTTGTGCGACCCTCGTCTTGGCCGCGAGCCGAGCCGAGCGAGCGAGGGAGACGGAGAGACGGCTTACGAACTTAGCAGCTACATGCAGAGTAGCGACGCTGCGCTGCTCGCTGCGCGTCGGGCGCGGTTCGCGCGCGAGGCTCGCAACCCGCCGCCTGTGCCCGTCAAAACCATGGCGTGGGCTGGCGGCCAAGTGACGACGAGCGACCCGAGCAAGGCCCTCGCCAAGCTTCTCGCTCGAAAGGCCAAAGCGGGCGAAGCTTTGACGGCGGATCAGCAGCGAGCCCTGCAGGCGCTGACAGCCGGGCCGGCGCTGGCGGACCGAAGCGCCGCGGCTGCGAACCAGCGGGCCGCATCAGTGCATCAGCCTCGCGTCAAGGTGGAGAAGTTGGGCAGGTCGCAAGAGGCTGCGTCGGCGGAGCAGCAGGCGCGCCGCAGGCGGCTGGAGCGCAAGATTCGCGACTGCGAGGCGCTAGAGCGGCGGGTGCGCTTGGGCGGAGCTGCCTCCCCCACCTCCCTGGCAACTCCTCAGGCGCGATCGTAAATCTGTAGGCGGCGGCCGGAGAGAAGCTTGAGATCAACCAGCGCAGCAAACTGGAACGCAAGGCGCAGTGGCAGCGAGAGCTTGCGGACGCGGGCGGGCAGGCGGCCCGCTGAGTGGTGCGAGGGCCATGGGCAGCGAGCCAAAGCGAGCAGAATACCACGCTCGTGAGTCAAGATGTGTCGGTGTACTGGTCGCTCGTACTTACTTTTTGGGTGATGCTCCGATAAACCCTCCGGATCTTCGACTAACGTCGGAAATTTCTTTTTCAAAGTGCAAGGTGTGAATAAGAGGTTTATGATAGGGTTACATCCCGCACCCCCGCGTGCCATCTGCCAACTGCCATGATAGGGTTACATCATGGGACATGGCCTGGCGCCCGACCCGCACCCCCGCGCAGAGACCTCGGTGCGAACCCCTCCGCGAAACCGACTTGGACGGGGTATGGGGGTTGTGCGCCGGGCCCTCCTGCTCGGCTCCCCGCAGCCAGTAGACAAGTCTTGTCATCAACAGAGTAGAAGGATCTGACCTCGGGGCCGATGTGACCAAGCGCTGGTAGCGTGGTTTAACCTCACACCCATTGGTCTCACAGTGTGCCGGCAGTCGCCGAGCAGTGTCGCTCACACAAGCCGCAGCACAAGTGACTGAGGGCCAGTGAGGGCGAGCCCATCGCTGTGACAGCTGTGGCAGCCGCACAGTAGGCTGTGTCAACTGTGCAGAGTGTGTGAGCAGCAGAGGAGCTGCTCTCCAGGCTTCTGTCGCAAAGAGCTGCATGCCACCGAAAGCGCTGTCGAGGTTCGCCGAGCGCGGCGCAGGTTGGAGGACACCGTCACTGACGAGCGCGTTGGACTTTTCACTCCGGACAAAGACGGCTACACGCACACGAGCCGCGGTCGTGTAGCCGTCTTAGCGGCGAGGCGCGGGACCATCTGTGGCGAAGTGGGTCGTGTCCTTCAATTTCCGTCAACCCAGCATCCACACCCTTTACTTTTGGGGGGCGCGCCGCCAGGCGCGTTCCCACTTTTGTATCACAGTTGCTCCCATGGTTGCTCCCCGCCGCCAGAGACAGGTCAGCCCTCTCCACCACCCTCGCCCACGGGGATCTACTAGATGGATCTAGTAGATGATCTACAAAATGCTGTCTTGGTCCGACCTCGGCGCGGGGGGCACCGCGCCTCGCGCTGCGCTCGAGCCCTGGTCTGGACGATTTTTTGCGCTATCTCCCCGTATCTCCCTCGATCTCCGCGTATTCCCCTCTATCTCCCCGTATCTCCCCGCATTTGCCCGTATCTGCCCCCGTATCTGCCCGGTATCTCTGCCCGTATCTGCCCGTATCTCGACCCGTATTCCCCCGGAATTTCCCCCCGGTCTCTCTCTCTCCCCGTATCTCGTATCTCCCGGTATATCTCCCGGTATCTCCCAGTATCCCGCAGTATCCCGCGGTATCCCGCGGTATCCCGCCATATCTCGCCGCGGATACCGTTAAAAAAATCGTCCCGAGACCAGAGGGATCGCTCGGGGCACCGGGCACCGCGCATACAAAATGCGCCTGGGGGCGGGTGGACCCTCTCACTGGGGGCTCACAGATCACAGATCACTAGGGACATGGACATGGTCATGGAGCCTCCATATGCACACCCCGATTTGTACATGTGTATCATTGTAATCATGCCCACGACCCAACAGCCTCCTCGTCAAGTATTGCTTGCCGCCACGCACGCCTCTTCCGCCCGTACCCTCCTCGTGTTCGCCTCCCCGGTGCGTGCCACAGCTGAAGCGAGGGCCGCCTCGAGCCGTTGAATCTCGGCCACCGATGCTGACATGTCGAACAGCATGCAGCTGTCCTGCGCGGTGCGCACCCGCTCCTGCAGTTCGTCTCTCGCCGCGACAAACGCACCATGCTCCCGCTCCCGTTCGGCCCGCGCCTCTGCCAACCTCTCCTCGGCCGCGGCTCGATGCGCCATCTGCGCCGCCATCTGCTTCGACCTTCGGGTCGCGCTGGGCTCCGCCTTCGAGCGCGTCACCCGCACCTCCTCTAGCACGCAGGCGACACGCTGCTCGAGCACAGCCCGCTGCTCGGCCAAGGCGGCGAGCTCCGCAGTTGCGACGGCCAGTGCGGGCTCCGCCGGAGCGAGAGCGGCAATCGCACGCTCCGTCTCGTTGGGCGGCGTAACGCGAGCCCCGCTCGCTTTACCGAGATCCTACGCCGGCCAGCAATGTGGTTGCTGGGTACGAATGCGCGGCTGTGAGAAAGGGGAGCTGCGGGAGGCGCGCGCCCTGATTTCTCTGAGGGTGCCAAACGAGAGGGAATTGCCTCCGGCATGCAGCGTTAATTCTCGCGCCTCTGCTCCGGGGCAGCCAACGGACCGACGCAGCTCTCTGAGTAGGCTATGGCCGCCGTCGGCGGAGATGTTGTTTTGCTCGAGGCACAGCGTCCGCAATGAGCAATTGTCCTGCAGCGCTCTCACCAGCGCAACGGCGCCCTCGTCCGCCACCGCGGCGTGGTTGAGGTCTAGCGTACGTAAGCTTGCGTGCACCGCGAGGGCGACGGCCAGGGCATTGGCGCCAGGGTCGCCGATCGGATTGTGGGGCAGATGCAACGCACGCAGCGAATCTGTGGAGTAGAGTGCTGACGCGAGCGCTGCGGCGCCGCGGTCGCCGATGGAGGCGCAGCCGAGCGACAGCTTGGCGATGGAGGAGGCTGGGAGGCCGCGTGCAAAGGCAGCGGCGCCCTCGTCACCCAAGGGATTCCCGCTCAGATCGATCGCCCGCAGCACACACTCTCGATGACTCACCGTGCGGCCAATCGCGACGGCGCCAGCCGGGCCGCACCCGACACCACGCAGTGAGAGCGAGCCGAGCCGGGCGGGGCGAGGCACGGCTGCCCCCCTCGCGGATTGCACGTCCGCGGTGGACAAGGTCCGCACCGCAAGCGGCGGCCGTGCCAGCCTCGGGCTGTTGCCGGCCGTGGGCGGCCGGAGCACCCCCCTCGTTGTTGGCCGTGCCGCCGCCGATCTCGCGCGTCGCGGGATTGGCGAGATGCTGGGCGAGCCGCAGACGGAAGGCGTCTCTGCGCTCGAGAGCGCGGCGTCGAGGCGCGCCTCCCTCACTCTGATCCGACCGGAGCGACTGGCAAGCGACCTCAGCAGCAGGTCTCGTTCACGCGCCCTCATCACGGATGCGGTTTTCGGCCGGTGCCGGTCTTCAGCCAGCGTGTCGGCGGCGGCCGTCAGCATCCCCGAGAGCCGCCGTTGGGCCGAGCTTCGTGGGACGTCCGGCTTGCGGAGGGCCGCGGTCCTCTCCGCCCTGGCCGCCGCCCGGGCCGCCGCCCGGGCCGCCGCCCGGGCCGCCGCCGCCTCCGCCGCCGCCTCTGCTGCAGCCGTCGGGCTGAGGATGGCCGCCACCTGCTGGCAGCCCGCATCGCCGAGAGAATTCTCAGAGATGTCGAGGCTGGTGAGAGAGTCAGCATAGGAGAGAGCTCCGAGCAGTGGCGCGAGGCGGTCGAGGTCATACTTGTTGCACGCCTGTGTGTTGATCAAGATGGGCACGTGTGTGTGCGAGCGTGAGGGCGAGGAAGTGTGAGGCGGAGCAGCGAGGCACCAAGCTGAGGCTCGCTAGAGCCTTGCAGCCGCCGTCGGCGGCTTCACCGCCTCCAATTAGCACGGCGAGTGCGGAGACTGCGGCATCGGCGTCCGGCGACTCGCCGAGTGCGTTGTGCGAGAGATCAAGCACCTCGAGTGCGGTGCATCTGCGCGAGCCGTGGGGGCATGAGAGGGTGTGGTTTCGTCCTGGTCTTTTGCGGTGGATCGGAGAGGAGGTGGGTGCACGGGACGGGCAGCACGCCGTTCGGCGAGCGTCTCGAGGAGACCGGCGATGGCCCGCAGCTGGTTTGCCCCTGATAGCTCCGCCTCGCTGCCGATCTTTGCGTCGGACGGCACCCCGCCCAACTCGAGGCTGGTGAGGAGTTGGGCTCCGTCTCGTGAGGCGAGGAGCGCGCGAGAGAGCGCCGGCGCGAAGGCTGCGTGCGGGAGAGGGCGAGTGAGCGGTGTGTTCGACAAACACGGCGGTCTACGTCTACTTGCAGACCGCTTCGGAGGCCGCAAGCGCCGAGCCGGACGGAGGTGATCTGTCCAGAGCCGAGGAGCGGCAGCAACGCCGCCGCGCCCGAATCTCCCAGCGAGGGATTGTTGAAGAGGTCGAGACCGCCGAAACCACTGCCGCACAGCGCACGCGCAATCGCCTTGCCGGACCGAGGCCCAAGCTGGAGCCCCCGCAGCCGCAGGGTCCTCCCCGCAGCCTTTTCCGTCCCCGCCGCCTGCTTGACAACCGCTGCGAGGAAGAGATTCAGGCCGTGGCGAGTCGGAGCTAGCCCGGAGTCGCCGCACCGATACGCGTACAACTCGCGGGCCAGTGCCTCGCGCGCTGCCTGGAGCTCAGCGTCCATGCAGGAGTGGCATAAGCCGGACGGTAGGGCCGTTACGCCGGGGGGGGGGGGGGGGGCAGGCAGTTTGAGCTGTTCCCACAGCTGGCTGGAAGTAGCTAGCGCACCAAACCTGGGAACTAGCCGGGGCAGTCGGAGAAGGGGCAACTAACTCCGTGCACTGTTGACGGTCGGCCGTCAGAAAAACACGCCTGCGTGGATCGCGTCACACCAATCCTCGCTGCGTGTTTGTGGCAGGACGAGTGGCAAATGCTTTTCCCTGCCAGTGCGCGCCAGTCAGTCCCGTGCCTAAAGAAAGAAAGAAAGACAACAGACAGGCCAGGGAGGGATGGGAGGACGGCACACGCCGCCACCACACAGGGATTTTAAGGAGAGGAGTGTGATGCTAGCCGTCGCCCACCCTTGTGGGCGTCTGCCTGAAGGCCCCCGCACGGGGGGGCCCGGCCGACGTCATGCGCGTGCGATCTCAGACTCAGTGCCCCAGCACGCAAATTTTCTCTCTCTGCGCGTCTGCGGGACTACCGCCCCGCACCCCGCCCGGGATTAATTCACACCTCTCAACAGCTGTTCACACCTGGAAAACTCATCGGATTTGGGCCACTTGCCTGGGCGACCCCGGACCCCGCTGGCGGACGCGCATGTGGCATGAGGCATGACGTCGGCCGGGACCCCCCGTGCGGGGGCCTTCGTCTGCCTCTTCCTATCTCTCTTCGCAGTCCCCCGCCGATTCTCGCGGGATGGGAGGACGGCACGCCGCCACCACACAGGGATTTTACGGAGAGGAGTGTGGTGCTAGCCGTCGCCCACCCTAACCCTTGGGCGTCTGCCTCTTCCTATCTCTCTTCTCAGTGGTCCCTCACCGATTCTCGCTGCAACCTTCCTGTCGCCTAGCCTTGCGCGAGAACCGTGCTCAAATTCTTTTGAAAGAAAGAAAACAGAGAACAGAGAAAGCCAAACGAGGGATGGGGGAGGAGGACAGGGTCAATTTGACTTCGAGAGTGGGGACGCCAAGAATTCTTTCGAATTGTGTGCGGGAGCCGCGTTCGGGTGTGTACTCTCGGCTAGCCTCGCAAAAGGGAATTCTCGCGCGCCCGTGTCCGGCGTCGGAGTGCGGAGGCCAGAGAGGTGGTGCGCCAGAATACATGGTGCGGTTGTCGGCCCTCGTGCCGCTCCTCCTCCGATCCGCGCCGCCTCACTGCTGTCGCGTGTCCCCACGCTGGCTCCGATCCGCGCCTCCGCGCAGCTCCGCGGGCGCACCGCCGCCGCCTCTGGAGCCTTTGGACCCGGTGGCGGCAGATATGCAGGGCGGTGCGCTCGCGCCGCCGCCGCCGCCCGACCCGGCCCTCACGGCGGACGTGTGGCTGCAGCGCGAGACCGTGCGGTACGGCGGTGCGGCGAGCGACGCGGCCTACCTCACCTCTTACGCGCCCTTCACAGTGGACGGCAACCACACGCGGGCGGTGCTCTTGCTCGCGGCGGGGCGAGGGCTGGCGGCGCCGGCGGCGGAGCCGGACGAGCAGACGCTGCGCTCGCTCGCCGACCGGATCGCGCTCAGCTGCGAGTGCGTCGTGCTCCTGCCTCGCCTTTCGGGCGGAACGGCGCGCTGGCAGCACGGCCGGCTGCTCTCCGAGGCGGACGCCGCGGCTCGGTACCTCAACGCGGCGCACGGCGCACAGGCGCTCGGCGTGGTGGCGCTCGGCGAGGCCGGCTGCGTCGCCGCCGAGTTGCACGCGCAGGGCGCGCTCGAGTCACACGCGCTCGACGCCGCTCCCCGGCGCCGCTCCCGCTCCGCCTCTCTCCTGTGACCGGCCGCTCCCTTCTTGACTTCAGGCGCTTGTCACGCTCGTGCCTCCGCGCGTGCCGCACGAGGCGCTGCGGGCGCTCGACGCGCCGCTGCTCTGCGTGCTCGGCGAGGCGGCGGGGCAGGCGAGCAGAGCGAGCCGGTGGGCGCACGCGAGAAGAGCCCTGCGCCGCGGTCCGAGGCGCAACGCTGTGAACAGGCGAGCGAGATGGCGGAGGCGCTCGCCCTCAACCCGCGGCTGCGGGGCGAGTACTTCGTGCGCCACTTTGCCGGCTGCCGGCAGGACTTCCTGCTCGCGCCCGGCAGCGAGCGCGAGGCCGAGGCGGCCGACCAGGCCGTCTCGCTCGCGCTCGCCTTTCTCGACCGCCACGTGCCAGAGGGCGTCGCCGCCGGCGTTCCCAGGTAACGGCTAGCCGGGGTCGGTGTGCGGCTGAGCGCTGAGGGCGGGGGCCGCCGCGGGGTGGTAAGATAGAAAGAAAGAAAACAACCCGGCATAGTCCAGAGTGCAGTCTGCAGAGATGGGAGGACGGCACGCCGCCACACCCCTGACCCCACACGCGCACAGGCAGAGGGGATTTTAACTGTGCCTAGTTTTAGAGCAGCGTTGGTTGTACAAGGCAGAGAAAATTCTTTTCTCTCGATGTGCCTGGTAGTCCATTGGGAAGTATTTCTTTTCTCTTTGTCTGCGCATCGAAGAAAGTTCCTCATTCCAGGCCTAGCCGTGCGCGCATCGGCATCGCACCCACTGCTGGCTCTTCCCACCGTTGGAGGATAACAGCGCGTGCGTATCTGCATCCGCGATGACGCCGTGCTCCGCGATGCCGAGCGTCTCACCGTCCAGCAGCGAGGACATCGAGATGACTGACGCTGAGGCAACTTCGGTACACGCCACCAGCACGCCGCAGCCATCGCCAGCCAACAGGAGCGGAATGCGGAGGAGCGTCAGCTTCAAGCAGTTCCCTCTCACAGAGGTGGTTCATCGCGTGCCCAGCTCGTGCGACTTGTCAGAGTACGAGAAGCAATGCGGGTGGTATAACCAGAGTGATTACCAGCTGTTTGCGCAGCAAGAGTTGGAGCGGCGGCGCAGCAACGGCATCTCGAGCACGAGCGCTCTCTTGCCCGACTCGTGAGTCGATGGTGCGGGAGGATGCTTGCGTATGTGGGGTGTGTATCAGTCAGGATGGGGGCTCAGATCACCACCGGTCCGCTCGTCACCGACACCGTCCGAGACCTCTGTGCCTCGATGGCGCGGTCGGCCTCTGTGCGGTGTGCGCGGTTCCGCTTGTCTTGTGGCCCCCTTTTGTGTGTGTCGGTGTGCCATGCGCCGATGGTCGGCCTCATGTACATGTATTCGCGGTAAATATCGCCCACTCGTCATCCTCTCGCCTCTCGCGCCGCGCCGCCCACCACATGCGTTTCGAGGACGGCGAGGACACCCTGGTGCGAGGCGCGGAGCGCGAACTGCCGCTGCTCCGCGGGCGGAGCAAATCCGAGGCGGCGCATGTCGCACAGCAGCGCGCTGGCCTCGCGCCCGCCGCCGTGCCGCGAGCAGGCGCGGAGCAGGGCGGAGTAGGTGTGCGCCGTCGGCCGCACTCCGCTCCGCCGCATCCGGTCGAGCAGCGAGAGGGCGTCCGCGAGGGGCGCCTGGCCAACAGGCTGCGCGGCGAAGCAGAGCGCCGCGCCCGAGTAGACGCGCTCGAGCCACTGGCGCTGCCCGCCTCGGCGGCGCGGGATCAGCTCGGCCCGCTCGAGCAGCTCCGCCGCCGCCGCCGCGTCCGCTGCGCGCCCGCACGCCTTCATCGCTGACGTGTACGAGTAGCCGTCCGGTTGCAGCCCGCGCCGCTCCATGCGCTCGAGCAGCCAGCGGGCGCCGGCGGCGTCGCACGCGGCCGCGCGCAGCTCGATCGCCGCGTTGTGCGCCCGCACCGAGGCAGGCAGCCCGCGCAGCTCCATCTCGTCCAGCAACCGGATCGCGGCGTCCCACGGCGCTGACCCGCCCTCCGCCGCCCCTCCATCCGCCGCCCCGCCCACCGCCGCCTCGCCCCGCGGCCCCTCTTCCGCCGCGCCCTCCGCCCCGCATCTCACCACACCCCCCTCCGCCCCCTCCGCCTCCGCCGCCCGCGCCGTGGCCGCCGCCCGCTGGTTCGCCGCCGCGCGCGCAATCTCGAAGAGGCTAGCCGCCTCCGCGCGAGTCGGGCGACACGCCTTGGGGGAGGGGGGGGGGGAGGGTCGCCTCAGGTCGCCTCGGGTCGCCTTGGCTGATCTCGGCTGGCCTCGGCTGGCCTCGGCTGATCTCGGCTGGCCTCGGCTAATCTCGGCTGTGATCGGCTCGTCTCGGCTCGTCTCGCGCCTTGAGGACGGAGGTGTAGGTCACCTCGTCCGGCTCGATGCCCTCCGCCGCCATGGTCTCCAGCAGCGCCATGGCGTCGCGGCCCCGCCCGCCCGCGGCAGAGTAGACCTGCGCCGCACACACGGCCGGTCTGGTCTGCACGCAGTCGGGTCGGGGGCACGGAGGACGCAACGGGGCAGCACCACAGCCGTGTCCCCGCGAGGGCTAGCTAGGAGGGAGGGGAAAGGGGGGGGGGGGTCGGGTCTGGACTCGGCGTCAGAGGCAACGGTCGCGCGCCTCGACCAGCGCGTTGAAGGTCCACGCCGACCGAGCCACCTGCCCAACAGTCCACTGACTAGATTGTCGTCGAGATTTGACCCACTCGCTCGGGCGGCGGGGCGGGAGAGGCCGCCTGTTCCATCACTCGTACTCGTGAGTGTCGCCTCTCCTTGCGCGTTGGCAACCTTCCCCTCCCCCCTCCCCCGCACCCGCAGGCGGCGCATCGTCGCGAGCAGCCCGCTCGCGGTCGCCGCGCCGCCCTCCCCGCCGTGCCGGCACGCGCAGATGGCTGCGGAGAAAGGCTCGGTCGAGGGAGGCACGCCGAGCGCGCGGAAGCGGTCGAGCAGCCCGATGGCGTGCGCCTGTACCCACACCGCCACTTGTTGAAGCGACGCGCTGCGCAGAGGGCTGCGCGTGGCACAGCCGTGTCGTTGACGGCGCCGTCTGCGCCGACTTATCGCAAGCAGCGATCGCCGCGGTGAGGGCCCTCACCACGAGGGGCTGACTCGCCCGTCGCGCGTCCTGCAGTCGAGAGCGCCCGAGATCAGCCCAGATGAGCCGAGATGAGCCGAGATGAGGCTCGCCCGGCGCCGGTCCTGCTCAATCCACTTCTCAAGGTGGCCGCACACGGCCAGCGCCTGGTGCACATGTCTCGGACCTGTCGTTCACGTGTCACGCACGCGCCAGCCGCGCCGCGCCCGAGCAGCGCCTCCTCCCAACCTCGTGTCAAATCTCGTGTCATCTCGTGAATCTCGTGCAAAATCTTGAGCAGCGCCTCCTCCCAACGGCCCGGCTGGGCCGCGCAGCCGCGCAGCGCGCCGACGAAGATGCCACCGCGCGCAGGCAGCCCTGTCTCCTCGAGCGCCGCCTCCAGCAGCGCGAGTCCGCCCCCCGGCTCCCCGCTCGCCGCAGAAACCGCCGCGGTGAGAGCAGAACCGGTGAGAGCAGAGCCGTCGGCGCGGGACAGAGCGCGCGCATGGCCCGAGCGTCCCACGGGGCCTCCGCCTCGGCCTCCTCCGCCTCCGCCTCCGCCTCCTCCGCCTCCTCCGCCGCCGCCGCCGCCGCCGCCCCCGCCAGGCGCGTGCGCGAGACGCGCCGGCATGGCGAGGCGCGCCGGCGAGAGCTCCGGGTGTTTGGCGGCGCCGAGCGAGTCGAGTTCGGGCAGCAGCTGGCGCGCGAGCTGCGCCCCGAGCGGCGCGGCGGCGGAGGCGCGCATCGCGGCGGCGTACGACTGCTCGTCCGGCGCCGGCCCCTTTTGCTTCATCATCGTCAGAAGCGAGAGGCACTCGGACCAGCGGTGGCGGCGCGCGAGGGCGTCGAGCACTGCATTGTGCGCGGTGATAGACGGCCGCACCCCGCGCACGTCCATCTCGCGGAGGGACTGCCGCGCGAGCCCGATACGTCCGCGAGCAGCCGTCTTGAGCGTCACCGTAATCAGCTCCTCGCGGCCGAGCCCTCGCTCGCACCCCGCGAGTTCGGTGACGAGGCGGCGCGCCAGGTCGCCCGGCACCTTGTCGAGCAACCGCAGGTGGCGGCGGCGGTAGCATGGCCCCTCGCCGCAGCAGGGGCGTAATTTTAGGAGCGACTGCGCCTCGGTGAGCCGGGTGCGCAGCATGGCAGCCTGTTTCTCGCCTTCGATGTTGAAAATAACGCGACAGGACCTCAGCGGAGCTGGGAATAGGACCGCCGCGAGCGGCGTGGCGTGGAGCGGTTGAGCATCCCTCCGGGGGCCCCTCTGCGCCGGGGAGGCGTTGTTGGAGGCTAGGACGCAAGCGTCCGTCGCCCTTTTTCAAACTCGGGGCCCACTCCGCTACGCTCCGACCCGAATTTGGAGGGCCTAAAAGTTTAAGGTGTTGCTGCGCAAAAGGGGAAGACGCTCCACGCACAAAAAGTATATGTATCAGTTCTTACGAACGTACTTCCTCTTAGGCGGACCCTCCCGATGCCAGGACGCATGCGGCCAACAACGCTATTCGTGCGGAAGAGCCACTGCAAGCGGACTGTGCCCCCTGAGCCAATGCGGCGGCGAATGGCAAAGCGCATACAAAAGTCGGGGTCGCAGAGAGCGTCGCGCAGCAGTTGAGCATGCTCGTCGGTCGCGTTGTTTAGGACGCCACGCCAATTATCTGCGCGCCCATCTGTTGCCTGGCATCCCCGGCGAATTCGTCGCTCGTGATCAGCTCCGCTGCCGCTCGGAGCAACCAGTGCCGTGTCGAGATGAAGCTCCCCGACGACGCCCGTGGACTGCACGCGCAGGGAGAGGCGCACGAGCTCCCGCACGGCAAGCGACTTCTCGGCATGCGCCGCCTGACGCCTGTCGGCATCCCATTCTTGCAAGCAAGCCATTTCTACCGACCGCGTATTTGGTCGCGGAGAGGACGTTTTGGTACGTTTTGGCACCAGCTGAAGGCTTGCCCCCGCAAAAGCCCGTTGCCAACCCCTTTTTTGCCAGAGTATCGCGAATCAATTGGCCTCCGCTCATGACAGCCAGGGCTCAGAAAGCGGACTGGTCGGCAGGTTTAGGGAAGGAGGCGACGCAGCAGGCGTCCAACCCCCGGGGCAGGCGCGCGGCTCGCGCGCCGCCCCACCCACGCCGGCCCGCGCGGGCCGGTCGTCCTTCGCCATGTCCCGGGACGTCCAGCGTGGACATGTCCCGGGGGAAGCTGTGACTAAGGGCACCCCGTTCCTCCTCAGAGGTCTTCCATGCTGCTGTCGGTTTTTTTTCTTTCGGTTTTTCGAGGTGAAGCTCAATCTTCTCCAAACCCTCCAGGACCCGTCACCCAACGGCTGTGGGGACCTGGAATCCAACTGCATCTAAAAACGGCGGGCGGTGAGCCGGCTAAAAGGTTCGCTGTCGTGCTTGTACGGGTGGCCGCAGTATGCTGCGCAAGTCGTCGGCAACGCTTCTCTCGAGGCGTTGTTTGAGCACCAGTGCGAACCCAGTCGGATGGGCAAGGCGATGGAGCGCGGAGATCCGAAACTGGATCTCTATGGAGAAGGGAGGGCAGGCGCACCAGCGCGGCCCCCACTGCTCGGCCCTGCTCCCCCCTACCACACCCTGACTAGCAGACCGAGCACCGTGCCCCTGACGCCAGCGGGATGCTGCGCAGGAGAAGCGCCACAACCGTGACATGCCCACGCGTGATCAGAACTTTGACCACGAGAAGTGAAGCTCCCGAGGCCCGAGAGTCGGCTCCGCGTTGCTCTTCCCCACTCCTCTTGTGCATTCGCAGGTGGAGTATTCACAAAGACCCCAAGCGGCACGTCCGGCACTTTGTCACGTGGGGCTACTCCGCCGCCACCCAGCGCATCCTCTTCCCCGACCTCGCCCTCATCTTCTCCTCCTCTGCCTTGTTGACCGCGTTCAACCACGTCGCCGAAATCCCTATGTACATGCCGCCCGAGCCGATCGTGCTCCCATCCGTGGCGCTCGGCCTTCTCATCACGTTCCGCACCAACACCGCTAACATGCGCTACAACGAGGCACGTTGCCTGTGGGGCGAGATCGTCAACACCTCGCGCGACATCACGCGCATCGCCCTCCAGTGGCTGCCGCAGAGCAACGATGACAAGTTTGGCAAGGCGCAGTCCGCCAAGGTGTGCCGGATGACCAAGGCGTTCAGCATCGTGCTGAAGTACCATCTGACGATCGACGGCGGCAACCCGGACTCGCGCTTCTCGCGCTCTGACCCCGACCTGCCCGCCTTGGTCAAGGAGGAGCTGCGCAAGGAGTTGAGCACGGTTTGCTTCAGCCCGTCCGACCCGGTGCAGGCGCAGGAGCTGGAGGATTGCCTCAACTCCTCGCACCGGCCGCTGTGGGCGATCCAGCAGATGTGCGACGCCTCGCACGCCGGCATCTGGGCGCGGTGCGGGGACCGCCCCGACCGCGCCCTCCGTGACGGGCAGCTCCTCGAGCGTCACTTCCAGCGCCTCTGTGGCGCGATGGGCGCGTGCGAGCGCATCCACCGCACGCCCATCCCCACCGCTTTCACGCGGCACTCGTCGCGCTTCCTGATGGTCTGGTGCAACGCCATGCCGCTTGTGCTCTGGCCCATCGTTGGCACTTCGACGCCGCTGGCGGCGACGTTCGTGTCGTGGGCCATGCTCGGCACCGAGGACATCGGCGTGCAAGTGGAGGAGCCGTTTGACGTGCTGCCGCTCTTCCAATACTGCCAGGGCATCGCCGCGACGTGCGACGGGATGGTGAAGGATGCGCACAACAACATGATCACCCTCTCAAAGGACCTCGAGTTCCAGCGTACCGGCCCGCAGATCCTCGTCGAGGACATGGTGGAGCCGAGCTTCAACAACATCAACAGGCGGACGGCGGCGGCACACTGAGTGTCCGTCTAGGTCGAGCCGGGCGCGATTTGCGCTGCTGAGCAGTTGGACTGCTCATACATCTGCTGGCCTGGCCCCGGACCTCTGGCGCAGGTCCTTGCGTTGTGTTTGTTGCGCTCTCCGCTCCTTTTGCCGGAGTCGGGTCTCCTGTCTTCTGTCTACTTCTCCGCCCTCCCCATCCTCTTGCGCCGCGGCGGTTGCTGCATGGTGTGAAGTTTATGTGGCGGAGACGGCGCCGCGCCGGGGACCTTGGTGCTAGGGCGCCGGCCGGAGCGCGGAGGCGGAGCGCTAGACGTACACCGCGTATTAGGCAGTTTTCCCTCCTCTACCAATCCCTCTGTATTTGTAATTTGTTCAAACGAATATTTATTTAAATCAAAACGGCCCCACAAGCGCGATACTGCAGGACGTGTATCCCCGCAAATTGGCCACACGTCGTGTTGCAAATTGGCCACACGTCGAAGCTCGAACAGGCAAACGGAAACGAGCGAGACGAGAGACCGGCCCTGTGGTTGCTTGCGGCAACCAACACCGCGGCGACTGGTGCAAGCTGCTTGAACGGCGGACGCTGGTCACCGATGGGCCATACGGCTCTGCCTTTCCCGCGCGCGTCCGCGCCGCCCGCGTCCGAGAGTTTGCCGTCGGACGACGGGCGCGGAGGCGACGCAGCAGTGGGTGCCCTCGCACCCGAGCTTCCCGAAGCCGCAATCGGCCGTCTGCTGGTCGAAGCCAGCCCGGCAGCAAGCCTGCCTCGAGCCGCAAAAGTGGCACGGGCCAGCCCTCTCGTGGCACGGCCACCAGCACTCGCGCACCCGCTCGGGCTCCGCCTCCTCGGATGGCAGCGAGCGGACAGCCTCCGGCTCCGTATCTCCGCGCGAGAGGCTCGCTGCCCGCCGTCCGTACCGGACGAGCGCCCGCGCCCAGTAGCAGTCGACGACGTCGTCCGAGAGGCCCTCCTGCACAAAGTGCTGCCCCGCGGCGCCGATCCGAGCAGCGCGCGAGAGAGCCGCCGGCAGCTGCGAGGTGAGGTTGAGGAGGGCGGCTGCCTGTCCGCGCACGTCCGGCGGGAGCTTCACAAAGTGCCGCCCGTCCGCGAGCGCCGGGTGGAACCACTCGGCGCACTCGCCTGCAGGGGGGGAGAGGGCGGGTGGGAGCCTCGCCGCGCGGCTCAAGACTCTCTCCCCCCCCCCTCTCTCTGCGCGCGGTCACCAGTCTCGTCCCCGAGCAGCGCCGCGACTGGAGAGCCGCACAGCAGCTGGTAGCGCAGACTCGCGCTGTACGTGGTGCCGCGCAAGTGGAGGAGGTAGGCGGCGCCGCACAGCTCCTCGCGAGAGATGGTCAAGTTCCTGTCCGCCCGGCCGCCGCCGAACCGATCCACGCTCTGCACGTCCAACTCGACGCCGTTGGCCGCCAGCAGCGGCGCCACCCGCCGCAGCCTCTGGATCGCCCTCTCGCGCGGGCCTCCTGCGTGGCCGCCGGCGCGCATCGCGCCGCGCCAGACGAGCGCGCGCCGCCTCTCGCGCCACGGCGAGTGCCACGCGGCGGCGGCGGCGATCTGCCGCCGGGCAGTGTCCCAAGGCTCCCGCCGACCGCTCTCCGCGTACTGCACCCAAGTGAAGTCGGGCGCTGGGACGTCGGTCGCGTCTGCGGTGGCACACATCGAGAAGACGGGCAGCGCCCACTTGCGCATCACCGTCGCCCGCCCGCCCGCATGCATGGGGAGGAGGTTCGGGTAGTCCTCGGTCTGAAGGAAGAGGGTCAGTGCGCCTGGACTGCCGAGTTCGCGAGCAATCTCCGGCCCGTGGCGGCGGACAGCCCGCTTGAGGAGAGTCAGCATGTGCGCGGGCTTGTACGGCTGGTTTGGCCTGTTGACAGTGCGTCCAGAGACGCTCCACGGGCTCTCCGCGCTGCTCCAGCGAAGCGTCACCTCCAGCTTTCCCGGCCTGTGGTTGGACCAGCTGCGAGCGCGGAGCTCGTCGATCACCTCTCGCAGCCCGAGGCCCGAGGTGCTGCGCGATTCGGCGTTGGAGAAGAAGCGGTCGATTGCACGGTCGATCCACGGATGCGCGGCGGAGCACGAGCCCTCCCCATACCTCCCCATATCTCCCCAGGCACACTCGCGCGTCGGCGGTTGGTGGCTGTGGGCCAAGGCAACTAAAAAGAAAGAAACAGGCCAGCACGGGCTCAGCGGAGCTGGGAAGAGGACCGCCGCAAGCGGCGTGGCGTGGGTCGGTTGTGCATCCCTCCGGGGGCCCCTCTGCGCCGGGGAGGCGTTGTTGGAGGCTAGGACGCAAGCGTCCGTCGCCCTTTTCAAACTCGGGGCCCACTCCGCTACGGCCTACGCTCCGACCCGAATTTGGAGGGCCTTAAAAGTTTAAGGTCGTTCACGGGTGTCCGCGGCCCACTGTGTCCGCTGGTAGGACAGTGATCGCCGCAAACCCTGTGCGCTGTGGTCAGCTCCATATGATCTCGGATATTTTTTGTAGGGCACCGGAACGCCAAAATGCAAAAAACTAGTATGTCTTCGAGTGAAAAGTAATCCGAGCAAACCCGCGGCCGCAATGAATTAAAAGGGGCGGTTTTCGAAGGGGAATCTGGAGACTCTGGGAATTGGCTCACCACGGACCCCCACCTCATCGAAAAACTTTTCACTCCAAGACATACTAGTTTTTTGAGGTGCTCTACAACCTAGGCACAAAAGATATGGCATTGCAGCCAGTCAGCGCCCCTTAGACGATCACTGAGTAGGCCAAAATCCCCACTGGGCCGGGAGCAACCTTAAGGTGTTGCTGCGCAAAAGGGTGGGGAGCCGCGGCGGCGCCGCAGGCGCGGGCGCGCAGTGGAAGCACGCTAGCCATACAAATTCACGCAGAGAAGCTGACAGTCGGGGTCGTGACGGCTCGAGGGTGCGCACACTAGCGGCCGGACGCCTCACCCGCGGACGCCTCACCCGCACGCGCACCCTCCAACATCGCCGCCGAGCCCAACGCCCTGCCGTCAATCTCGACGAGCGCCGCACACCTGCGCGGACAGTGGGCAGACGTTGCCGCCTTGTGTCCTCGTGTGCCCGGAAAGCCTCGAGCCGGCGCGCACCGGTGGCAGCGCAGGATGAGGCGGCAGCAGTGGAGGGTTGGGGCGCATTTGAAGGCGCTGGCCCCGACGCGCCATTAACTGGGTCGGGGTGGTTCCTCACCCCTCTGGTTTCTTCAGTCAAGCGGGAAGAGTCTGTGCAAGGGGGGCGGATGGGGCTGGCTGCGTCACCTTGGAGCATGAAAGGTTCCTACAGTAAGGCTACTCTGAGTACGCAGCACCTTGGCTTGGCCCCCGAGCGGGGAGGCGGTCAACGACGCGCAGCATGGCGGTGAGCGCAGCCTGACGACGCGTCTTGATGGACGGATCCTTCTGCCGGCTGACCAATTCCGCCCACCTCTTGACCGGCGGCTTCGTCACCAACATGCGCTCGAGAGGCGGAGCAGCCTCGATGCGATCCAGTTCGGTAGCTATCTTGTCGCGCAGCGCATCGTCAAAAGGCAGGTTGTTACAGGCGTCGCGCGCGTCCCCGAGGTCACGCAGGAGGCTCTCCATATATGTTGCAATAGCCCCCGGCCGCCGTTTGTTGATGTTGTTGTCGCAGTGCTCCCGTAAAAGTCTTGGCACCAGCTGAAGGCTTGCACGGCCGTCCACGCGGACATCACCTGGTTTCTGCACGGTATTCGGATTTTGCTATTTGTTCGTGTGGGGGTATATTGCAGATTTGTCAATGGTACCGCGTCTGCGACGCGGGCGCCTTGCGGGCGGGCAGAGCCCTTTGCCACCCTTTATATCTTGCGCGGTCACAAACCCAAGGGAGGGATGTGACGACGGCACGCCGCCACCACACAGGGATTTTAAGGAGAGGAGTGTGGTGTTAGCCCTCGCCTACCCTAACCCTTGGTCGTCTGCCTCTTTCTATCTCCCTTCGCAGTCCCTCGCCGATTCTCGCTGCAACCTTCATGCCACCTCGCGGTCGTCCCACTCTCGTCGTTCTCCCTCCTGTCGTTTCCTCCTCTGTCGCGTCGCTCTCATCTGCCTCGTCCTGCGACGCTGCCGCCGCCTGCCGATCCCGTGCTCTCGCGGCTTCTCCCGCCTTTCGGCGCAACTCTGCCCTCCTCGCGGCATATTTTGGCCCCTCGAGTTTATCGAGCTCTCCTCGCGCGAGGACGACTCTTCTGCATATACACACACATGGATCCTATATACATATTTTTTATGGGCGCTGGCGCGCGCGCTTCTTAGAAGAGAGATAGAAGGGGAGACGCCCGAGGGTGGGCGACGGCTAGCACCACATCCTCTCCTTCAAATCCCTGTGTGGGGTGGCGGCGTGCCGTCCTCCCATCCCTCCCTTGGCCTGACTGTTTTCTTTCTTTCTGCGCTTCTTAGCTCCCCGGCTCTGGATGTGCGGTTGATGACTGCACTCCAAGTGCTCCAAGAATGCGCGCCAGTCCCTTTACTTTTCTCGATCTGCTCCCGACGCCAAGTCGAGAGTCTCTTGAGCCTGTAGCTGTACACAGGGCTTGGGCCTTTCCGCTTTCGGCCCAGAGGGCCGGGTAGGAGGGGTCTAGGTTACCTCTACCTCTGAGGGCCTGCGGCCCTCATACCTTTACCTCTGGGCAGCCGTGGGCCCTTCACCTCTACCTCTGAAGTAGCCGTGATTTACCTGTGCGTGATCTCGAGTGGGGGATCTCGAGAGTGATCTCGAGTGATCTCGATGTGATCTCGATACTGAGTTAAAGATAGAGCATCTGCGATTTTCACTCGCCGGCTCGTGGAGAATAAAAATAAAATGCGCTGACGCACGAGTGTTTCTGAGATCAGCTTAGGTGAGTGGCAGACATTTCAAAAAATGGGCGCCGCCAGGCGCCCCGCGCTGCGTGCCCACCATGGCGGTTGGGCGCGCAGCGAGGAAAATTTTGGATGAGAGCGTTTTCTTGAAATGGCAAAACCTCGGCGCCATACCGCTTTTCACAGCGGAGTTCGCAGCCTGACATGCTGCCTTCCCTTCTACACTTTCAGAATGGAGGCAAACGCAACGCAGGGCTCAGCTGTCCCAAGACCAAGTCGATTTGTACCAAAGTTGGTAGACAGTGCCAAAACCACGGAATCGAAATGGCTCTTAAATTCGCGCACCTGGTGTCCGCACTGCCGCATGGACCATGGTGCGAGCCGCCACTCACAATCATAAAAAACCAATGCGCCAAAGAACTGAGACGCAGATTCTTTGCACCGGTTCAGCAGGCAGGCAGTGCAAGGTCAAGAGGTCGCGGCACTGGTCATTCGCGATGCGGTAGGCGATGCGATCAGCCGCCGGCAAGCGGCGGTGAAGCCTGGTCATGGCCGGGCAGGCGCGCCGCAGGCGATGCGCTCTCGCGGGGGCCTTGCGTCGTCCCACCTCGAGCCCTCGGCAAGGGCACGTTCACGGGCGTACGTTTACCTCCCCTCACGTGGGCTCCGTTTACCTCTACCTCCGGCGGTCTGAGACAGGTTTCGTTTACCTTTACCTGAGGCCCCCCACGCCAGCCCTAGCCCCCTACGGGGTGTGGACCCTGAGTTGCCACCAGGGGTTGTGCGCTGGGCCCTCCTGCTCGGCTCCAGCCAGTAGACAAGTCTTGTCATCAACAGAGTAGAAGGATCTGACCTCGGGGCCGATGTGACCAAGCGCTGGTAGCGTGGTTTTACCTCACACCCATGGTCTCACAGTGTGCCGGCAGTCGCCGAGCAGTGTCGCTCACACAAGCCGCAGCACAAGTGACTGAGGGCCAGTGAGGGCGAGCCCATCGCTGTGACAGCTGTGGCAGCCGCACAGTAGGCTGTGCCAACTGTGCAGAGCGTGTGAGCAGCAGAGGAGCTGCTCTCCAGGCTTCTGTCGCAAAGAGCTGCATGCCACCGAAGGCGCTGTCGAGGTTCGCCGAGCGTGGCGCAGGTTGGAGGACACCGTCACTGACGAGCGCGTTGGACTTTTCACTCCGGACAAAGACCGCTGCACAGCGGACGGTGCGGGCCGTGCAGCGGTCATAGCGGCGAGGCGCGGGACCGTCTGTGGCGAAGTGGGTCGCGTCCCTCGATTTCGACCTCAGATCAACTCTACACGGTCCACACACCAATATTTTTACCTCTACCTGCGGCTGCGCCCCCGCCCTCCGCGCCTGGCCGAGGCCTTCCCCTTGCGTTGCCGCCAAGGGGCCTTGGGGCTACACTGTAGTACAGTCCTACACCGGTACAAGGCTTCCTAAGCTCCTAGCGTAGGACGGCGAACACGCGCCCGGCCGGCCAGGCCATACGCATACCAGTACCACATGCCAGTCGTACGCAAGTGTATCCACCTCTCACCACACCACCCTCAAAGGAAACACCTCACCGTACCTTTGAGTACCCCGGCTGAGTACCGCCGGCTGCGCATCATGCACTGATGCGCGCGCGGCGGAGGTCAACGACCGTCTGTACAGGGCGCGAGGCGGGTCGGGCCCCACCCGTGCCACACGCGTTCAAGAAGAGTTTTGGGACTGCCGCGGCCTCGCTCCCCCTCAGGCGGGAAGCTCGGAACGCCGCAGCTCGTCTGCGAGGATCTGCATCTCGACTCGCAGCCGCGCCACGTCGACGCGCTCCTCGCCCGCCGCGGCCGAGCCGCCCGGCAAGGGAGGAGGCGGCGCCGCCGCCGGCGATAGGAAGAAGGGCTGCTCGCTGTCGGCTCGCTCGACCAGCTGCGGTGCGAGAGGTGTGCGCAGCCGCGAGAGCTTGGCCGGCGGCAGCAGGGGCGTCGCCGCGGGCGAGAGGAGCGGCGAGACGCGCTCGGCGGCGGTGGGCGGCAGCAGCGGCGAGAGCATCTGCTCCGACGTCGAGTCCGAGTCCGCCGAGGAGCTCCGCGCCCGCGCCTGCGCCGTCGCGGGGACACGCTGAGCGCGCATCGGCCCGGCGCGCGCGTCGATCTTCCCCTCGGCCCTCATCTCGAGCAGCTCGGAGAGGACGGCGCCGCAGAGCGGGCGCGCCTCGGGCGCGAGGGAGAGCAGCCGCGCCACGAGCCGTGCGAGGCGCGGCCGCCGCGCCGCAAACTCGCGCGGCACCTGCCCCTGCCTCAGCTGGCCAAAGTGCTTTGCTCGCTCCATCGCAGAGCCGAAGGGGTGGAAGAGCTCGTACGCGATCAGGCCTGCGGCGGGAGGGGGCGGGGAGGTCGGCTGGGCGGCACCGGGGGGGGGGGGGGAGCACACCCCTCCTCGCGCGCCGAGCGGGAACATGTCGCAGTGCGCGAGCGCGACGCCCGTCTGCAGCTGCTCGGGCGACGAGTACGAAGCGGTGCCGACGCCGGCGGTGCCCGCCCGCGCTCGCCGGGTGCGCAGCTCGCGCTCGGACCTGCGCGGCACCTCCTCCACGCCCGAGGACGAGGCGGAGGAGCGCACTGCCGCGCCGCCGCTGGAGGAGGCCGCCGCGGGCCGCCCTCCTCCGCCGCTCCCAACCTCGCCCGCCTCGCCCGCCCCGCCCGCAACGCTGCCCGCCCCGCGAGCGCCGTCCGCGCCGCCCGCGCCGCCGCTCCCGGCGGGCGGTGTGGCGGCGGGCGGCGCGCCCCCCCTCGCGGCCGCCCTCGCCGCCGCCTCTCTCGCGTGTGCCGCCTCCCTCGTGGCGTGGGCGGCGTCGCGCGCTCCGTTTGCGTCGTGGGGCTTGGCGGGCCGGAGGTCGTGCGGCTTGGCGAGCCCAAAGTCGAGCAGCCTGGCGGCGGCGACGCGGCGGGTGGGGGCGGCGGGGCAGGGGCGGCGGGGCAGGGGCGGCGGCGGGCCGCGCTTGAGCGTGCCGCCCTGGAAGCAGCAGTTTGCCGGCTTGAGGTCGCGGTGAACGAGTCCAGACTCGTGCACGTGCTGCAGGCCGGAGACGATCTGCAGCAGCAGCGAGAGCGACTCCTCCGCGTCGATGTCGCCCGAGCGGGCCGGCGGCGCCGCGTCGCGCGCCGCCAGGTAGTCGCGCAGCGTCGAGTGCTCGCACCTGCACGTGCAGCGGCACAACGGCGGGTCGCGACGCGTCTCGACGGGGGCGAGGCGAGCGGCGGCGGGCGGGCGCACAGCTCCATCTGGATGAGAAGCGCCTTGCGGTAGGACCAGAGCGCCGGCGCGGGCGATCCGAGCACGCCCCCTCCGATCGCCCTCCCTCCCGAGCTGCTCGCGCCTCCGCCCCGGACCCACGCGCTCCCGCTGCTCGAGTCACCGCCCCAACCGTCGGTGGTCGAGCCGCTGCAGCCGCAGCTCTGCAGGCTCGGGTCGGCCTCGCCGGCGGCGCCGCCGTAGGTGAGCAGCGGCACGGGCGCGGCCGCGTGCGGCGGCACCACCGCCGTCGCCGCGCCCTGCGGCCCCGCCGGCGGGCCCTTTGCGAGCGACGCCCAGTCCGTCTCGACCCACGCGTTGTAGTAGCGGCAGACGTTCCGGTGGTTGAGGCGGGAGAGGGCCTGCACCTCGCGCAGCACGCGCTCCGCCTCCTGCGCGAGCGCATGCGCCGGCTGGCTCGGCCTCGCGAAGAAGGGAACGATCTTGACCGCGTACTGCGCGCCGTCGAGCCGGTGCCGCGCGAGAAACACAGAGCCCATCGCGCCGTGGCCGAGCTTGCGGAGCAGCACAAACTCGCTCGCGAGCCGCGACTGGAGCCCGAGCGAGGCGAGGCCCGCCACCGGACCGCCGCCGCCCACCGCCGCCGCCGCCGCCGCCACGGCCTGCTTCGCCATCCCGCCGAGCACCGACGGCGCGGCGATGAGTGCCGTGTGCTTTGGGTCGGCGCCCGCCGCCGCGTGGCTGCCGAGCATCGCCGCGAGCGGCTCGTCCGACAGGCCGAGCGACAGGCAGAGCGCCCGGACCGTGTCGCCCGTCAGCAGCCCGAGGCGCAGCAGGTCATGCGCCGTGAAGAGCAGGTCCTCGGGCGAGCGTGCCGAGCCCTGGAGCAGCCGGATCACGGCGAGCTCGGCGGGCGCAGAGATGGAGGTGGTGGCCTCGCGGAGCAGGAGGGAGGTGTTGGCCTCGCTGCTCTGGGACGCCTCCATATGTGTATGTGTGAGTCGGCGGCGAGGGCCCGGTCGTGTCGAGCGTCAGAAACTCGAGAACGCGCGCGCGAGCCTCAGCGGAGCTGGGAATAGACACCCGGGTACCCGTGTTGGCCCTGCGACCGCGCACCCCCCCACGGTCGAGGAAGAGGGTGCGTTCTGCAGTTAAGGGGTAACCCGGTACACGGAACCATCCCTCGGAGACGTGTTATGGCCCTGCGACCGCGCACCCCCGGGGCTAGGGCTCTCTTGCCCGTAACCCGATGCCGAGCGTCCGGCCAACTGGGTGCGCTTCTTAGCTCCCCGGTCCTGGACGTGAGGTTAATGACCGCACTCCAAGTGCTCCAAGGGTACTCGAGTAGGACCGCCGCAAGCGGCGTGGAAGGAGCGGTTGAGCATCCCTCCGGGGGCCCCTCTGCGCCGGGGAGGCGTTGTTGGAGGCTAGGACGCAAGCGTCCGTCGCCCTTTTCAAACTCGGGGCCCACTCCGCTACGCTCCGACCCGAATTTGGAGGGCCTAAAAGTTTAAGGTGTTGCTGCGCAAAAGGGGTCGGCAGGGCGCAGCTCATGCCAAGAGCTAGAAGGGGAGCTAGAGAGAACGACTACCCTGTCCCGTTATTGCGTACACCAACACCACAAAACGCTCTCTCTCTCCTGTCCCCACTCAGAGCACAGAGGGGGGTCACAACTACCGAGTCCCTCGACTAGCTGCCACGTTGCCGACAGAGAGCGGATCTCCTCCTGCTCCGCAAGGAGGGTGGCCAAGGCTAAAGTCTTGCCGGAGCCGCCGGGCGCGTTGACGACTTGGAGAAGGTCGCGCTTTGACTTGGAGCACTTGGAGTGCAGTCATTAACCGCACATCCAGGGCCGGGGAGCTAAGAAGCGCACCCAGCGGGCCGGATGATTGGCATCGGGTTGCGGGCAAGAGACCTTGTACTTTTCTTGTAGAGATGCTCGAGGGGGTGCTTTGTGGGGCGGGGCGCAGCCAGGCCAGCAGTGAGGGGAGGCGCACCCTCACTCTCCTCGGTTGCAGAGCTCGTCGGAGGCTGCGGCACGACGGGAGGGTCGAGGAAGTGCTGACTCGATTCTACCTCGAATTCTTCTACCCCTTACGACTCGGAACACGAATGTGACAGGACCATCGGGTCCTTCAGCCACCAAAGCGGGATCACCCAAGAGCAGCTGAGCCTGCCTCTGGCCTCGCCTCCCTCTCCTTCAGGCATTCGTGGCATCCTATGGGTCGTCCAGAGTATCGACCTCTGGCTTGTCAGCCCGTTACTTGATGACACCATGAAGTACAGCGATCGCCTTCTCGCTGGCCTCTCCGCAGGCCCCCCCGACCGCGTCGAACTCATCGGCGCGGGCTCTCTCGGCTACGGGACCGGCCCCAGCTTCGGCTGAGGGCTGACAAGCTGTCGAGCCCAAATCACTGTGAGAGTCGTGATTTCTTGTTGGTTAATAAAAATCTCTCAGACATCAGACTAGCTCGTCTCCAGCAGTCGGGGGGGTGTTGCCAGCACTGGTAGATGACCTCTCGGAGAAGAGCCGGAGGGACCTTGGCGCCGGGGTCACGAGGAACTTGCAAGTCGTGGCCGAGGCGGCGACGGGAGCGGTGCAGAGGTGGATCCAGCTCAATGATGAGGCTACGGCGCGCATAATGAAGAGAGAGGAACACATTGAGTGGCTGAGGAAGCTCTTCGCTGGGTGGAAGGAGGCCCGGCCAGCCTTGAGGGAGTCGCGGAGGAGGAGGGATAACAGAGGTAACGTGGGGACGGGCCAACAGCCAGTGGGACGAACGAGGGCCGCGACGGCGGCCCAAACGGGAGGGAGCGGAGACAGTGGGCAGCGAGCGAAGTGGGTGAGACTGATGATGCTCCTTCGACTTAGGGAGCGGTTCAGCTGCTGGGCGGGCTTCAGGGTGGTGCTCACGCGAAAAGGAATCGACGCGATGTACAAAGCATACAACAAGAGGAGAAAGAAGAGGACGGGCATCAGTGATGACGAAACAGAAGCTAGCGCAGACGAGAGCAGGGCAGAACCGGGGACTGGGGAGCCGGAGCAGACGGCATCGGCCGCCGAGGGAACGTTGGGAAGAGGCACGAGGAGGGCGGCGACCTCAACCGACTATGGAGGACCCGTCACCAGACGACGCAGGGCGGACGACGGGGAGGCGGAGCAGACGCGCAGGGCGAGAGGGAGGGAGCAGGATGTTGCGGAGATCAGCAGGAGGATGTACGACGAGATTAGGAGCAGCAGGGACCCGGGGGACCATGTGGAAGACGGCTAGTGCTAGTCCCCCATCGCGCATCGGGAGGACGACCCCGGCTAGTCGCCGACCACACCCACAAAGAACCCTGCACAAAGACCGCAGGGCGGGGACCTATTCCTTTTTACCCATCTCCTAGTAGAGGTGTCCGTTTTATTTATTTATTTATTTAGCTCGTCTCCACTGACCACTCTCGCACGCGCAATAAAACCACCCCCACCTCAACCGTCTCAGGGTACAGGGACGCACACATTTCCCCCCTTTCAACAAGGCGGTTTCGAAGGGGCGCCAGCAGACGCGAGCGCGCAAGCGCCGAGCGCGTGTTGAATGAACTGGACGCTCCACAGCAACAAGAAGATTTCTTGTTGGTCTCGTTCAAAAATCTCTCTCAGCAACACTCAAGATACACTCCAAGGTGGTCCACGTTTTCTTTTCGGGTTTCGTGGGTTCCTAGTGCACTTGGAACCGACGAAACCGAAGACAGTTTGCCCCGCGTGGTTAAATTTGCGACACGCTTTAGGAATTCACTATTGTGATGTTAGAGGTGGGTTAAGAGGGAGATTCGCGCGAGCTGCGGGACCGCCGGGACGGCGGGCGGGTGATTGCGACTCGCCGCTTTTGGCGACTTTTGGCGACTTGTGGGACGCGCGATCGACCGCCGAGAATCGAAGATGGCAGGCGAGGCCGTCACGGCCATGATCGTGGCTGCCGACGCCGGCGACAACCCGCTGGCGGACCGCCGCGAGGACCGGGAGGCGGCGGCGGCGCGGGAGAAGAAGGCGAAGGTGGCGAAGCTCAACTCGCAGACGGCGAACGCGATGGAGGTGGTGCGGGCGCAGCAAGCCGCGAAGGAGCGGGGAGCCTTCGACGAGGCGGCTCTCAGGGCGAACGAGGTCGCGGGAGCGCCGGTGAAGGGCACCTCATCCATGGTCGAGAGCATCTTCGCTTCTAGACGCGAGTCCAAAGATCGGCAGATGGTGCAGCGGCGCGAGCAGCGGAAGACCCAGACCGGCGCGGGCACTGGCGCGCAGGTTGTGGATGGCCTGGAGAAGGTGGCGGCGTCAGCAATCGAGATGTACCAGAAGGGCGGCGCCGACGCACTCACGGTGACGGACGCGCACGCGGTGCTGGTGAATGACGTGGCGCTGAAGCGCAGGGCATGATGGCCATAATTATCGGCAAAGGCTGTGTCGAACTACCCGCAGTTTGTGTCGTGGCTGGCCACATTTGCTACGTTTGTGCAGTGCTTCTATCCGTCGTGCGGCTGGCGGCACAATTTGCCGTTGGATGGGAGCGGAGGGAAGCCGATTGCCATCCCGGCGAAGCTGGTGGTGCTCTACCTGGCGATGGTTGCCAACGGCCTGGTGCCGATTGGAGGGTTTGTGTGCGACTTCGAGGACGGGTCGGCGTCGTTTGCTGCACGAGGGGGGCGGGTGCCGCACTCCAAGAGCAGGCCGCTGGGCGGGAATGACATGACAACTTCACGATGAAGACGATCTCTCTCTTTTGACGGGCTGAGCGGCTGGTCGCGCGCTCACAATGTGCTGGCGCCGCAGCACGACCCGGATTGGAAGAATTCCTAGCAAGAAATCTGCTCTGGGTCTTGCTCACGGAAAGGATAGGGAATTCCTGACCTCTTAGCTCTTTCCTCAGAGCCTTTCCTTTTGCTATTACGCGTTATCGTTGGGTTCGCTTGCTCAGCTGTGATCTTCTTACATTTTCAGTTTGAAAAATTCACACTCACGTGCGCACGAATCGGCGCATGGAGAGCGAGAGGCCGACTCGGCCGCCCGCCGCCATCCCCTGCAGCTGCGCTCCTAGCCATAACCCTGCCGCGGGCATATCTAGAAGATGGCCGGCGGCGCCTCGCCACCGAGGCCGCCGGTCGGGTAGAGCGCGTTGACGCCGAGCAGCTCGTGCACCAGGCAGCCGGTCACGCCCAGCATGGCCGCGCGGCCGTTCTGGCGCTCGACGTTGAGCTTGAAGGTCTTGGTGGACGCGTCGTCGTAGCGGATCCACCCCTCGCCGCCAATGTCACCCGGCTCCTTGTCGAGGGCGCCGTAGCCCTGGTACTCGAAGATGAAGTAGCCCGTCTCCATCATGCACGTGGTGAGCATGATCTGGAGCCAGCCCGCGGTCGGGAGCGCCTCGAGCGACGCAAAGCAGCCCGACGGCACGTCCGCGAACTTGAGGCCGGCGGTGGGGGAGAGGTAGCCGGGGAAGCGCGCGCCGGCCTGGATCAGGATGATGTGGAGGAAGCCGAGCATGGCCGCGCGGCCGTGCTTGACCTCCATGCACTCGTAGCGGTACATGTTGCGGGTCTCAATCAGGCCGAGCGGGTCGTACACGCCCAGCGGCGGCAGGACGCCGATGTCGCCCTCCGAGAACATGGTCACGGCGGACGAGCGCGCCGGCGCGCGCATCGCCGGGGCCGAGAAGGCCTGGACGGAGTCGAGGACAGCCAGAGCAACGGTGGAAAGCATGGTTTCTGCGCGCAGAGGGCGGCAGCGGATCAGCGCGGCTGGCAGCGGCGTCGGGCGGGAGAGCGGGAGCGTGCGCTCGCAGCGAGGGCGTCCGGAGGCCGCGTCGAGGGGAGGCGCGGGAGGGGACGCGCGGGTGGTGCGAGGCAGCAACGCCGCGTCGGCATCGCGTGTGTGCCTTGAGCTGAAGGTCAATTCTGGAGAAAGAAATGCGTGCTCCTGCCCTGGATGTGAGGCTGCTGACTGCACTCCAAGTGCTCCAAGTGCGGGCCACAAGAACACAACGAACGCTCTCGCATTACAATGGACACTCCGTCATGTCATGGGGAGGACAAGACAGATCACCCGAGGCACGCTCGGTTGGCGCGTTTCTTTGTCCAGAATTGACCCTCAGCGCTCAGGCACCGTTCCTTCCCCCGTTCAAATGTGCCTGAGCTTGGGGTCGGGGACCGGTCGGGGAGAGGGAACGGGGACACAACGCGACCGACAGGGTCACCCAAACCGCTACCGCCTCGAGTATTGGGGACACACGACCAGAGGCGGCATTCTTCCCGTGCGTGCCCAGTGAGCAGTGTTGCGCAACAGCCTGTAAAAGGGAGTTTTTGGAGCACTTGGAGTGCAGTCGGCAACCTCACATCCAGGGCCGGGGAGCTAAGAAGCGCACCCAGCGGGCCGGATGATCGGGATCGGGTTACGGGCTAGAGAGCCCTAGCCCCGGGGGTGCGCGTTCGCAGGGAAAGGGCCGTAAAGTAAACACGGGTCTCCGAGGGTTAGCTCCGCGCTCCGGGCTTCCCCTAGCAGCGGAACGCCCCCTCTACTCGGAGCTATAATGAACACCAGACATGAACACGACACGCACTCTCACACGCCGTCACCGCTCAGGGCTCCTTCGCGCGGGGTCCTCATCCTCACTCCGGAGGAGGCTCCCCTCTCCTCTGAGTTCTTCCTCTTGTTCGCCTTCCGATGATTAGCCGACGGTCGCGACCTTGTGGAGGTGAAGGTCAATTCTGAAGAAAGAAAGCGTACCTGGGATGTGTGATCTAGGCGCATTTTGTATACCGAGGCGGTGCCCCGGTGCCGAACCTGTCGGACCTTAAGACAGCGTTGTAGATCCCTGGGCGAGGGTGGTGGAGAGGGCGGTCCGTCGGCGCCAAACCATCTCCCCACCGCATGATCGACTGGAGCTGAAGCTCAATTCTGGAGAAAGAAATACTTCGCCGGACAGGGACAAGAACACAACGAACGCTCTCGCATTACAGGGACACTCCGTCATGTCATGGGGAGGACAAGACAGATCGTGCCAGGGTCAAGGGGCCGCCCCTTAGACTCCACACCAGGCGTTGCGGCCGCCAGTACCGCCACCGTACCCGCCCCCCCCACCGCCGCCTCCGTCCCCGCCGCCGGCGTGGCCGTCACCGCTCAGGCTCACACGGACCTTGGGGAACCCGGAACCCGGCATCGCGATATGTGAGAGCGGCGACACCTGGAGCTGCGCGAATTGAGGTGTCGTTAAGAAAAACGCCGGGCGCGTTCGGGGTGCGCACTATGTCTCTGTGTTCGTGCCGGCAACGCTCTACGGAGGCGGCGACACCTGTGTTCGTGCCGGCAACGCTCTACGGAGGCGGCGACACCTGAGCTGGAATCGAGCTCATTTGCCCATTTTTTTTCACACGCTCTTGTTGCGCGTAACTGTGTCTCCGGGGTCATTCCCTGAGCAGGGTCGCCTCTCACTTGGTCTATCCAGTACTAAGTACCCTCACCACCAGCCCACCAGGTCCACCACGCGTCTCAGCCCGCAAGTTGGCGGACCACGCGGCTCCTACGCGCGCGCCGCAGCTGGGGCAGACTGGATCGTCCCCTCGGAACTTTTCAGCTGCAGCCTCCAGGGTCAATTCTGAAGAAAGAAATCCGGCGCCCGCAGCCGTCGGGTGCTCGACGATAGCGACCTACTTTTGAGCCTTGACCCCGCGGGCCGCGCTGCTGACGAGAGTGACGTTTGCAGCGGGTCGAACTGGCAGCTCTTGTGTCTTGGAACGTCGCCCGCGGGTCCCGATATGTCCCGGACGGGAGGAGTGGGTGTCGGACAGCGCCGACGTGGCTCGTGGGACATCGCTGCTGTGGCGTCCTCGGGGCGCGGAGCACGCGTGCTCTGCGCGAGGCCGGCCCACGGCGCACGGGCCACCGGTCACGGCCCATAGAATGGTAGTACGTAGTTTGGTAGGGTACACCCCGTACCCTCCTAGAGCTGCTCTCCTCGAGTCGACGCGGCCGCAACTGGGCCTACACCCTCTTGCGTACGCCTCCCAGCTCCCACACCCGCTTGCGCGAAGGCGCTGCACCGCGGGTCGCGCTGATCCGCTGCCCCGCCCCCGCGCGCAGCTGACTCCTCACCCAAACTTGTCCATCAGCACCGCGCCGCGCTGCACCACCTCGCGCGTGTTGATCTCGCGGCCGAGCAGCACGCAGCCGCGCCGGTCGCAGCGCAGCGTCGCGACGGCGGTGGCGCCGTCGGCGCTCCACGGGATGTAGCGGTGCGTGGCGAGGCGCCACCGCCCGTCGACCCGGCGCCAGCGCTGGCTCGCGAGGAGCGTGCCGCCCTCCGCCGGCCGCTCGATCGCCGTCGTCATCGCGTCGCCCTCGCCCAGCACGAGGACGTCGCAATCAGTCGGCCGCATCCCGGGCGGAGGGAAGGCGTTCGAGCCGGCCTCCCACGGCTCGACGCGCGCGCCCGACGCCACCGCGTCCGAGACGGCCTCGTCCCCATCGGCGGTCCACAGCGCCGCGACAGCCGTCGCGTCGCCGCCGAGCAGCGCCGCGTAGAAGGCCTACGGGACGCGTCAGGGACATGTCGATCGACGTGTCCTGCACATGTCCATGTCACCGAGCGGCGCCGCGTCGACGGCCTGCTGCGCCCCGAGCACCGACGCGGCGGCCGCCTCCGCCGCCTGCGCGTGGGGGCGCGGGGGTCCGGCGAGCGGGCGAGCGTGCCGCGGCGAGGGCCGGGAGAGCGACGCGCGGGCGGCGGCGGGGGGGGGGAGGGGCGGGCCGGCCGCCGGGGAAGGGCCGGGGCCCGGGAGCCCTTTGACGGCGGCGGCGTCGCTCGCGGGAGCGCCGGCAAAGCCCGTGGCTGCGGCGGCCGCCTCCCTCGCCGCCTCTGCCGCGTCGCCCCTCACCTCGGCGAGCTCTCCAAAGCCGTCGCCCGAGGGCTGGAGCGCGGTGCCGAGGATCTCGTCCCAGCTGCGGAGGGAGGGGAGGGGGCCGCCGCGCGTCAGGTGGGGCGGGGTCGGGGGCGGCGGGGCTCCGCCTCGCGGCGCGCACCGCGGCGCGCCCTTGGCGGACCCGAACGAGCGGCCCTTGTAGTTGAGGCCGACCCACGCGCCCTCGTCGCCGAGGCTGAGGCCACGCCCGCCGAGCAGCGCCTCGAAGTAGGACCGCCACGCCTCCGGCTCCGCCGCCGCCCAGAGCCAGCGCGACTCGGCCTCGCCAACCGGATCGGCGGCAGACGCGCCGCCGCCGTCAGTGTAGACGGGGACGACGACAGCGTCGGCGGCGACGAGCCGGCGGCGGTACACGCGCGCCTCTGCGACGCGGCGCTGGATCTTGTCGCGCGGCCCAAAGAGGACGACGACGCGCCGCTTGTTGCGCAGCTCGGAGAGCCGGCTGCTGCGCACGCCGCGGTAGGTGGCGCGCAGGTCGCCCATTGCATACTCGTTGTCAATCTTGGCCATGCGGGCGGAGCGGGCGGAGCGGTTGCGGACAAAGAGGGTGCCCGAGATGGCCGTGCCCGCGACGGCCGCCACGTTGACCGTGGCCGCGTCGGTGCCCTCAAAGAGCGTCGGCACGCAGAGGCTGAAGAGGATGCCGAGGAGGCAGAGCGCGATGCGGAGCGGCTCGCTCTGGTTGGTGGCATCGTATTGGAGGATCGTGTCTCTGCGGAAGCTGCGGAGCGAGAGCACGTCGAACTGCGGCGCAGAGACATCGTACTGCCCGCCCTGCCGCGGCGTGGTGCCGTCGTCGTACTGCATTGAGACGGCACTGCAGCAGCGGCGGCTCCGCACCGGCGCGGTGCGGAGTGGCGGATTTGCGCTCCAGCGTGATGACGGAGCCACCACGAGCGCGGAGGCGGCCGCGATCGAGGCGAGCAGCAGCAGTGGCCTCATGAGAGGAGTGCCGCGAAAAGAATTTCTCTCGGCCCGCGAGCGAGCGAGCGAGCACACACACACACACACACACACACACACACACACACACACACACACACACACACACACACACACACACACACACACACACACACACACACACACACACACACACACACACACACACACACACACACACACAGGCACACACACACACACACACACACACACACACACACACACACAGGCACACACAGCACGCACGCAGGTTAGCCCCCGCCATAAAAACGGTATGGCGGTAGAGGGCTCTCTACTGCCGCGGCGCCCCTGTCGGTTCGGAGGCGCCCGGCGGCCGCGCGCTTGGTGCCGACGTCGACCGGCTGCTCTCGCGGCGCCGAGACGTGCCGCTTTGGTCACGTCTCGCGCGCTGCAAGGTGCCTTTTGGCGTGTGAGCGCTGGCTAGAGACGCCAGCAAGCTCGCCATCCTTGCTTGCCTGCGGCCGCGGGCGTGCGGGCGGGCCCGCCAGGCTCGGCGAAGCTCGGGCCTCGGCGCGGGTCTTCGAGCTCGCCGCCGGCGACGAGCCAGCATGGCTCGTCGCTCGACGGCAGCATGCCCAGTATCCTCTCGGCATTCTGTACAGCATCGCCAAGCTCTGGGAAGGTCCGCAGGGCCAGGGCGGGCCGTATCGGGCGCGATGGCGCGCTCAGAGTACCATGCCTACGAGCTCTCCGGTCGGGTCGCCGGCAGCGGGCTTGCGCGGCGCGCCGCTCGACGGCGGGCTGCTCACCACCCTTTCAACAGTGTCTTCTGCCTCGCTTCTCTCGCTGCAACCGCCTCCGGGGGCCGGCGCCGGCCGCCTCGCTTCGCCAGCGCTGCCTACGCCTACGACATGCGCGTCGGCTCGCCGCCGCGTCGCCTGCGGCGGGCCCGCGTCGCGCGCCGCTCGTCGGGAGCGTGGTCAGCAGGCTGTGCAGCGCAGCCTGACTCACTCAGAGCGCCGCTGATACGGCGCGGGGCCGTGGTCGGCGCTGCTACCGCGCACGCTGCGCTTTGTGCGTCACCATCGTCGGTCCTAGCTGCGTCGCCGACGCCACTTGCGGCTCGCGGCTGCCCTGCCCTTCCCTGCCATCGCGCAAACAAACACACACACCAGCACACACACACACACACATTATTAATGATCGGGTAATAATTATTAATTATTAATCATCGGGCCGCGGCGCAGCGCGGCGGCGGGCGGCGCGAGGCGGCGGCGCGGCGAGGCAGCGGGCGACGCTGGGCGGGGCGGCGCGGCGGCGGGTGGGGTCATTACTTATTACTTATTAATTATTAATTAATAATCATCGGGCGGCGGCGCGGCGCGGCGGCGGGCGACGCTGAGCGGGGCGGCGCGACCATCGGCAGACGCCCAGGTCTTTGGCTGTTGGTTGCTCGGCAATGGTCGCGCCGCCCTCGACTCGAGGGGCTGCCTTCCACCCGTAGCTGCTCAGGCCGGGGGAGGGGGAGAGGCCTCCTGTTCCTCGCGGAACGCGAGCAGGCCCCTCCTTGCCCGGTCTGCGATGCAGGGCGGTGGTCGTGCCATTTGCGCTTCGTACACAACCACCACGCCGCAACCGTCGCCGGCGCGCGACACGTTCCCGTAGGCCGGACTGTCCTCGTCGAGAGTGTGTGCCGCCAAGGCGGGACACACTCAGAGACAGTGCCGATGGGACGCGGCTCGAAGGGCGTGGCTCCGCAGCGCGGCTGGCACTCGTCGCAGAGGCCTCGCCTTCGAAAAGTCGGGCATGGCTCTACCCGCAACTTTCTCGCTAACACGCGCGCACCGCCGAGCCTGCGGCGGGCGCGCTGCGGCCGCACGTCTAACTTCGTCATAGTGCCACGACGTGCGGCCTAGAATTAGCACACGCGCTTCTGCTCGCAAACACCCACACATTGAATTGTCACTGCCCGTGAGTGCGAGATAGGGCTAGCAGTAGGCAGCTAGCCTGTGAGGAAGGCGTCCATAGACACCTCACATGACCCCACACACGGTTAGAGGCGGAGCAAGCCTTGCTCTAGTCTCACATGTTACTTCCTGTCGTCTGTTGTTTGTTGTGCCCTTGTTTGTTCCTTTGGCACCTTGGAGTGCTGGGGGGGGCGACAGGGAGGATGTGGCCCTGAGTTATGTGTACGCCAACTCAGGGTGTGTGGCAGCCACGCTGGCTGTGTGTCTTGTGAGCTTGTTTGTGTCTGTGTGTCGCTCGTGCGTGTCGTCCTCATCATCTGTCCCGCGTCCACCCATACCGCGCTGGTGTCCAGTCCGAGCCTGACTGTTCTTCACCTTTCTACCTACCTACCTACGCACGCACGCACGCACACACACGTCCCAGCTCCCCAGAAATCCCGAGGAGCCGTGCAGTGCCTAGATAAGTCTGTGTGCTGTGCACGCCCTCCGAGCGGGGCGGGGGGTCTGCCCGTCGGGTTGCTGCCCTAATCCCACCAGGGTCCAGGGCTTGATACTGCTCTATTTATTTATTTATGAATAGCACGCTATTTCCCGACGACAAAACAAATGATGTGTGAGTGTTAGAGTTGTTTGGTATTGCTAAAAATCTCTCTCTCTCTCTCTGACGACACGCCGGCGGACGTGTCCGAGTTGACACGGAACGATTATAACGAGGCGCACCACCAAGCAAGCGCTAACCCGGGACTTTCGCCCACACCCGCCGCCGAGCTGTCGATGAGGAGAAGGCGATTCGCCTCCGAACTCCGGGCTGGAGGGGAAATCAAATGCCTACTTCTGTACGGCCCTCCCTCGTTCGTTGGTGCGTCTCCTCCTCGCTCGATCGAGTGCGTCTCTCGCCGCTGGCGAGCAGGGGGCTCGCGGGCGGGGCCGAACTATTGACTAGTCGTATAAGTAATAGGATAATTCGGAAACGGCGGAGTTATGGCATGCACCTTGACTTGCGGTGGGTCAGACGGCCTTGGCACGACGGCAGGGTAGGGGGTGTGAAACCGCGGGTTGGCTCCTCCAGGTCATCACCTTCCGCCGCGGTCTGCAAGTCCTCTCCAAGGTCCTAGCAGCGCCTGGCACCGGCCAAAATGATCGCATTCCCTGCCCCCTCCTCATCATCACAACTCCGCAGCGACCACCGTTCGGCTCTCGGCCTCGGCCTCCTCGCTTTGTGCCTCGCACTCGGCTTGCTCGCTGTCACTTCCAGTGTTGGCGCCCCGGCGGCATCCAGTGTTGGCGCCCCGGCGGCAGTGGGTGGTGAGACTCGCTCGCGCAACGCCTACATCATGGTTGGCCCGGGGGCCATCGTGTTTGGCGAAGACAGTAAGAAACTCGAGGACCCCTGCAACCTCGCTCACCAGGCCCGCACGCCGCTATATTCACCGCCGTTTGGTCATCAGTTCGTGAGTATACCCACGCCTGCGCTTCGCTTCCCTCGTCCAGTCTAGCCCACGCCAGCGCTTCAGCTCCCTCCTCCACTACGCAGCTACAAACACCGCGTCGCAGGACTGGGACAAGTTTGTCGCCAAGTTTGGCGTGACGCCGGAGGCAGCATGCCACGGTCAGGCCGCACAGAAGGGCGCGCCGGCAGTCGACACAGGAGATGTCCACGTTGGGATGGACGCCATCGCCGTCAACGGGGTGTCCGTGGGCACATCCGGAGTCAAGGCCGCCAAGCGCCCACGCTACTATTCTCTCACCGCCATGCCCAACGCCGCTAGCCTCCCTCCCACACTCTTACTTTGCGAGAACGGAGGAGGCTGACTCCAACCCGGTCACCCCCCCCCCCACCCCCGCCAAAGGCGGGCGGCGTGAGCGTCACGCCCGACGGCGGCGTCGACCTCGGCGGCGGCGCGGGCGTGGCTCCCTCGTCCCCACCGCCCGTCGGGACCGAGCAGCCATGGGGTGCGCCCGGCCCTCCCCCCGCGCCGCCCCTTGCTTCGCCTCTTTGCTCACCCTTACCGACGCGCTTACGCACGCGGACAGGCATCCTGCTGCCCGCCTTTGTCGGCGGCGGCGGCGACCTCCGTGGCGCCATCAAGGCCGCGTCGGCGGCGCTCGGCGGCGGCGAAGACGAGGAGGGCGCCGAAGGACAGGACGAGGAGAAGCCGGAGTCTTGGTACGTGATGGTCGGGCCCGGCTTTGGGGCTGCCAACCACGACAAGGCGGAGTGAGGCGGGCGATCGAGGCGCGGCAGCAGTGGCCCTATGAAAATTTGCTTCGACCGCACAGCTTGCGCCGCGCCGAGCGCAGAGCGTGCTTCCGAGGAGGCCTTGGTATATCCGAGTGCCGCACGAGAAAAGAGAATTCCTCCCCGCTTGCGTGTGTGCGTGTGTGTACTGCGACTCTGGTGACACTCCCGCTTTCCACATGCACATGCACATGCAGTTACGTTTGAATGGCACACTACCTTCCCGTCGCTCGAGCACGACGACTACCAGGTCGGTCCCTCTCGCGCGCCAGGCGCGCGCGACGATGATCGCCGGGCCGCCCGACCACCGCGACCGACCGACGACTCCTCGGACGACTACTCCATCCTCCGGCCAAGACTCGCTCGGCACCTGCTTTAGGGTCTTGAACTGCGACGGTGCTGGCTTTCTAGACCTCCATTGCGGGCTCTTTCGGGTACGCCACGGGTCCGTCCGACTCCCCAGCGAGCTCCCCAGGCCAGGGCGGGGTCGGTTGGCAAGCACCAGGCTGCCGAGGGCGAATGACGATCGGCCGTCGATCCCGAGGCACGAGGGTCGTCGGTTGAGCTAGGGAGCCTGGCGATGGACGCCACCGCGACCCCTCGTGGCATCTCTCTCGCCGTCGGCGAGCTGGGGGCTCGCGGACGGCCGACTTTTTATATGACCAGTAGGACAGCCGTGAGTGTGAATCGGATAAGGAGTTTGCGTCCGTCCACCGTCTTCGTGGACGTCTGTCCTCGTGACACCCACACCCCACACGGCCTGTCTTGCTTCACTGTGAGAGTGAAGGGCATGGTTGGGTGGGTACCACTGATGGAATATTCGGTACAGATTTGGTATGCCGCGGGCGGCTCTCATTAATTGAGTTTTATCACTCCTGGTGATTGCATTGAAGAGGGGTTCAACTATCAAAACAGGAATTATCGAGGGTGTCAGCTTGCATGCTGCCATCTGTCCCGATCGTGACCAACCAAAGTCCCCCCTCCTCGTAGACCCCGTTCTGAGGGGTCCTGAATCGTACACCGCTCCAAGCCGTGCTCGCCGAGCATCAGCCACCGCCGGACGCCGACGCGCCGATAACTCCTGCGGTCAGGGGTGGTAAAGAGATGTAGGACCTTCCCTTAGGTCCGCCTCTGCTCTCACACCCTCACTGTCTGCGAACTGCGATGTGAACTTCTTGTTTCTGATAACCTATCTGTGAAAATTCGATTGAAAATTCTCTTGCTGGCGTAGTGAGCCCCTTCCCTTCTTTCTGCTTGGCTGGCAATTCTCCGCACGAAAACGCCCTGCGACCCTGTGTGTGTTGGGGGGGTGGGGGGGGGTGACCCACACTTCATTAGGTGCAGGTGTACACCTTGTACCGACACAGAGGTAGGCGCGCAGCGCCCACACCCTCTACCTAGGTGTGTGAGCGAGTGCTATACCTTAGCGCACCTTATACCGAGGTACCCTCCACATGTCCACACCGGTACCTGGGGTACTCTCGAGACGTTCACACCGGCGGTGCGCGCGAATAAGGTGTGCACCGCCCGTCGCGCGAAACGAACAGCCTCAGCTCTCATGACGCCAGAGCCAAGAAGCCCTCCTCCACGCAGAACACGACGCTCCAGACCATGGGCATGGACGTGATCAAGCAGTACCCGGGCCCGCTGACAGTCTCGATCGAGGGCCGTCAAGGTGGAGACGTCCCGGGCAAGCACTTCCCGCAGCCTGCGGCAGATCGTCAAGGTGCACAACAACTAGGAGTACCTGTGCTCGCGGCCTACCGAGGAGGCGATCATCGCGCGCGCTACATGCTGAAGCACGGCAACGTCTCCGCCCCCTCGGCTGCACCGTCCTCCACCTCGCCGGACCCATCGAGCTCCGACGCTGCCGCTTCGGCTGCGCCATCCTCGGGCTCGGCCAGGCCGCCGACCCCCACCCTCCGCCGACCCACTCCGTGACGTCGACATGTCACTGCTCCAGCGCGCCGGTGTTCTCCAGAACACGCCATATGCTGCATGAGTGAGTAGCGCGTGTCGGGCGGGGCCGTCGGGAGGGGCGAGCGTGTGTCCGGCGAGGCGCCCCCCATACCTCACCCGTACCTTTACCGAGGTAGCGCGCGGTGTCATGTACCTCCACCTTAGGTAAGTGGCCCATGTCTGTACCTTACTGTACCTCTACCTAAATACTCCGGCCAGCGCCCACACCGGCACCGGGGGTAGGGTAAGAGGGATTGCACCCAAGGTGTTGAGGTGAGCAGCTTATGAAGTGTGGGGTTCGACCCTGCGTGTGCGCGCTCGGTTTAACGACGCGTGAGGAAGCCGCGACGCCGTCTTTAGCCGTTTAGCATGCGGATGCGCCGTCGGTCGGTGTCGCCATTAGCGAGAGTGGGATCGACATTGACGCCACCGGAGGGAGCTCGGAGACGGCCAGGAGCGCCCAGATCGGAGGCGCCGCCTTTGCGCCGCCGCTGAACCACTGCCAGGGCCAGGGGAGGTCCTGTGGAGGCGACGACGTCGGCGGCGGTGAGGGCTGAAAGACAAAGTAGGGCGAGCCACCCCACGCCCATGCGCTTGGGGTCGCACGAAGTGGCTCGGGAGGGAAAGCGAGGGGCGCTGCGTCGAGGACGAGGCCTCGGTCGGGCTGGAACTGCGGCGGCTCGAGGCTGAGCTCCATCACGGTCACCGGGCTGCGGGGGCTGGCCGGGCTGTCCGTTGACTTCGACTCACCAGAATCGACCGCGCAGTCGTTTGAGGCGGGCCCGACGCACAGGTGGCACTCGCTGTACGCGGGGTCGGAGCGGGTAGCGGCACCCTTGCGGATGAGAGGGGGCTTTGACAGCCCCTCCTCGACATGCATCATCAGAACGAAGGACGGCGCCTCGGTCGCCGTGTCCTGTGCTCCGTGCCTGAACCTGCGGTGCACACGGTCGCGAGCTGTCGCGTGAGTGAGCGAGGGGGGCGATCGGGGCGAGTACTGGATACACACACAAGAGCGGGCAGCGCTCACCAGCACATGTCGCCTTTGGAGCACTGGCCGGCCTTCCACCTGCGGGCGTCCATCGAGTGACGTCAAGGACAGGCGAGGGCGACAGGGCGACGCGAGGTGATGGCGACAGGGGTGACGCGAGCGAGGGCAGGCGAGCCTGTCGCAGGGCGACCGCTTGTACTTGTCGGGGTTGAAGTTGGAGCTTCCGTTCTCCTTCCCTCCGCCGTGCCCGCCGTGCGTCTTGACGTCCGCAGACGACGCCGGCTTCGGCTTGCTGGGCGCACCTGCCGCCGCAAGTGCCGGCGGCGGCCGCGTTGTCGGCTGCAAGGGCGCTCGTCCGGTTTGTGCCTTGGTCTTGGCGGCCTGCCTAGGCGGCGGCGTCGACGGCGCTTTGGAGGCGCTGAAGCGGGAAACGCGTTGCTTTTCGCGAGCAGTGACCGACTTGTACTTGGCCGCCATCTCGCGATGATGCGCCGCGAAGGTCTGCGGTGGGCGAGAGGCAAGAGGCGAGTAAGCTGAGAGTACCATGGCTCGCTCGCTGGCGGTGCGAGGCCGGGCTGCCGGCCGGCCGTCGAGGCGGCACCTGCGGCAAGACGACCCTATCTTCGCAGGAAGAGGCCGCCGCCGAAGCTGAGAAAAAAATTAAAATCCGCATCATCCAGCGCAGAAGATCGTCGCTGCGGAGCACAACGCTGGGTCAGTTCGATGTTCTAATCATACCGTGTGATTTTCCAGTGTATGTAGCTCTTACAGACGTACCCGAGGATTTTGGCTATGTTTCTGGACTAATAACTCGTTCATAATTATCGAAACGAACGTCCCGGAGCTGGCTCAGCCACACCACTACGTTGCGGCCACGGGCCGCCACCACCGCCGAGCTGGCGCCTCCCGATGGCCGCCGAGTGTCGTGCGCCACCCGCATGCGTCCTCATCACGCCTCAGCGCCGCGTGCAAAGGGCGGCGGCCTCGAGCGAGCAGCACTCGGTCGTCGCACCACAACACACCAGAAGAGCCGGCGGACCACAACACACCAGAAGAGTGGGGAGGCTCGTCCGCTATGCCGATTGTCCATCAACTATCTATGAGAGCAGAGCAGAGCTTGCGACTCACGGTCTACAGCCTGACATGTTAGTTCCGCCCATGGCGCTGACTCCGAGGCGGTGAGATGTGCCATCCATTGCCTCGCCCTCTGATGCCGTCGATGGCTTGCCTCGCCATCGCGTAGCGGACAGGGCGTGCAATGCCTCCGTAGGCGATAGCCGGCAGCGGTTGCGTACGCAGAGTGCATCAACCGGCGCTGTGTGGCAGAAGTGCGCTGCTGTGGTGTGCGCTGCTGTGGTGGCTCTCCGGCCTCTCGTGGCTGCGGGGCGAGACACACACAACACCCGCTATCAGCCACTCCCTCTGGTCCTTCATTCGCAGCAGCTGCAAAATGTGCATGGCAACACGTACTTACAACTGCAGGTGCCAATTACTCTCTTCTACTGCACCCCTCCCCCGCGGCGGCTGCGGCGCGGCTGAGGGCTCGGGGGCTCCTCGCCAGCCTGCCGGCCCCGCTTGCCTCGACCGCCCCGCCGCCTCTTCTTCTTCTCAATCCGGCCGGGCGCGACCAGCGACACTGCCGGGCGGCGCAGGACAGCGAGCTGCGCAGCGGAAGGCTGACGCGCATCGGCGTGGTCCCCACGCGAACGGGAGAATTCGGTGCAGCCGTCCCCTTTACCGGCCGGGTCTCGCGCCCCGGGACAGTTCCGCTCATCACACCTGCCGCACTTGGCGCGGCAAAGAGAGGCCTCGAGCTCACGGTTGCTTATCAGAGCAGGAGAGTCGCGTGTGTCGAGAGGCCCTACCCAGTCTAGGACGTCCGCACTGGGGGAGACCGGTGCTGGTGTCGGTGCAGCTGCCGCTGCAGCGCCACGTGTGCGACCAGCCGGTGCCGCTGCTGTGCCTCTCGCACGGTGGCGTCTGCTCATGCGCGTCGCGTCTTGCAACCATCAGCGACGGGCAGCGACGGGCACGTGACAAGAGAGGCGCGAGTACCGAGCTGGCTTCGCGGCAAGAAAAAAGAAAACAACACGATTTTATCTGAGCTTCTCTTGGTTAAAAACAATTTTCAACACGAGTGATTACGACGCTGGTCGCCCGACGACGCAGCACCAGCGAGCGGAAAACTCACCTCTCATGCCCAAGAGCACCGTGCCCGGCCCAGATAGATAGCTAGAGAGAGGTGCATCGACAATGCTGCGCGCGAACGCTCAGAGATCCGCCTCCTCTAGGTGTATGATGAGGAATTGACACCCACAGACAGCATTTTGTTAGCCGGCGAGGTGTCGCCTCGGCGAGCGGGAGATTGAGATTACCCACCAGATCACTGCGGCACCAGGACGGGCTGGTGGGCTCGGCTCAAAGTCGAGCGTGAGGGTGACCTCTCGGTCGCAGCCCGTCAGCACACTTGTAGCAAGGCGTCCAGGACGAGATTACGGGCTGCGCGCTGCATCTCGCCTGTGCTGCTGCAATGGGTTTGGGGGGCAACGGGCGCAAGAGGTAGGTGTGGCGGGTGGTGGCATGCACCCTCGCACGCAATTTATCTGCCCTGGAGCATGCCCGTTCGCGTATTGCCGTCGCGTACTCGACAGACATGAGTGACGCAGCTCTGAACATTCAGGTACGAGCGGCGTCTTGGCTGCCTGACGTGCAATGCGGCGCCATCGTGACGCTTCTGGCTGGCGGTAAGCCAGCAGTGACTTGCGGGCGGGTACGAGCTTGACGCGCGAGACAAGTCGCGAGGGTCCATCCGTGGGTGTGAGGGCCGCGCGCGCCTCTTCGAGCGAACGGGTAGCAGGGTTTACCGGCCGCTCCGCCCGCCTGTGGCCCCGCTGTGCCACACCCGCTCGGCACCATGGTGGAGGTGCAGGTGCGGGTCAGAGCGGTAGGACGAGTTTGTTTGGAGCGTAGGGCATCGCATGGCAACGACCGCAAGTACGGCTGTGAAGCGCGCCACGGTCCATCCGCGACATGGCTTGGGTCGCGCCGCGTCATCCGTCAACTTATAGAGAGAGGGTACTCGTACGTCCTAGTTGGAGATCACGGGAGCTTCGGCTACGAACGATAACAGGCCTCAAACTGGGCGTCCGGGCGGGGAAGGTAACATGGCCGAGTCAGTGCACAAGTACGAGTTCTCCCACAGCTTTTTGGTGGCCGAGGACGCGTTAGGCGTATAGAGAAGTGTGTGACACAGCGAGACCGAGTGGTTTTTTAAACAGAGCACGCGGTCATATAGAGGCCCATGATGTTAGATCTAGGCACGGGACTGGCGCGCACTGGCACTAACACAGGTACCCCGGAAAAGAATTTTACAACAAACTCTCTCTCGCACGACACTAAAACGGGGACGGAAAAAGAATTCTCGCTGCGCAAGTGCTTCAGGTGCACGCCGCTCGCCGGCGCCCGCGTGCCAGAATTGCCGGTACCCGCCCCACGGGTCCTTCGCCCCCTCTCGCACTCCTTCTTCATAACCCCCACCCCAACCCTCCCTGCAACGCCACACACACACAGCGTCTCGAGTCTGCTGTCTCTTCGCACAATCATGCAGAGAGGCCACGCTCCTCACTGCTACCGCAGCGGCTGGCTACGCTGGCCGGCCTCCTTCGCGAGGGAGGCCAGCAGCCCGGGGCTCAGCGCTGCCTCAGCCGGTGGGACCCAGCCCGGCTGCGCGTGCAGCGAGCCTGTGAGCGTCGCCTGTAGCTTCGGCAGCGTCGTGGCGCCTGCCGCCGGCACCCCGGAGGGCGGATAGTAGATATCAATGATGAGCGATACGCCAGGGCGCTGCGGCGTCGCATACGCCGAATGCCATGGCGCAGGGCGCCGGCCCTGCCCACTGAGCCTCGCCGGATTTGGAGCAACTGCTGCCGCCGGGAGTAGCAAGCACTCCGCGCGCGGCAACGGCCGGAGGCTGCAGGCATCCCCCCCTTCCCATTTCCCCGAGTGGAACTCGGCCGTGCAGCCGTCGCTGTCGCCCACGGCCTTGATCACGAGCCGCGCCGCCAGCGGCCCCAGCTCCTTTGAGCACGTCGTCGCCTGCGCCGCGTCCGCGTGCGGAGAAGGCCCATACGTGACGGCGAGCTTGGCGCCTGCGGTGCGGAAGCCTGCACGCCCAAGCGCCGCGACGAGACGCCGGGTCGACCGCGGCACCATCTTCTGCGCCTTACGAAGGCGGCCGAAATAGTACGCAGGCCTGAAGATGGAGCTGGTGAAAAAGCCAGTGAAGGCCTCCGATATTCCCGGCGTAGAGCCGTTGCGGTACAAAGGTTGGCGGAGCAGGTCCGCCACCTCCAGCCGGCTGAGCTGGTACTCAGGCGCCAATCCGCACGTGAGAACCTCTGCATAGGACACGCCCTCGCGCCAGATGCGCTCTCGGGCGGCCAGACAGGGCAGCGTCTTGACGTATGAACGTCCGAGCTTGAGCTGCTTTGCAGTCAGAGCGGCCAGCGCGTCCTCAAACGGCGAACTCGCAAGATCTGGGACGCGCGAAGCGGCCCACCCTCCGCCGGAGAGGACAGAGCACGACCGGCCCATCCGGCAGTGCACGATGACCAGCTCTTGGTCGATCGTGTAGTCTTCAGGTAGGTGCGTTTCCACGTTGGCCATCAATTGGAGAAAGGACTTGACCTCAGCGCGGTGGGCCGCGCACACATCCTCGGAGTCGGAGTCGGAGCCGGAGTCGGAGTCGGACGCGGACTCGGACTCGGACTCGGACTCCGAGTCCGACTCCTCGTAGAAGCCTGACCATCGAGTGGTGCCCCGCCCCGTTGTCTCCCCCCCCTCCCCCTCGCCGTCTGCAAGCGACGGCAGCGGGGCTGGGGGTAGCGGCGGCGCCTCGCTCCGTCGCAGCAGCGGCAGCGGCGGCGCGCCGCTCAGCCGCACCCTCGCTGCCAAATCTGCAGGCGCGCCGCTCAGCTGCACCCTCGCCGCCAGGTCTGCAGCCGCCTCGGCAAGCACCTCGCTTGCCTCCGCCGTCGGCACCTCGCTCTCCTCCGGCAGCCCTGGCGCCGACCCCTCCGGTTTCTCCTGCACCAAAGAAGCCGTTCCCGGCGCCTCTTGGCCTGCCTGCCAGAGGCGGCGTGTCGAAAGCGGACACGAATCCAGTGCTCGCCATGCACGCTCACAAACTGCAGCCAAGTGCGCGGGGAAGGGCGCAGCCGGAAGCGCAGAGCGCAACTCCCGGTAAGCTTCAGCGTCAGCCGAGGCCTGCTCCAGCTCCACCACAAGCGCCGTCAGGTAGTCCGCCTCGAGGTGGTTTTGACGTGCTGTCACGGCCGCCTCGCAGTGGCGATCGAGAGCTGCTCGGATGACGAGCCGCAAGTCGGAGGCCGCTCGGCTGGTGAGCCGCTGGGAGTCGCTCTCCCTCAACTTCCTCCTCGGCAACCTCCTCCGCTTCCTCCGCAGCTCCGCCGCCGCTGCCTCCGCCGCATCGCTCTCCGGGTCCTCGTTGTCGAGCGCCGCGCAGAGACGCCGCAAGCGAGCATCCTCCTGCGCAGAGACGGCGCGCAGAGACGCCTTTGTGTGTCGGAGTAGCACCTCTCGGCGTCTCGTCGAGACCTCGAGCAGCGCCTCGCGCGCGGCGCCCTGTGCGCCCCATCTGTGGATAGACCCCAAACCACGGCTCGCAACTCTGCTGTCCCGTAGCTCCGCCGCCGCTGCCTTCGCCGCATCGCTCATCGGATCTGCCGTCGTCTCCCGCTCGAGCGCTGCGATGAGAGGCCGCAAGCGAGCCGCGTCCTGCTCCGCGGCGGCCTGGGCCTGGAGCCGGACCGCAGCCTGCTCCCGCGCGCACGCCTGCTCCCGCGCCTGCGCCGCCTTGTGCGCGTCCGCGCGCTCGTGCGCCTCCCCCGCCTCCCTCGCCCGCGCCTACGCAGCAAGGCGGCAAACTCCTCGGGCGACGCTCGAGCGCCGGGATGAGAGGCCGCAAGCGAGCCGCGGCCTGCTCCGCCACCGAAGGCCTCTTCCTGCACTCATGCCAACGCAGCGCCTCCATGGCGCCGCTAATCCTGCCCAAATATGGATACCGCCAAAGAGCATGCGCCGCATCATCCGCCGCTTTACTGGTTATATCATCATTGCGCAGAGTCTCGACGTGCAGCCGCATACGCCTTTCGACCTCTGCATCCAAGGGCGGCCCTCCGTCGCCCCCTCTTCCCATTGGAGCCGCACGATCATGCGAGGTCCTCCAATCTAAAAACTCGAATTGCTTCGAGTCGGCTCGCACCGAGACCGCTTGGGCTCAGGCGTCGCGGCGCGTGCGTCGCGCCATTGGCTTGACGCATTGCGCCCCGAGCTCTGGTCCGCCACCACCGCTGCCGTCCGGACGCTGAAAGAGGCACGCGCCGCAGCGGGCGATGGCGCCGCGGCGGGCGGCGGCAGCGCGGCGGGCGGCGGCGGCGCGGCGGGCGGCGGCGCCGCGGCAGGCGGCGGCGCCGCCGCGGCGCCGCTGGCGGGTGGCGGCGCCGCCGTGGGCCGCGGCGCCGCGGCGGACGGCGGCGCCGCGGCGGGCGGCTGTAGAGCGGCGGTGGGCGCAGCGGCGGCGGCGGCGCAGATGCACACCACAACGTTGGCGGCATTTATCAATAGATTGGCAAAGAGCTGCCGCGCAGCGCCAAGAACCTCGCCGGCTCCAACGCACTGCTGGTGCCACAGATACGCCAGGTGGTGAAGGCCTCCCTGAGCGCAAAGAACGAGGCGGTATCATGGCTGGGCAGGGCTCGAGCAGGAGAGGGGCAGCGCGCTGCATCTCGGCAGGCGCCTGCATCTCGGCCTGCTTCTGCGCGAGGATGGTAAGCATCGGCCGATTCTGCTGGTCCGCGTACGGCGAGGTCAACCGCGCCAGCTCGCGAAGCAGCTCGTCCAGCATCGGGAGCTGGAGTCTGAGCGCTGCGTCGTCCAGCTGGCCACGCAGCAACGAGAGCGGCGCCCTTGCGAGCAGCAGCAGCCTCTCGCAGAGGCGGCCGAGGTCGCTGTCGCCCACGGCCTCGGAGAGGACGCGCACAGCGCCCAACTCAGCCATGGCGCGAACAGCCAGAGGCCTCAGCTTCGCAAAAAAGACCCAAACCAACGAACGTCCCTTCACGACGCCAGAGGCGTTTGGCGCCAGAGGCGTTTGGCGCCGGGTTTTTTGCATCAGGTCCAGCCTAACTAACCCACCCCTAGATCACCCCAAGCACACCCAAAACCGGTCCAGTGTCCCACACAACGTATGAGGACCGGCATCGTCCGTGACACACGGACCGCAAAAAAGACCCGCGCTGCCAGCGCGGCAGCGCTCTCCCTCTGCGCCCTCCTACGTGCCACGGCAGGGTTGTAGCCGAGCAGCAGGGGCCTGCGAGCAGCAGAACAGGCCCTGACCTTGCAAAGGCCCTTCTTGTTGGGCCCGCAGGCCGGGCACCGCTTCCAGCCGGCCCACGGGCACGGCACGACACCGCACGCGCAATCTTCTGCTGATGTGATGCTGCGCTCGTAGCCGTGTCAAACTGGCGATTTGGTTGGACCTTGGACGCCTGAGGCTTGGCTGTGTCCGGGTGTGCATGAAAAACGAGAAAACAGCGCTTTCGGACCGGCCGAAGTCATGTATATCCACTATTTTGATTGTGTAATCAAGCGAGATTCGCCTCGAATAGGTCCAAAAATACTCGATGGGGGGCGGTGGAAGATGATCGATCGATCTGAGATCGAGCACCACGCTTCGCAGACCCTCTCTCTAGCGGCAAGATTAGCATGGCGTCCGAGCAAGCGCTGCCCTCGCCGGAGCGGGGCAGAACAGTGAGGCCCCGTAGATGCCCGCGGCGCGCCCGCGGCGCGAGCCCGCCTCCACCTCTCCCGCCTCCTCTTCTCCCGCGGTGCGAGCCTGCCGGAAGCTGCGTGAGATTAACTGGCGATGAGCTGGCCCCAGCAAACATGCTCTCACTCAAACACGGCCACTGCACGCGCACCTGGAGACCGCGGGCGGGTCGGCGGTGGCAGACGGGCCCGGGGCGGGCCGGCGCGGCGCCGAGAGCGGCCTGGGGCCGGACACGGCAGGGCGGTTGGCCGAGCGGCTGCAAACATGGCAGAGAGGGGGGGGGGGGGGGGGGCTGCGGCCGGGGCTGAGGGTCCGCCGGGGCGGGGCGCCCCGTGATCCACCACGCTGCTCTCCACCACACGCCTCACCCCTTCCATGCCGCGCTCCCAGCACTGCATCGCTGTGCGCTCACACCCCGCCTCCCCCGCCCCCAGCCCAAGTTCAAGCGGTCCAAGATCTCGCGGCCGCAGCTGCTCGTCCTGACGCAGCATTTCGGTCCGCGCCGGCCCCGTTCGCCGCGCCACACCGCACAGCACGCCGCGCCGCCCGCCGCGCCGCCCCAAGCTCCTCCACCCGCCCAGTCCCTCCACCCCCCCCGCCCCCCCCCGCAGAGTCGGACCCGCTGCCCTCGTTCGAGAAGCGGCAGGCGCTGGCGCAGCAGCTCGACATGACGCCGCGCTCGGTGCAGATTTGGTTCCAGAACCGACGCCAGCGTTTGCTCAAGCCGCAGCGCCAGGCGGAGGGCGCGGAGGCCTCGCAGCGCTTCGAGCCAGCGTCGGGCGACGACGCCGTCTCCGAGGCGGGCTCCTCCTCGTCGTCTTCGTCGCACAGCCTCTCCCAGCCCGACGGGGTGCGGCTGCCGCTGCGGCCGACGAGCGGCACGCAGTATCCGATGATGGCGGCGCACCTCGCCAGCTTACTCGGCTTGCGGGAGGGCATCAGCGGCGGGGGCGTCGTCTCTGCTCTCGCGCAGCTCGGTGCTGCGCAAGCGGCCTGCGCCGCCGCCGACGGCGGGCAGCCGCAGCACCCGGGCATGCCCCCGCGCGGCGACAACTTGAGCGCGGGCGCCGCGCTCCTGCTCGCCCACGCGCTGCAGCAGCAGCTCGCCGGCATGGCTGCCTCCCAGCCAGTGGTTGAGCCGCCGGCCGCTGTGCAGCGCATCGTCGCCGCGCGTCCAGCGGAGGCGGCCGGCGAGGGCGTGGACGGGCTGCTACTGCTCTCTGCGTGCGCCGACGCGCAGGTCCCGGCGTCGCCCTCCTCCTCCGCCTCCTCTACCGCCTCCGCCACCGCCTCCTCCGCCGCCTCCCCGGCCGCCTCCCCGGCCGCGTCTGCCCCGCCCGCCCCCACGGCGTCTAGCCCGCCGCCGGTGCAGCTAGTGCCGCTGACCGCTTGAGGGCGCGGCCGCGACCCGGCTCGAGCGAGCTACAGCCGCTCGCCGGTCGTTCCCTGCCTCTGCTGACTCCCATGACTGCCGGCCATATTGGCACCGCATGTGTCCCCTGGTGAGAGCGTGGCGCGCTATTGTGTTTCGAGTAGTCGCGCACCTAGGCGGGCCGCATGTCGCTCTGATGGGCATGTGCGAGCCCCGCGTCCGTGCTGCGCACGCGCCGTGTGTAGACCGATACCCAGCCCTGCACCTCACGCTCCATAGCTTGTGCGTGGTGTATGTGTGGGGAGGGGTGGATGGATGATAGACGAGAGATTGGGGGCTTTCGGGCATCGGGTACTGGCACATGTGTCGCATGTCCTCACGCTCATGCGGTCATGTGTCATATCTCATGGTCTGTCTCCGTGCATTTGTTACGAGTTTACAAGAGCACCCGGCCGCGAGCTCTTGACGCATGACGGGGGCCGAGACACGTCACACGACGCTTCGATTGTTCGATAGGCTAGCCATAGACCCTCGCGCCTCGGCCAGCCGGAGGGTCCGCGGCCGGACCTGACGCCCTGACGGGGGCTCGGGGTACGGCGCGGCCTTCGCCGGTCGCGCTCGCGGGTCGTCGGACGTCGCTCGTCGGCACCGCGAGCTCGGGGCGGCCTGCGGCTCCGCGCGGCGGCGGGCAGCAAAGGGGCGCGCGCCCCCAAGACCGACCGATCCGCGAGTCCGAGGGAGAGCACGTACTCAACAGATAAACAGACCTGGATTTCTCAGGAACATCCCAATCGCACCGGTTCACACCTCCACGCCCAACCCCTCGCTCCCGTACCTCGGCAGCAACGGCTCGCGGTCCGGCTGCTGCCGCTGCGCCGCCCTAACAGGTATGTGGTCCGGAGGCGGCACGTCCCTGCCCCTCGGCTGGGGCGCGGCGGTGAGGACGCCGCACACGCAGCAGCAGCAGCAAAAGTAGACCGCCGCCCCGGCGAGCGGCGGCGCGAGCAGCGGCGCCCACGAGGCGATTGCGCCGTCGAGCCTCAGACAGAGCGCGAGCAGAGGCCAGCCGAGCAGGGCGAGGCCGACGGCGCGCGCGGCGGCGGCGTGGCGCTGCTGGCCGTGCGAAGCGGCCGCGTGCGCGGCGGCCGCGCCCAGCCCGCCGAGCAGCAGCAGCCACGCCGGAGCGGAGAGCAGCAGCCACGAGCAGCGCAGTGCCCCGTCGAGCCGCGCCGCCGCGAGGGCGAGCTGGCTGCCGCGCAGCAGCGCCGCGCCGAGCTGGCTCGCGGCCCGACCCGCCTCGCCGGGCGAGCTCGAGGCGGCGAGCGCCCGCCGCAGCCGCGCCGCCGCCCGGGCTGCCTGCCACGCCGTGAGCGCGCCCGGCGGCAGCAGCGCCCTGCTCGGCGCCAGCCTGCCGCCGTCCACAGAGGCGCACGCGAGGCCGAGCGAGGCGGCGGCGGCGAGGAGGGCGGTGAGCAGGGCCGAGGGCGCGCCGCGGCCGGAGGCGTGCCGCCCCTCGCCCGCGCGCGCCGCGCGCGAGCTGCGCGCCGCGGTGTGCGCGCCGCAGGCGGAGGCGGCGAGCAGCAGCCAGAGTGGCGCGGCGAGGAGCGAGAGCGGCGCGTCGGTCGCGCCGCTCAGGCGGGCGAGGAGCAGGCCGAGCTGGGCGGCGGCGAGCAGCACCGCGGCCGACGCCACGCCGCAGAGCACCGCGAGCATCGAGACGGGCGCGAGCGGCGGCTTGCCGTCGCCGCCTCCGGCCGCGGCAAAGGCGAGGTAGCTCTCGAAGACCCGCAGGCCCTGCTCGCCGTACCGGTCGTAGATATGCCGCTTCTCGGCGGAGCCGAGGACGTCGTACGCGCTCACGACCGCCTGGAAGCGGCCGGTCGCGCCGTCGTCGCCCGGGTTGCGGTCCGGGTGGTGGCGCAGCGACAGCTTTTTGTACGCACGCTTCACCTCCTCGTGAGTTGCGTCGGTGCGTGGCAGCTCAAGCGTCTGGTAGAGGCGAAAGCGCTCGCCGTGGCGGCGCGCGTCGAGCATGAGGGGTGGTGCGGGAGAAGTGGTGGATGGACAACCAGAGGCCGCGCCAGAGGCGCGACTAAAGAATTTCCCCCGCCAATTGAGCACGGTGTCTGCTTTCCAAAATCCTGCTCGTGCAGGTGGGGACCCTGTCCTCCTCCCCCATCCCTCGTCTGGGTTTGTCTGTTTTCTTGCTTTCTTTCTGCTCCGGTCGCTAGTCGAGAGAGATCGCCAGTGGAATAGGGAGTCCACCGTGCTGCGAGCCTGTCGCTGACGCTGTCCCTTGTCAGGAGCAGGAGAACTAGGAGAGCGCAACCAGTAGGAGGCCCGCGCCTGCCCCCGTGCCGCCGGGTGCAACCTGTCCTATACGAGAGAGGAATCCCTGGGACCCTGTCGTGTGGGTGAACCCTGCCCAGCCCCCCTCCGTGTCGATGCGCTCCCCACTCCCTTTCCCCTGTGTCCCTGATCGTCCTTACAAGATCCTGCTCGTGCAGGTGGGGACCCTGTCCTTCTCCCACCCCTCCGTTTGGCGTGCCCGTTTTATTTATTTATTTGCTCCGCTCGCACGAATTGAGCAGGGTGTCTGCTTTCTTTCTTTCTTTACATTGAGCAGAGGAGGAAGCGGGAGGAGGAGAACGACGAGAGTGGGACGACCGCGAGGGTGGCATGAAGGTTGCAGCGAGAATCGGTCGGCGAGGGACTGCGAAGGGAGATAGAAAGAGGCAGACGACCAAGGGTTAGGGTGGGCGACGGCTAGCACCACACTCCTCTCCTTAAAATCCCTGTGTGGTGGCGGCGTGCCGTCCTCCCATCCCTCCCTTGGGTTCTCTCTGCTCTTTCTTTTCTTTTACATTGAGCGAGAAAAAAGAAGGTGAGCTTCGGGGCGCCGCTCTCTTCTCTCTGTAGTCATCCCTCCCTTGGGTTGTCTGTTTTCTTTCTTTCTTTCTTTCTCTCTGTAGTCCCCGTGCGTGTCATGTGGCAGTGCGAATTGTTCTTGTTCCGTGCGGGGGGAGAGAGATTTTAGGAAACCTCTCTTGCGGGGCGCGTGAGGTCCGCACCTTCGCGACGCCGACGAGTGCGTGTGCGCTGCGCGCCGAGATGGCGAAAAAACTCCTGAGGCGCTTGCGTCCAGGAGGGGAGGGAGCATGCGTAAGATCGACCGCGGCGTCCGAGGCGGCCCACATGGCGGCCGACCAGCTGATAAGGAGGCTCTTCTCTCTTACGACTGTGATTGCTTTGTGTCCAGCAGTCCGGACCTGGTGCTACGGCCGGTGACAGTGTGCCTCGTGTCGGCTCCCGAGCCAATCGTGTGCAACGTGTGTGCGTGTGGGCCCGTCCTCCATGCTGGGAGGTGTGTAAAGACTGACTGACTGACTGGACTGGCTACCCCGTGTGGCTTTTCTTCAATCGCTGTCGTGGGATAACTTGTCATGTGAGAGAGTGCGTTGTGTTCTTGGGGGCACTTGGAGCACTTGGACCGTCATCAACCTCACATCCAGGGCCGGGGAGCTGAGAAGCCGCGCGACTTTCTCTTTCTCGCCCAGCGGACGCGCTCCACATCGCGAGGCCTCTACTTATCGCCGAGATGGCCTCGCTCCCAGCGCCCACGCGTTCTCTCGTCTCCCAGCTTCGCATCCTGTGGAGCGACATGAACTCGGCCCACCCGGGCGGGTCGCCCGCGCCCACCGAAGAGCTGGTCACCTACTCGCGCCGTTGCGGCGCCGAGATGTACCTGTGCGCCGAGGCGCTGCAGAGCGAGGTGGCGGCGGCGGCGGCGGCCGGCGGCGACCGGTCGGAGGAGGAGGAGCTCGAGGCGGAGCTGCAGCGCACCCAGTGGGCCACGTGCATCTGGGAGCTCGCGACGCTCATGCTCGTGCAGCGGCCCCTCGTCGCCGGCGAGTGCCTGCTTCCGTGGTGGCACCGCCACCTGTGCGACCCCATGGCCGAGGAGGCGGCGCACGGCCTGGTCGCCGCCGCGGCGCCCGAGGCGCAGGTTGCCTACTGGCCGACCCTCGCCGGCCTCGTCGCGCAAGGCAAGACGCGGCTGGCGGGCGACCTGCTGCGCGCGCACAGCGCCCTGCGCGCGGGCGGAGGGGACGGCGGCGGCGGCCTGCTCGCCTCGCGCTCGACGGCGCTGCTGCTGCGGCTCGACACGCTGCTCGACACCCTCCCGCGCCTGACCGAGCCCGAGATCTTCGACACTCACGACGAGGCGGCGGCGCCGTCGCTCGGCGCGCAAGAGGCGATGAGTTGCTTCCGGCTGCGGTGGCGCGTGTGGAGCGAGGACGTCGCGTCGCTGGTCGCCGACTTGGAGGCGGCGCCCGCGGGCGACGCGGAGGCGACGGCCATGTGCCGCGTCGCCCGCGTCCTCGCCTCCGCCGACGGCGCGCTGGGCGAGGCGTCCGGCGGCTCGTGGCACGGCGAGCTGGTGGGGCGGCTGCTGCTCGAGCAGCCGGTGCGGCTGCGCTGGCAGCTGTCGGGCGTCTTCTCGCCGCCGCCCGGGCCGGACGCCTTCGAGGCGTGCCCCTCCCCCCCCGAGAGACAGCACCCGCACCCCCCCGCGCGGCGGCGCCTCTCCTCTGCCCCCGTCTGTCGCCGGCCCCGCAGTGGCGCCTCGCCATCCGCCCACCCCTTCCGGCGGCCGCCCCCCCGCACCCCCGCACCTCCGCCCCCTCCGCCCACCCCGCCCATCCCGCCCCTCCGCCCCCTCCGCCCACCCCGCCCCCCCCGCCCCCCCCGCCCCCCCCGCCCTCCAGGCTTGCCTCGTCGCCCTCTTGCGCGACGATCCGTACGCCGCGATGGCTGCCATCCGGCAGGCCTTTGGCGACGGCTGGCTCATCGCCCACCTCTGGGACCTGCTCTGCCGCGCGCGCGCCGTGCGCAGCGACCCGCTCGAGGGGTCGCCCCTCTCCCTCCGCCAGTACTTCCTCCTCCAGTATGCAAAGGCCCTCGGCGGCGTGCCGCCGCTCTGGCAGCTCGCCGCCGCGTACGGCGCCGACGCCTCTCCCCAAGGCGCCGCCCCCGTCCACCGCACCGTCCTCGACGCGTCCTCGACGCGTCCCGTAGGCGGCGACCTCCTCTCCGAGCCCGGCGCCGCGGCCGAGGCGCGCGCGTGGCTGGGCGACCTCCTCCTCTCCGCCGCTCAGCACGACTCCGCCGCGCCGGCGGGCAGCACGCTGCACGCGCACAAGGTGCGCAAGCTGCTCGGCGTCTGCGAGAAGCTCGGCCTCACCGCCGCCGCCGACGCCGTCCTCCGCGCCCGCGGCGGCGCCTCGCGCGCGGTGAGCGACCCTCGGGCCCAAACCCGCCCCCCCTCCCTCGCCCCCCTCCGCCCGCCGCCGCGAGCCTCCGAGCGTCCGACACCTCTGAGCGCCTGTCATCACCTCTCGACCCCGCACGCAGGCGGCGCTCGGGTCGGACGTCGCTGTCGCCAAGCGAGCCTCGCTGCCGCTCGCCGACGGGCGCGCCGTCGAGCAGGCGCTGCTCGAGGACCTCGCCTCGCGCGCGCTCGACGAGGCGCTCGGCGGCGCCGGCGGCAGGGGCGGCGCCGGCGGCGCCGGCGAGGGCCCGTCGGCCGTCGCCGAGCTGCGCGCGATGCTCCGCTCGGGCGGCGTCGCCGGCCCCGACTACTACGCCGGCCCCGGCTGGCTGCCCGCGTACGTCGAGCTGCTCGAGCTGCTCGGCCGGATGCCCGCGGACGCGCCGCCGGCAGCCGCCCAGGCGGCGGCCCTGCGCGGGCTCCTCACCTCGCTCTGCGCCGCGCCCGCCGCGGCCTGCGTCGCCGCCGACGCACGCCCGGCCACCGCGCCGCTCCCCCTCTCCCGCCGGCTCCTCTCGCTGGCGTGCGGCCTCGACCCGCTCTCCTTGGCAGCGCTGGACCTCGCCGGGGAGGAGCCGCTCGCGCTGAGCTGCGCCGAGGCGTACTCGCTCCTCGCCCACAACGAGCAGCTGCGCGCCTCGCAGCTCTACCGCCACGCGCCGGCCGAGGGCGCGCGAGAGCCGCGGCCCCGCGCCCCGCCGACCCGCGCCGACCCGCGATCCCTCCCCCTTCTCTGCAGGCGCGGACTCGCGGCCGCACAGCCTCGCGCCCGACGAGCAGGCGCGGTCGGCCACGCTCGCCGCCTCGCTCGCCGCGGCGGTGCTGCGTGAGTCGGAGGCCGCCACGCCGCACGTGTGCTGGGCCGCGGGCTGCTGAAAACGGGGGCCCAGCCGCGGCTGGGGCGGTGGCGCAGCGGCGGTGGGCGGCATGCACCGGCTGTGCTGCCGTGCTGCACGAGTGTGGAGAGTGGGAGGGACCACTCGGCGCGGGCGCGCGAGTACGTCGTTGGGGGGAGAAAACAAATGTTCCAGTATTAGCAAGCTCAAAAAGAGGAGAACGACTTGCAAGTCCCGCCGCACACCAGCGGCGGCCCCGACGGCCGACGCCCCGTTCGCGTTCCACAAAAGGGCGCGCGGGGCTTTGTGTGTTACAAAAAAGGCTTTGCGTTGACGCTTTGAGATGATATCGATAAGGAGCGAGACTGAGGCAGCGCCCGAGGGAAAACAAAATTGAACGAATATCTTAGGGCCAAAGCCAGCCTCCCGCCCCCGCCCCCGCCCCCCGCCCGCCCGCCCGCCCGCCCGCCCGCCCGCCCGCCCGCCCGCCCCTCCCCGCCCCTCCCGCCCCTCCCCCTTTCCACCACCCCCCTCCCTAGAGCTGTTTAACATTAACTTTGGGCCTAACAGTTGCGCTATTGTTGGCTGAAATCCTCAACGTTGTTCAAGTGTTCACCCCAGCCCATGCTGTTACTGTTTGTTATTGTTGTTTACTGTTGTTCAGCGGCCAGCAAGCAGAAAACGGCAAAAAACCGGGTAAACCCCGAAATACCTGAGATTTTCCGGGTATTTTCGGGTATTACCCGCACTGGACGCTGGAGATCGTCGTGGGACACTGCCAGGCCCTCCTTATTGTTGTTCAGCCGGCCTAACGAGTAACGTTAGCTACTATGCTACTGTTGTTGGGGAGCCCCACTGTTGTTCTGTTGTTACTGTTAACACGCAACACTGTCTTAGGGTACCCCTAGGCTTAAAAGGGTGGGCCCTGGGGCGCCTGCGGCTTAAACGGCTTAAAACCTGCCCGGGCAGATTTTAAGAGCTGCTGGGCCGCCGATTCCTTAAACGGTCTTAAACGCTTAAACGGTGCGGGAGAGCTCCCGAGGTCGATGGTCCGGGAGGAGCTCCCGGTAGACGCCGGAGGCCGGGTAGCTGGCTACAATCAGCTAGCCTAGCAGCTAGCTGCACGCGTCCCCTATGCATAGTATGGCTCCTGCCAGTGCACCAGACTCTTACAGATGTGTCTTCAGAGGGGCGGGTTTTTGTGCCTAATAACGGCAGTATTGGAGAAAATGGCGCGGAACCCAGCGACGCATGGCCGGTGAGGCCGATTTTTAAACGGTCTTAAAAGAAGGACCCCCCGTGCCTGCAATCTCTTAAATGGTAATTTCAGCCCCCAAATCTCCTCATTTCTTAAAAGGTCTTAAAAAAATCCGGCCCTCAGAACCCTAGGGGTACCCTAAGAACACTGTTCAGCTCCCAACGTTAAACAGCTCTACCCCTCCCCCACCACGCACCACCACCAGCACCCCCACAAGCCACAACGCTCAACGGGTCGGTGATGGTGTCTCTCGAAGTCGAACGCGGTGTGTCCCGCTGATGGCGTGCGATGAAACGGACGTATCTTCACGGGCTCTACTGTGATGGGAGGACCGCACGCCGCCGCCACCACACAGGGATTTCGAAAGAAGGAAAGAAAGAAAACAGACAAGCCAAGGGAGGGATGGGAGCAGGGATAAAATAAATAAATAAAACGGACACACCAAACCAGGGGTGGGAGAAGGGTCCCCACCTGCACGAGCAGGATCTTGTAAGGACGATCAGGGGACACAGGGGAATTTGAGCCCGGGGTAACATCGAAATATACCTTCTCGCAGCTGCGAGACGAGCTTTCTCGGAGCGACAGCCTCAAAGAAAAAAGGGTGGATGGGTGTGGGGACGATCGCTGGTGAGGGGCGAGCGAGCGGCACATGGCCTGACAAAGAGAAAAAAATCGAAGTCTCGCGACGATATCGAATCTGACGAAAAATTACGACAAGTAAGCTCCTCTGAAAGTGGGGCACTTCAGAGGCAGAATTGACGTCAGTCTGTGGACTGTGCGCGTCGCCAGTACCTTCTCTCTCCTCCTCGTCGAACCCACCACCGTCCCCTTTCTCCTCCTATCTGTCTAGTGTGTGCCTGCTGGGGGAGCAGACGGCTTCGTTACGAAGCTGCCCCCAGCAGGCGTCTTGACGCGTATCAAAATTCTTCCCTAGAAAGAGGCTTCCGGAAATTCTTCTTCGCGGCTGGTGCTCAAACGCCGCTCACAACGACTCCAGGCGGCGGGACAGCGATGGATCCTGTCGAGCTCCTCGATCGGCAGCTCCAGGCGCTCAGCGCCCCGGTCGACGGCGACGCCGCTCACGCAGAGCTCCAGGAGGCGCGGCGGCTCATCGCGGAGCGCGACGAGGACATCCGGTCGTACGAGGGCCAGGTCAACTCGCTCGAGGCGGAGCGGCGAGGCCTGCGCGCCGACGCGGCGGCGGCGCGAGAGGAGGCCAGCCTGCTGGCGAGCGCCGCCGAGGCGGGCGAGGCGGCCACCGCCGAGCTGCAGCGGCAAGTGTCGCGCGCCGAGGCGGACGCGCGGCAAGTGCCGCGGCTGGTTTCGGCGCTCGCGCGGCTCGCGCTCGAGGGGCAGCTGCTCACGCGCGCGGTTGCGGACGCCGAGGCGGAGACGCAGGAGGCGGCTCGCGAGCGGACAGAGCTGTCGGCCTCGCTCGCGCTCGCGCAGCAGCGGGGAAACGGCGAGGCGGCGGCGCGGGCGGCGCAGGAGCGCGCCGAGTCGGAGCGGCTGCTGGCCGAGGAGCGGCGCGCCGGCGCGCGACTCCGCGGCTCGAACCAGGCGCTGGAGGAGAAGCTTGCGGCGGTGGCGGAGCAGCTGGTGAGCGAGCGCGCCTCCCTGGGGTCGGTGCGCGCGCAGGCGGTGGAGGACGCTGCGAGGGTCGGCTCGCTGGAGGTGAGGCTGCAGGCGAGCGACGAGGCGCTGGCGGCGGCGCGGGACGCGCTGGTGGCCGCGCAGGCCGACGCGGCGGCCGACGCGCGGGCTGCGGCGCGGCACGAGGCGGAGGCGATCCGGCTGGCCGTCCGTGTGGAGGCGCTCGAGCTGGCCGCGGGGCGGAGCGAGCGGGCGGCGGCGGTGCGCGGCGACGCCGAGGCGGAGGCGCGGGAGGCGGCGCAGGGCGCGGCCCGCGAGGTCGAGACCCTCCGCGCTGCGGCCAGCGCCGCGCGGGAGCTGGCCGAGTCTGCCGCAGAGAGCGCTGCGCGCGGGCACGCGGCGGAGCTGGCCCGGGCGAGAGAGGCGCACGCCAAGGAGGTGGAGGAGCTGCGCGTGCGGTGCGCCGACCTGGCGAGCGCCGCGAGCGCCGCGAGCGTGCGCGTGAGCAAGGCCGAGGCGGAGGCGCGCCGGCTCGGCCGGGCGGAGCGGCAGGGCGCCGGGCTCGAGGCGCGCGTGCGGCACCTCGAGGCGGAGCTCAAGAAGAAGTCGGAGATGGCGGAGCGGCTGCTGCGCCGCCGGAGCTCGTACGCCGCGCCGCCGCCGGCCGCGCTGCCCCCCGCCCTGGTCGGCGATTTGCTCGACCTCGACGCACCCGACTTGCCGCCGCAGCCGCTCGCGCCGCCGCCGGTCGCGACGCCGGCGCTCGCCACGCCGGCGAGCGCCGCCGCCGCCGCCCCGACGCCCAAGGGGGCGCCCTCGCCGCCCTTCAGCCTCGACGCCGTCCTCGCGGGCGCGCCGGCGGAGCCCGCCGCCGCCACTCTCTCCTCCCGCCCGGCCAGCGAGGCTGGCGAGGGAGCAGCGCCCGACGGGCCGCTAAAGGCCTTCCGGATGCCGACGCAGACGGCCGCGGCCGCAGACAAGGAGAACACGGCGGCTGCGGCGGCGGCGCGTGCGCGTGGCGCGGCCGCGAAGCCACCGCACGGGTCGCACCGCCGGGACCCGTCGCCGCTTCCGGGCGGGAGCACGCACGGGCGCGTGGGCGCGGCCGCGGTCTCCGGCCCACGGCCCGCGTCGGAGCAGCGGCGCCGGTGCAGCTTCCGCGAGGTGCCCTCGCGCTACAGGTCCCCGAGCATGCGCAGTGTCGCGCACGCTTCCGGCCAGGGCCGATGAGAAAGCTGGCGCGTTTGTGCGGAAAATGGGAACCGGTGGGAGGCCGGCCCCGCGTCAGGAGCTCTGCTGCCTTTGGAGGGCCAGTGCGCGCGCGGGACAGTACCTTGGAGTGTGAAGGCTTCGTAGCCCTCCGGTCTACTAAGTCGTCCGGAGGGCTGGAGCCAGGTCATTCATTAATGCGCGCGGGAGGGCCCAGTGCGGTGGAGGGAACCGTCAACTGACATCTGACTCCCCCCCCCCCCGCCCCCGACCGCCCCGTGTGTGTGTGCCGCCGTGTGGCCGTGCCCGTGTTGGCTGCCCCGGGCGCGTCGAGATTCGCATCGGTGGCTTTCTGTTTTAAGTGTTATTGAATTATGGCTAGTTCCGTCTTCCGCAATATACTGTATTGCGCCGAGACGCGAGAGAGTCGAGACAGCAGACACGCTCGTAATCTGTGAAAACGTCCAACGGAGCTCCGTGTTGCTCCCCCAGCCACATCGGGGCATGCACAGATCGCATGCTATGGTCGAGTCTGTCCGGCCCGGTCATGCTCTAGTTTAGATAGCGAAGGCTGCTGAAGGAGCCGTGAGCGGTCGATGCCTCAACAAGTGAGTCGTCTTGCTCCTCTTCGCGCGCGTCGCTGGAGCCGCGGCGCTGCCGGAGCCGAGCCACCGCTATGCGGCGGAGAAGGAGCTGCCACTGTCGCTCGAGCGGCCCCGCGTCGCACGGCACGGCTCCCATGCCGCGCAGCACTTGGCGCAAGCTCACCTTGCGGTGCTCCTCCGACGAGTAGAGCGGCACCGCCACCGTGTCGTAGAGCTTGTACGGCGACCGCTGCAGCACCTGCGGCGTCTGCTGGAAAAAGTTGCGGAACGGAACGCCGCCGCAGATGGGGTCCTGCTCGTGGACCATGGCGATGGTGATGCGTCGGTCCATCGCCGCTTGCACGAGGCGCGCGACGGCGCCGCCGGCGTCCAGGAAGGTCTTATCGTTCAGGTAGAGGAGAAGGACGTTGTATCCCTCGAGCGGGGCCGCGCTGGCTCCCTCGAGCGCCACCTCCGCATCGCGGATCGCGACATCCTCGGCGCTGGCGGTAGAGCCGCGCCCCTCCCCCGCCGCATTCTTGAGCTCCCTTGCAATGCCGACGGCGCCCTGGTTGTCGCGGCACACGAGGATGGTGACGGGGCCGCTGAAGGCACAGGGCCCCGGTTGGCGAGGGACCATTACTCCTGCAGCAAGCTCGGCCGGGCAGCTCGCGTAGTAAGGAGAGTGCAGCAGCATGCGCAGCGCAACAGCCTTGAGCGACTCGAGCTGAAAGGCGTTCACCCGCACCCACACGATCGGATCCACCCCGAAGATGCGCGCGAGCATCTGATCTGGCCCGCAGTAGGAAGGATAGGCCGCGGGGGCGACGTCGACGCAGTTCGCGCGGCATTCGTCCATCAACACCGCGAGCGAGGCGCCGCCCTTTGTGGTGTCGGCCTCGTACACAGGGATGAAGGGCCGATCCGAGGCGAGCGCCGCGTACAGCTCGCGGCGGCAGTTCGGGCTTTTGAAGTAGCCGGTCGAGAGAAAGGAGATGAAGGTGGCGGCATCGGCCACCGACTCCTCCAGCCTGCCTAAGTCGCTGAGGCAATCCACGTCTAGCCAGATCCGGACGCCGGGCAGCAGCAGCTGCAGCTGGCGCACGAGGGTGTGCGTCTGGTCCTGGCCGGTGCCCCAGGTGTGCGAGATGAACGCGTGGAAGTGGGATGTGAGCGGCAGTTCGAGAACTGGGGGACGGCCGGTCGAGGCAAGTCGGATCGTCGGTGCGCGGACGGCGGTGGCGGTCCTCAAGAGGATGACGAGCAGCGACACGGCGAGCATTGAGGCGGTGAGCGCGATGACAAACTCGCTCGCGCTGCGCGAGCTGTCGATGCCGACGAGTCGATAGCACTGTGCGTCGTCGTCGCAAAGCTGGATCACGGTGCCGAGGCAGAAGCAGCACATGAGCAACAGGTTGGCGGTGCACGCGAGGTAGAGGTCGTCGGCACGCTTGAAGGGCCGTGCGAGGGCGAGGGCGGCGAGGTAGAGGCCCGAGACGACAGAGGCGACAACGAGGCGGAGCAACTTGCTCGATCCTTCGTCTGTCTGGATGAAGAGCACTAGCGAGGCGAGGAAGATCTTGCGGCCTATATCGACGACCTCCCAGAAGAGGAAGCGCGGGTCGTAGTCGCGCCAGAGGAAGCGGCAAGCTCGGGCGAGGGAGCTGCTGCGCTGGGCCCGCAGCTCCGAGCGGATCGAAAGCAGCAGCGCGAGGAAAGAGAAAGGGACGAGCACAGGCCAGAGGACGAAGAAGGCCCAAAAGTAGGCGTCGAGGCCGCGGTACTCGTCGTCGTCGGCGCTGCAGAGCACGTCGAGGTCGGCCACGAGGTAGCTGCGCCTCTCATCGGTAAACACGTCGATGTTAAACGACTCACACTGCTTCGCCTTGAAGATGGAGCGCGAGACGGAGGGCAGCACAAGGTAGGCGACGAGGATCGCCCAGTAGAGCAACCGGCTCTTCGTCGATCGGACAACGTCGCGTTGGACGGCGTCGGGGCGACCCATGAGTAGCCACACCGCGAGCGCGTGAAAGGCGAGGGCGGCGCCTCCGAGTAGGACAAGCAGGACGGGCCAGAGGGCGGCGAGCAAGAGCCGGTCTCGCATTGAGCCAATGCAGGCATCCGGGTAGGTGAGGCCGAGGAGGTCGAAGCTGATTGAGTCCAAGAAGTCCGTCCAGCGCGTAAAGTCCTCGTGGAGGCGGACGCCGTAGACGGGGCCGAGTGTCGCAGCGACCTGGTAGAAGCTGATTAGGAGCTTGAACTTGGGCTGGACGCCAACGCGCGCGTCGATGAAGGCGAGCCAGTGCGTAACGCGATCACCAAAGCGGCCCCACGCCTCGATGCGGGCGAGCGTGCAGTACATGAGGTAAGCTGTCCCAGCGAGGGCAAAGATGACTGCTGCTAAGATGCCGAAGCGCCCCGTCGTCGGGCAGTCCTCGCAGCCTCCCACCGAGCGGCTGAAGTACTGCTCGTCGCTCACGCACCACTCGCAGAGCGGGCCGGTGTGGCCAAGGTCGCAGCCTGGGCCGGCGCCGCCAGACGCCGCGAGGCGGCGGCGGGAGGTCTCCGTCGCGCCGCCCGAGCCGCTGCAGTGGTCGGAGGCGTCGCACTCGTGAATCTCGGTGGTGAGGGGCGAGGCGCGCCAGTAGTCGCGCTGGACGCCGAGGGACTCGAGGGTGGTGTTGGCCGCGCAGTTGGCGTTCGGCGGGCACGCTTTACAGTGCTCGGTCGGGAAGCGGAAGATGTCATCCGGAAGGGCGCTCGCGTCCTGCAGGTAGAAGCCCTCCTTGCAGATGGAGCAGGTGGCGTCGCCGCTCTTGGAGCTGGTAGGGTAAGGGCAGGGGGTACACTGGGAGAGGCCATCGCTCGCCGCGTAGGTGCCCGCCTCGCACTCCTCGCACTCGGTGGAGGAGGCTGCGAAGCGTCCGGTCGGGCACAACTCGCACGCAGACATGTTGGCCGAAGGAGCGATGCTGCCTGGAGCGCAAGCGGTTGGCTGCGCGGCGCCGCCGGCGCAGAAGCTGCCAGGCGCGCAACCGACGCAATCGTCGAGGCTCTCCAGCGTCGTGGACGCCTTCCCGTTGTAGAAACCGGCGGGGCAGCTCGCGGGCAGCTGAGCGCTGCTTCCCCTCGGACAGAACGTACCCGGCGCGCACTCGAGGCAGCCCGCGGCTCCGGAGTCCGGCTGGTACGTCCCGAGGCCGCAGACGGTGCACTGGCCCTGAGCGGGCTTGGCTGCGGTTCCTGGAGAGCACACGGCAGGCGCGGCGCCGCCTCCCGCGCACGACGAGCCGGCGGGACAAGCGAGGCAGTCGGGGTCGCCGTCGGCGTCCGTCACGTTGGCGTACGTGCCCGGCGAGCACTGCGCGTCCAGCTCGCGCGACGAGCCCTGAGGGCAAAACTTGCCCGCAGCGCAGCGCACGCAGGCGGCGGCGGCGAGCTTGCTCTGGTAGTAACCCTCGGCGCACAGCTCGCACGCCTCGTTGCGGGTGCCGTTGGCGAAGCTGCCCTCGCGGCACGCCGCCTGCTCGGTGGAGCCGGTGGTGGCGAAGTGGCCCGGCGAGGCGTCGGTGCACTCGCTCGCGTCGGTGAGGTTGGTGGCGCTCGAGTAGCTGCCAGCCTCGCACGGCAGCGGCGCCGCCGCGCCAACAGCGCAGTAGCTGCCCGCATCGCACGGCTCGCACGCCGCCTTGCCGGTCTCGTCCTGGTACGTGCCGCCGGCGCAGGGCGTGCACGCGCCCTGCCCGTACGCGTCCGTGTACGACCCCTTGGCGCACGCCGTCTGCTGCGTCGAGCCCGTGGTGGCGAAGTGGCCCGGCGAGGCGTCGGTGCACTCGGTCGCGGCGGTCGCGCCCTGGTAGGAGCCCTCGGCGCACAGCTCGCAGACCTCGTTGCGCGTACCGCTGGCGAAGCTGCCCTCGCCGCACGCCGTCTGCTCGGAGGAGCCCCGGGCGGCGATGTGGCCCGGAGCGGCGGGCGTGCACTGCGAGGCGGCCGACAGGTCCGTCCTGTCCGAGTAGGAACCGCCCTCGCACGGCAGCGGCCTCGACGCGCCCGGCTCGCAGTAGCTGCCCATGTCGCACGGAAGGCAGCTCGTCGCGTTCGACTTGGCCTGGTACGATCCGCCCGCACAGCTGGCGCACTCGGAGAGGCCGGCCGTGGCGGCGAAAGAGCCCGGCGAGCACTCGGAGGGCGGCGCCGCCCCGCCGCCGCACGACGAGCCGGCGGGGCAGGCGAGGCACTCGGGGTCGCCGCTCTGGTCGGTCAGCCTCGCGTACGTGCCCGCCTCGCACTGCGCGTCCAGCTCGCGCGACGAGCCCTCGGGGCAAAACTTGCCCGCAGCGCAGCGGACGCAGGCGGCCTTGCCGGTCTCGCTCTGGAAGTAGCCCTCGGCGCACCGCTCGCACGCCTCGTTGCCATCCCCAGATGCGAAGCTGC